CTGCCCGCGCTCGCCGGGGACACACCCACGGAGCGCGACTTCTACCTCGCGCACAAGGACCTCCACTTTGCCAATATCCTCTACGACCCGGCCACCGACCGCATCACCGCCATTCTGGACTGGGAATTCGCTGGTACTGTCCCCTATCCGCAGTGGGATCCGGTCCGCGCCTTCCTGTGGAACGCGCAGCCCGGCCAGGAGTCGTTTGACGAGAAATACCGGCTGCGCGATCGGTTCTGGCAGCTCTGTCGCGAGCACGGGGCTGCGGTGTTGACGGAGACGGAGTGGCTGGACCCGCGGCTGGAAAGTATGCATTTCGTGCGGAATGCCCTGCGCGGGATTACCACCAATGTGCCGCGGGGGCTGCACCCCGAGGCTGTGGAACGGTGGTTCGGTGACCTGGAGAAGGGGCTGGCTTACTTCCAGCTGTAGACGGAGGAGAGGAGGAAGGGGGGGAGAGGTCAAGAATGATGAACAAGAAGGGACAGATGCCCATATTGCTGGTTCTAGAGATATTTCAGTCAACGAGGGACCCGATATTCCTGCTGCTTGAAGGGAAGGCTCCAGCACAGAGGGGTGTATTTGTGGTAGGATGCGTATTCTAAATTCCTGGACTTGATGAACGCTACAATACCACCGATTCTGACTCCACCAATTTCTCCTCCAACCACTTTCCAATCCGCACACAGTTATCATCCACCGCCACGGCAAACCGATCGGCCACCCAGAACACCACAAACAGCAACACCGACCACGCCAGAAAGAATCCCATCAGATACGGGCCCGTTGCCTCGTGCCCCGTGATCCGCCACATCAGGGGGAAGAGCCGATAGCCCAAGCCATGCATCAATGGCCCATGCACGATGTAGATCGAGTAACTGATCCAGCCCAAATACTGCACGAGTCGGACGTCTAGAACTCGAGAAAAGCGACTCTCCTTGGTGCTGTGCGAGATTACACCGACGAGGATAATAGCCCCCAGCGAGGGGAAGACGCGGTAGAAGCGCACGTCCCACGAGGGCAGGATCTTGGCCAGCGTCATGTAGCCCGGGGTGCGGTGAATGCATTTGTCCGGGGCGGAGAGGAAATACAGGGCGATGAAGACGAGCACCGCCCGGAGGAAGAGGATGCACAATCCCGTGGTGGCGGGAGTGCTGGTTTCGGGGGCTCGGGCAGCGTCCCAGCGGAGGGAGGTTTCGGCCAGCAGGCTCCCGGCCAGAAACAGGACCATCACCCACCGAACATGCCCGTAGCAGTAGGCAATCAGACCGACCAGGATGGCCACGCGGTACCGGTAGCGGAGCCGCACCAACACCAGGAGAATGAGGAACAGCAGGAGCGAGGCCCGGAATTCCATCGGGATGGTCCACAGATGCACGTCGTACTCGGGATAGGTCTCCTCCCAGGCAAAGATGTTGGTCATGTTCCACATCATTGACGCCCAGTGGGCGGTCTGCGCCCCGAAAGTAGGCAGCCGGGCTTGGTGGTACTCGTTCTCGGCGGTAATAATGGTTGGATCCATTGCCACCTGGGCGGGATAATCCCAGGCTCCAGTCTGGATCATGATCATGGTGATCAGCGTAGCTAGGGTCGTGGGCAGGAAGAGGCGGAACCCGCGGCGGAAGGTCGAGGAGCTCAGACTGGGGAAGACAACCTCCAGTTTGCTGGCTCGCACCAGCTGCCAGGATCGGTAGGAGAGCACAAAACCCGAGAGCACAAAGAAGATACAGACCGGGGCAGACCCGGAATAGACAAGCCGAATGATGGGCAGCTGGTGGAGGCGCAGATTGTGCTCAATGGGCTCGTTGTTGTGGGCGCAATGAGGTTCACGATGAGCCTCCTCCGGGGTAAGCCCGTAGCCATAATTGACAAAGTTGTGAAAGGCAGAGATGATATGGTAGTTGACCACGCAGAGCGCAGCTACACCGCGGAGCCCATCAAGAGGGGAGGTGCGGCGCAGGGATGGCCGTTCAGTATTGTGCCGCCATAAACTGGTGATGAAGTATGGCAGTAGCGCCGTGAAGACGAGAGTAAGCCACTTGGGAAGCTTCTTGCGGGCTTGTTGCAGCCATGCCTCATACACATGGGGCCTTTGTTTCTCGGTCTCATGTTCACTGTCAACATACTCGTCCAGCTCAACTGAGGCCGTGCGGTGGGATAGAAGTGGCTCCATTGGAGAATAACCGAGGAAAACAAGTGAAAATGAAAAGAAAAGCAATCTCGACACGAAGAATCAGTCCGGGGCACAGGGACTACCCAAAAGTCATCCAAACGTTTGCTCTTCATTTTTGTAATTCCGACGGTGCAGTATGTACATCACAACAGGCATGACGAATGGTGGCACGGCATGGTCCTGCAGGACCAGAGCTGCAGGACAGGGTTCACAAATCAGGTTAGAGCGGGAGAACAGCTAGGTAGAAATTCCGAGATCTCATTACACAAGTCAGTGTGTCAAGCGTTTGGCTTGAAGCGATCTTGCGATCTGGCCAGAAGTAGGGCTAATTTAGCGCGGGGTTGGAGTCAGAAACGAAGGACCGAGGCTGATCCTTCCAATACCCCGTAAGACACTAGCCGTAATATTCTCTCCCCACCGACTAAAAAAAAGTCCCGATAGCAATCAAGCCAAAGATACTCGCCGCGGCAACAAATGGCAGTCCACCCATCGACATCGACTCATCCAATTGTGCCCCAAAAAGGCAGGTATAGGACATCGCCGGCGCCGCGATGGCATCAAACACCGCCTCGAGCATGTTATCCGGCAGCAAGACTCCCTCGGACCCCGTCAACTGCGCGATAAGGCCCCCGACTCCACCGCCGAACCCGATACCCAGTGCATACAGCACGACCCCTAATTGCATTCGTAAGATTGGTGGATTAACGCCTTCGGGCATCGAAGGACGAGGCGATAACATACCTGTGTATACTATCGTCAGTGAGCGTGATGCTGATAACAGAACAGCCCCTATAGCCATGCACACTGCACTGCCTCGCATCGTCCACAGGTCAAGCCGATAGGGGCCAAAGAGAGGAGTCGCATCGGCCGAGTGCGTCGGGGATTGCCGTCGCAAGAGGAGGGGTCGAATGCAACGCATGAGGATGGCGAGTCCCATCAGGCTGACGACAGGTTTGAAGCAGAGGAGGAACCCGGTCTAGAGCAAGGAGGATGGTCAGTATCATCGCTCCGGTTCACGGAGTGCATTCTTCGCGAGGAGTTACCAACCTCGGCCATAGTCCCTTGATAACGGTGAGACACGGCCGGGAGGAGAAGAGAAAATGGATAGCGTCCGATGCGGGATATGAGGCAGGTCGCAACGAGCCAGGAGATCCGCAGGTCCGACCGCGAGGGAATCTTAGGCTTCCTTAGTTGCTTCAGGCAGGAAGTCGCCCAGGTGCTCAATTCGTGCTGTTCTGTATCTTTGTCCGCAGTACGCTGGCGTGGGTTCAGCGGCCGTTCATCGGAGGGTATCAGAAAGGCTAGTGGGAGCGTGACGATAGGGATGATGAGACCGAGTAGTAGCGACACGTAGGCACTGTAGCTCAGGGCGAGGGTGGCTATTGCGGAGCCAGCGAATTCGGCGGCTAACAGGGTTGTGGTGATATGGAATGTAAACGAGTGGCTAGGAATAGTACATGACGATTCACGTTAGTATTAGATGGTCAATTCTTTGGGGTTTGGTTCTGGCTTTCAAAGAAGGTGATGACAGTACCGGTCGGATGGGGCTGTCATGTCACTAAGCAAAGACAATATTAGGGCTATTGTGGTTCGCGAATCGCCGCCGAACAATCGAAATAACGAGGAGCACCACGTCCAGGGTAATGGCAGTCCTGACCATCCTGTATCACGCCTGTGAGCTCATCCATGCCTCAAACCTCTAGCTCTAAAGAGCCAGTTAGGGCATTTCCATACCCACGAAGAGGATCCAGCCTTCTGCCAAAATTGTACCCCCCCAATTCAATACAAGCATGGAGCGACGCGAGAAATGTTTCCGAATGTATGTTAAGAGAACAAGGTATAGTATATCTAAATGGGGAAAGACGAAGAGTCAGTACCGTAGCCTCGATAGGTTGAAGAAAGAAAAGACGAAGATGATGAGAAGTAAGAAGTGGAGATCATCTACCGGGCACACAGTCAAAGGCAACCTGCCATCCTTGGATATAAGAGGCGTAGGGAAGAATCGCCCCCTGTGGAAGGCCATGAGCAGACAGATATAGATGCTGGAACTTTGCCTCAGTCATCATAGCTTCATAGAGCCGGAGATGAGATAGTAGTTGCACAGAAGCACACAGTTGTCGTAAAAACACTATCGAGAAACAGAGAAATAGTGGTTTAGATTTGGAGCTGGGCCGGGAGTTGGACGGAATCGGCGAAGATAGCAATGGCAATGTCTCATCCGAACCCTTACTTCGCGCACAATCATTTGAAATAAACCAAAGACTGATGGCAGACGACTCAGGTAACGATATCCATGCCATCTCGGAAGATAGGTGAGGATGGTATATGTCGAATCAACGACTGGGGTTCCTAGAGTGCAAGATAACTTTCATAAGAACTTTCTAAAAGAACGTAGCCCGCTGTATTGGACCGAAAATGCCTAAGGGACTTCTGCCCTGGGACGGGTGATAGTCAAGTGTTCACTCCGGAGCTAAGAGCGATATCAGACGCTTCCACCTCGACATCCCGGACATTCCGGGTGACCGGTTTACTCGGTGATAAGAGCCAGAGCAAGCGGAAACTCTGCAGGAGCGCGAACCAACAATCAGGGGAGGGGCTGGTGCGCATTAAGCCGATAGGAAGTCTGACCTGGCTGGTAAATTAAAGCAGTATGCGGGCCCAAACTAACAGGATTGCCCTGGTTATTGCGGTAAGCTTCCCCTCCTCGGCCCTTTGCTCATCAGCAAGTCCAGTTCCCAGGCTGAGCTCTTTTCCCCTCACGTCCATCCACTATCATTCTGTCTCGTCGTACTGAAACCAAGCATTTAGTCTACCTCGACAACTCAATATGCAGTCGTGGGTGCTATTATCGCGTATCAGACGCTCACTGAAACGTTGGATTCCCTCCCAGCAGCCCCAGTACGAGCAGGTCGAAGCGATTGATTTAGAAGAGCTCCGTGCTGATGGTTCCCGCGTGGATGTGGCACGGCATGAGTATGGCATCTTGCAGGACTGGCTCACCTCTTTGATGCGTTCCGTTCAATCAGCCGACTACTTGGAGCAAGCTTGGTTGCCAGGCACTTCAAAAGACGCTCATTACTATGTCCCACTGGCAGGACTGGCACGCCAATCCCAGTGGCTAAAGACAATTACAAGCAAGGAATTCCTATGTCCTCTATTGGCTTCAGCTGGACTGGAGGTATGATTGTACGGAAGCAGTATGAATCCAGGTAACAGTGCGCTGACCAATTGGCATTGACTAGATGCTTGCCTCGCTCTTGACGCTTCTCCTTCCGTTATTCCTACGACGAGTTCTGCAGGAACCCACTCATATCGGAAACTTTGTGGCTCTTTTTCTAGCTAGTGCGGTGGCTACTTTGGCTGGACGTGCCAAAGATCAGATCTGCCGAGTTTTATCTGTTCGAGCTTCGTCCGTCCTTTCTCTCGCTCTATTCCAAAAGAGTGTTCGTTTTTCGAACCTGGCGCATCTCCGGAGTCCAGTGGGAAAGGTCTTGGGCAGCTCGACAACCGATATGATGTTAGTCCGAAACTATGTTCTCAAGGTTCATGATATTTGGAGTAGTCCTGTGCAGTTGCTCCTGATTGCGTTTATGATCGTTCGCCTGCTTGGTTTATCTGGGGTCGTGGGTAAGGATGGAGCCTCGCTGTGTAACCGAAATCAGCTACTAACTTGCATCAGGCTATGTGGCAATGTCAATCCTTCTATTTTCCCAGACTCGGGCAAACGCTGCGGTGGGTGTAGCAGTGGAAGACTACCTGCGCATCGATGAGGTGCGCATCAATCACCTCAACTCCGCCTTCCAAAAGATCCGCGGGATCAAATCTTTGGGATTGGAATCCATGTTTCTCAAGGAGATACGATCAGCCCGGGAGATTCAATTGGAAGCCCTATGGCGTCGCCTGCGCGTCGTCTTCTGCTTCTTTATCTCCATAAATCAGATGATTCCCGCAGTCACTGCCATGGTTTCCTTGACGAGCTACTGGTATACTGGCCACGAGTTGGTGCCAGAGGTGGTATTCCCTGCCTTGACATTATTCGAAATGACATTTTCGCCAGCCTCCAAGTTCTCCCTCTCGGTAACCCGTCAGTTCTCTATTCTCCCATGTGTCCGACGAATTCTCCATATCCTGCAACAAACGGAACATCGGCCTGCCAGTCACGAACCAGGGGAAATTTCCCAGCCGAGCGATCCCAGCACCGGCAATCTGATCCATTTTCATGATGCGAAAGTATCCTACCCGACCGCAGATGACAGTTCGACTAGCTTTGTCTTAGGACCAATCACAATGGGTATCCCGGCTCATAAATTGACAATCATACATGGAGCCAGTGGCAGTGGTAAGTCCACGGTGCTAGCGGCCATTGGCGGGCAAGCCGAGGTCGTTGAGGGTCAACTCCTACGAAAGTCGGCTACGATGGCCCTATGCACTCAAGACCCATGGATTATGCTAGGTACTGTTCGTGATAATATCACATTTTTGCGGTCCTACGAGCCTGTGCGCTATCGTCAAGTCGTCCGCCTCTGCTGCCTCGAGTCAGACATTGCCTCGTTTCCGGGCGGCGACCTCGCGATTGTAGGGGAGAGTGGCGCTAATCTCAGTGGTGGCCAGAAAGCCAGAATTTCCCTGGCACGAGCAATCTACAGCGAGGCAGATCTTCTGCTCTTGGATGATTGTCTGGCTGCGGTTGATCCCCGGGTGGCGCGCAAGCTGTTTCACGAGTGCATCCTCAAGCTGCCGCAGACCGTTATTTTAGGTAATGCTACGTCTGCATCAGAAAGAGGTCGAATGCTAAGTAGGCTCTTTGAAGTTACACATCAGGCCGAGTTCATCCGATACTGCGACCATGTTGTCTCCTTGGCCAACGGCATGGTTGCTGAGGTAGGTAGTCCCGAGGAGCTACGAAAAAATCCACATGGGATTATTGGGTCAATCCTCCTCGGTGAGACGGGGACTTATAGGAAGGACCATTCGGATGGAGTTATGAGCATGGAAACAACGTCCAAGCCAGATTCTGCTGATTCCAAGCAGATCACCTTGGTGGAGGAGGAGCGCGCCCGTGGTAAGGTTGACACTGACTTATATCGATTCTACTTTGAATGTGCTGGGGGCCCTCAGTTCATAATGCTGCTCTCCCTCATGCTCTTTCTCACCGTTGCTGTTCGAATTGTTAACAGTTTCTGGTTACCATGGTGGATGGGAAATGTGCTATCTGTCTCGACAACTACTTATCTTGCAGGGTATGCTCTAGTCGTCATGCTACAGGCCGCCTTCATTGGTATGTTTTGCTTGATACAACTGACAGGACGAACTCAGTACTGACGATGACAATCACGCTTGTAGCCTCAGTTGGAGTGATCCTTGTATTGGGAACGATGAAGGCTAGCCGGTGTATCCATGAGGGCGTCGTCACCCGTCTCTTCCGCGCACCTTTGGACTTCTTCAGTGGACAGCCTCTAGGTCGCGTCTTGAATCGGCTATCAGTAGATATCGATGGGATCGACTTTCGGCTCATCAATGCGGGCGATCTATTGCTGATGGCTGCAACATCGCTGTTTGCGGCGGTCATTGTGCTTGTCTGGAGCTCTCCCTACCTTCTGCTGGCCTTCGGACCGATATTCTACTTCCAATATCGTATTCAGTCGCTCTATCGAGTGTAAGTGATGCGTTCCCTCTTGAACAGCGCTTACTATAGTTTAACAAAAATTGATGAATAACTCCTGTACGTCAGGTCTGCCCGCGAACTCCGGCGCGTTTGTTCCATCCTGGACTCCCCCGTCCTCTCCGTTATTACGGAGAGTATGGCTTCGATGCCGACGATACAGACGTATGATGCACGAGAGCTGTTTGAAGAACGTCACCGTGTAGCTCTTAGCCGGGCTATTGTCGGAATCACCGTCCGCTATGCATTGGAAACATGGATTACACTGCGGATCGAGATGCTATCGGTGGGCCTGCTAGGGTGTGCGGGTTTGCTCGGGGTCTTCGGTGTGCTGGACTCGTTACAGATGGGGCTCATCTTCACCCTCAGTATCTCACTGTCGAAGCATATGCACCAGTTTCTGTGGTCTTTGATCAATGTCGAGGTCGAGATGAACTCCACGGAACGACTACGACACTACATGACTCGGATCCCGGTGGAAGATGACCACCGCGTGCAGCCGACCAGCCCAACCTGGATGGGGGATACTCCGGACGGGGCGCATCCTTACATTGTAATCAAGTCTCCTGACTCGGAGCCAGAAGGCGAGATCATCTTCTCCAATGTTACCGTCCAGTATCCGCGTAGCCACAGCCCATCCCTCCGAGACTTCTCGATGTGCATCCGATCGGGCGAGAAGGTGGGGATCATCGGACATAGTGGTGAGTGTATCCCAACCCCATCCTTTCCAATCACCGTCCGTCGTATCTAACGCGCGCACACTTGCCTAGGCTCGGGGAAATCGACTATATTGGCGGCTTTATCGGCCCTCGCCCCGGTGGTGCACGGCCGGATCACCATCCGCGGGACTCCGATCAACGACCTCCCTCTCACCACCCTCCGAAGCATGGTGCATGTCCTCCCGCAAGACTCGGTCCTGTTCCCCGGCTCGGTGCGTCAGAACCTCGATCCGCAGCTCTCTCACTCTGATGACACGCTACTCCATGCGCTTTCCGTGGTGGGGGCATTCCACGCCTTTGACCTCCGACACAGCGGCCCTCTGCCAGAGGAAAGGGGAGCGCAGGCCGATCCTACACACCACTGCACGAACAGCAGCAATCTTCTCGACCTTGTGATTGCACCGGGGGGCACGAATCTCTCGGCTGGACAGGCCCAGCTGATCTGTTTGGCCCGCGCTCTGCTGGCCAACCCCCGCATCCTCGTCCTGGACGAGGCGACCTCGAGTGTGGACTTGCAGACGGAGAACCATATTCAACTGGTCTTACAGGAGCATTTCCGGGATAGTATCATTTTGTGTGTGGCGCACCGTCCGACGAGCGTGGCGTGGATGGATCGAGTGATCGTCATGGCTGACGGCATGTGTGTCCGCGAAGAAGGCCGGTCTGGTAGTAATGCGGATGTTGGAGATGTGTCTTCAAATTACTAGAGCGCCCTGCGGGTTGGTGAATTCTTGTGGTGAAGAAAGAAAAAGCCTGCCACAATTGAGTGTAAGGGTGGGTATGGCAACTTCGGACTTGATTGAATGGGGAAAGCAGTCTCTTCCTACGGAATCAGACAGTCGAGCGAAAATCACAAAAGGCGTTCAGGTAAAGAGGAGGCTCTCTTTGTCTTATCGTATACTTACTAAGTAGACCACTATGCATTCTCGATAAGCTTGCAGTTCCGGTGGTCTTTTCATCACGATGTTTACTACAGACCTAAAGAAGATCCTAAGCTAATTTGATCGGGACATCATTTTCAGTCACTAGCAATTGCAGAGTTAGGGATCATATAATACTTCCTGTCACTTAGAAACTCATTTGTCTTATCCACATTCTGTTGTTGTTTCTTCCTGGATCAGGGCCAATAGAGTACGGTGCAGCCTGGATTCACCGGATCCCTGTCTTTCGCCCTTCTATATTGCCTGCCCCCCCCCTCCCCCACAACAGCCAATGCTATACATGCCGGAAACCGGGCGGGATGCTGAGATGCTGAACCTGTTCTTGGTCTTATCATGGCGTCTGTAGGGCACCCGTCGACGCGCCCAGAACCACCATTCTTTTTCCTGCCGTGCAAGGTAAGAGGGTGGGATCGAGCGCCCCCATCTTGTAGTGGGATACAGTCTCCTGAACCGAGCGGATAGTAAGGGTAGTTCTATTCATATATTTAGGCTTCTTCTATTTAGGCTTCTTATGTACTAGCCTTCGAGTGTGGCGCTGAGAAAGAGCCAGAGAGTCTGAGAACGCATAAGTCGAACCGGCAAGACACGGTAATCACTAATTAAGCTCTTCGCAGGTTAATTCTAGCCGATCGCATTGTTGTACATCTATATGGACAAATCCATGGGCACGAGGCTTTTACGGTTGCATCCCAGGTATTGAGTCGCCTGGTCAAAGAAAATATTTGTAGTCACGCAGGGGTAATTGATCAGAGCGATCAGAACCCGGAAACAATGAATGCTCCCAGATATCCGACATAATCGCACTGTTGAACTTAGCAGATATTGTCAGTGGAAATCCTTTTCTGCGGGTCGATATGAGGGGATCACGGTGCGTAAAGTATCCATTACGCTCCTAGATGTCCCTCTATTGAGGAAGCTCAGTGATCACGGCCCGTTCTCCCTTCGTCAGCTCTTCAGCATCCGCAAGCTTGAAGATGCCGAACTGCTTGTCAAGGTCCTCAATTTCCAACTGCTTGGTCTCAGGGATAAAGAACCACCCAAAGAAAAAAGCCACTGCTGACAGGGAACCATAAATAAAACCCAGTTTGCCACCGAGATCAACATGATGCGGGGTATCGGCAGTTTCCATGTAAGGATACGTGAAAGTCACAGCGAATCTATTCCAGACGGGTTAGGATTGCACCATGAATCTCGGAAGGGGAAGAACAAGATCTTGACATACTCAGTAACTAGCTTGACGGTATATGCGATTTGCAGCGTCATCTCACGGAGAGGAGAAGAGGGAAGCTCTGCACCAAGAACGTATACCAAAGGTGCCCAGCCCAGTGACCAGCTAAAGCTGAAGAGCAGAAGCATGGCCACGATACCCTGCTTGGCGTGGACATTGCTGGAATCCGCAGTGCCCAGACCGCCCATGGTCATGAGCGCCACGGTCTGGAGGGAAGAACTAGTGTGGAAGAGCATTCTTCTCATAATTAGGTTTCAAAGTTGATGCGACGGCAGTGGGAGCGTGGAGGCTACTACTTACCGACGTCCGACGATATCAATCAACGATGCGCAGATAATAATGGCACCAATATCCACAGCATTAGTGCCGAGGGTCACGCTGAATGGATTAACCGACTTCAATTGCTTGACAAACAAGGTTCCATATTGAGAGGCAAAAGCCTGACCGGTCGCCTGCTGGAAAAAGTTTGCGGCAGCCACCACAAAGGTCCGCTGCCGATTCTGGCGAGTGAAGAGATCCCTGAACGACCTCTTCTGAAGTTGCTCGGCCACCTTGGCAGAGAGAATATCGAATTCTTCGCTAATCACTTCTTGGGGAGTATTCTTGGGCTTGAGGGCTGCGAGGGCCTGGAGGGCTTCGGATTGACGATCGCGGAGGAGATACCAGCGCGGTGACTCGGGAATGAACCAGACTAAACAGAGGACTATGAAAGGTATGACGAGTATGAGGCCGAAGGGGATCCGCCATGCCGCATCGGTGGTCATTGTCTTCGTTGCTCGGGCCACTCCTGTGATGAAGAGACCACCGCACTTGATACTCAGCCAGTATATCACCCCAATTCCACCTCGGTTCTTGGCGGGTGCGAGTTCGGCGAGGAAGGTGGGAATAACAGCCAATTGCATTCCAAGGTAGATATCTGCAGCCATAGAAACGTCATCAGTCGGATTCGGGAAAACATTATGCAAGGTGGGAGCACTCACAATGAAGTGCTCGTGCAGTCTGAAGTTGAGCCTGGGTGGTAGAACTCACTACGACCGAAGCACTGCCGAGAGCATAAACACTCATGGAGAAGATACACATTCGACGTCCCCATCTGTTGCTGACATAACCACCGAGGAAGACACCTATCGAACCGTTTCATGAGCAGCTGGTCACTAGTAGAATCGAGAAGAAACCCAGGAGAAGGCTACACTCACCGATAATCTGACCGGCTGCTTTGATACTATTGTACAAGGAGGTGTCCAAAGCCGGAATCTTCCAGGTATCGGTTGAGGCGTCGTACTTGCCAAATTGGCGGATGAAAGAGTCCATGGCCTGACAGGAGGAGAAGGCCTGGTCACTCAGACCATAATTGAAGGCCGACAGTGCCAGCAGAGCGGTCGAGAACAGCAGCATTGAGCTGATATTCCATTTTCCCAAAGACATCTTCCCGGAATCAAGCCAAGAACGTCCCAAGAAATGCGGGTTGGAGGGGCAAGTGCCAGCATTTATCTGATCCGTGTTCGATTGATAAAATAAGATGGATAACTCGACAGAACACGAGGAAAAAAGGGGGTATCCACCCTATTCGAACAATCCCGTTCAACCGCGGAGTTATCAATCGGTCTCTATCGAGGAATGCTATTGGTTGATCTGAGTTTCTTTCGAACCTTGGTCGTAAGATTGAGACTGCCAGACTGCCAGCAGAGATAAAAGCCTGATGGGGGGAGATCGGATGCATCGGACTCCGGTTATGACAAGACCTGAACCTTGCCTCGGTATTAGGGACTGCCCTACAGCCTTGTAAGGCCCAGAGAACCAAGCTTTGTTGGAACAACTTTAGCCGGGCTCGGCAAAAAATACCCGTAGCATTGGCGAGGGATTTGTATGGGTTTTGTAATCAAACCCCCCACTGGGCTCCACTATTACGTTCACTCTCGGACTCTCCATCCCTTATTTGTCCAGCAGAGTTTTTCAATTTTCTATTTATAACATCTGTGATCCAAGAAGAGTGTTGTTTACCATATGCTATATCTTACGGTAGGTCTCATATCTATGGGATTCGCATTTGAGCCACTTCGTAGAAATTCGGGGTGCAATGTTGCGTGAGTGGGATAACGAGAGGGAACAAGAGGGAATAAGAGAGGAAGGAAAAATTTAGCAGGATATCCACATCCCCCAAAGGCCGGTAGGGAGCTGGGAAATTCCCTTGCTAACCGCGGGGCCAGGGGAACTTATCATATTAAGACAGCTGTATTCGTGGACGAAGGGAAGAGGAACGGAAATTGACAAGGCCGAAGCCTCCGTTTTGGGCCAGGATCTAGCTAGGGTGCCCCGAAAGGAACAATAACGCACGCCCCATGACCGTGAGATACGCCCGTCTCGTTTACGACCGTGGTGCTCCAATGGGACGGAACATATGCTGCTCACTGGATCCACTTCAAATCTCGCACCAACTTAGCCATCTGCCTTGCCAATCTCTGCCCTCTGGAGATATTGCAAATACTATGATAATATTGTGCGTAGGCAATGGCTTGTTGATCTGGGGCTTATTGACACTAAAGACACTCGCCGTCAACTGATTTGACTCGGTCTATGTTTGGTGGTTTTTTTTTCTTTTTCTTTCTTTGCCCTTTGGGTTTCTTATCCTATTATCATATTACGTATCTTAATGGCAGCTCGAGAGATTTTCCTGGGACCTCATAACTGCGTTGATGTCAAAAATATCCCCTTCGTGACTTTATGACATGGTGCCGCACGGATCGAGGTTCCCCTTCCGGAAACCCGAGGGCTTGTCACTTTTATAGTGCTGTAGGCGAATCGTTCCGCGATCTGGAACTAGCTCGTCAACTTCTCCTCTTAACAGCGCGAGAAAGGTATTCTAAAAACAGCTGTCTTGGAATCGCTTAGAACTCTCGAAAACCAGCAGGGTTGATGCAGGTTAGTATCTTCCACATCTGTATCCAGGACTATCGGTGCTTCCTTTGAACCATATTGGCACAGAGAACTCAGCAGTGTGGACTTTCTCTTGTTGCATATGGAGCTGGATGCTGTAGATATCTACCTTTCGGTTGTTCACGGGACTTGACAGTTTGCACCAGCCCAGAAGACAGTCAAACGTCCTGCAGAAACGTGAAGCGTACCAAAAACCGATTCGTCTTCTTCGCTTTGGTAACACAAGCTGCATGACACTATATCTTGAGATCGTCACCTTTCTTGAAGTAGATCTCCCCAAAGTATTCCCCGCTGAAAGGGCGGTCGAGAATAGATGCTCGACGACGAATTCCAGAGGATCGTGTTCTGCTGCTTTGGGATCTTTAGGTGAGAAAAGTCTCATGAACCCCCTAAGATATTTCTCTTCCCCAGTCGCATACCGCCAGGCCGCAACTCCAACCACCCGTTGTGCTGTTTCCGATGGTGCCCTTTTGCCTTTGGGGTTCTCGCCTTCTGTCTTTCGTACCTGCATCTTGTTGGCTTCGACTAGTGTCTGCAATTTGTTCCAAAAAGCTGTTCCTCAATCTTAGGCTTGTGATTTACGACGGAGACCGCAATAGCCCTTTCAGCATCATTTCCTTCATTCAGGATCACATCTAACATCTGTGTGGGATTTTTCTCGTCAATCTTCTGCAGGAGGCTTAGAACCATTGCTCCATGCCCGTTTCTGACTGCAGCATGCAACGGTGTAACTTTGCGGCTGGCCTTGGTCAGGAGAACAGCACTCCAATCGTACCCCAAGTTATTCATTCATTCAAGGACATTCACCTTCCCACTCAAGGCAAGTACATGCAGCCATGTGACACCGCACCGGTTCTCTAATTTTGGAGGCTTTCCTGAGTTCTGAACCATGAATGACTCACACAACTCCCTTTGTCCGTTTAGCAACGCCCAGTAAGGGATCGGGACGTTATGGTCGAGGGTCTCCTGCCCCCGCAGCCATGGCACAATGATATCCGACGCTTCCTCTTGCGGGGAAAGATGCACCTCAGCTTGCGCCGGGTCGGGAGGAAAGTAGAAACTTGACTCCAGCAGTTGGAATATGATCGAGTCATTCATGTTCTTGGGAATTGCCCGGCCCAGACCTGTATGTTCTGTAGTGTCGTCAATTTTCATTAGCCTGCCCAACGTGATAAAGGAACTCCGAGAAGCAGTCTTACGGTGTCCTCATCATTTTTCTCACATGCCAACTGGAGTGCGTTTAACCCTCCTCCCGTTTTTGCTGTCAGGTCTGCACCCGCGTCAAGAAGAGTAGGAATGACTGGGTTTGCTTGGTAGGTGGCTGCATTAATGCCGTATATTGCTATCCATCTCGACTTTCAATGTTCTCTTTGAGTTTGATCAGCGGTTCCACGATGAAGCTTTGATCCGTCATGGCCGCGACTATGAGTGCGGTCTCTCCATCACTGTTAAGTTGATTCACGAGCGAAGGAAGTTCTTCACAAGTCCTTGAATGATTGCAAGGTACCCTTTCTTCGGAATGCTAGTAGAATTGGTTGTGTTTCCACCCTTCGAAGCCAGATACAGCGCGGTATTTCCATAGTCGTCACGAGCGGTCAAGTCAGCCTGGTGCTTTGATAGAATCTCGAAGACCTTCTCATTCCCTGTCGCAGCTGCGGCAAGAAGCGGCGCCACGGTATGGTTGCTGTTCACCAAGGAAGACCCGGTTGCTTGTTTATTCCTGAAATGTTGGATAGCTCTAAGCGAACCAGTATAGCCAGCAGCCAGAGATGCAGTAAGCTCATCAATGACTGCTGTGGCTTCTCTATCGGCGCTATTCGCCTCCAGAAGCTTGGTGGTATCAGATCGCTTCAAGCCGACGGCCAGCATCAAGGGGGTTATCTTCCCCATTGCAAGACCCGTCACATCCTCGCTTGTGAAACTTGTATTGGTGTTGATAATGTCGACGCTGTGCGCGAGGGCCCACTCTAGGTCCATGCGACTGTTGCACAGAATTGCCGATTGCAGTGCGTTCAGCGGTTCGGGTTCTCCTCTGTAAGAAGCGGCATTTCCGACCGTGAGGTTGACTTCTGCACGTCGATTGACCAGAAGCCGAACGAGGCCGCCTCTACCCAGCTCGATGGCCAGCAAGAGCGGCGTTGTCCGCTCCTCTGCATCGTCGTCCCCTCTGCTTGCATCATAGGTGAATGTGCTCTTTGCAAGATCGCTGTGATCTTTGAGCAGATTCTCCGCGATCTGCGTGTTTTTATCCTCAATCGCTTCGATGAGATCTTGCAACAGGTTTCGTGACTCCTCTTTCTTTGAGGCGTCATATTTTGCTGAGTCGTCGCCCGTCTCTGCAACGCTGTCCGTGTGCACCGAGTTATCATCATTCTCAGAGCTATCGTTGTTCGCGGGCGGACCGTTGTTACCAGTGACATTGTCTTCCTCTGGAGCACTGTTTTCTCCTGGGATCTTGTCATTTGATAGGGCCGTCGCCTTCGGGGACACTGGTAGTCTCTCTTAAGAGACCATCACTCTCGGTGACACTAATGTGCGTCGACACATCTGTGATTACCAACATTAGTTATGTGGAGAACATGGAAGGGCACCACAAGGATAGGAACGTGCCGGTAATACTATCCGCCATGGCTACAATCCCCGTGGGAATGCGCGGGATCGCCAAAGGATTATTGCGGAAAGGCAAAGAAAGAACTCTTCGAGAGAGAAAAAGTGGTTGTGTGATGAATCGATCGCTGAATTCGACTCGAATGCAGGTCTTCTTCGCAGACCTCTTCTGCAGTCCCTGACTGGAAGCAACAGTCAATCGCAGCAATGGGGCTAGCAGGCCGGAATAAACTAGCAGAAAGGTGCTCTCAACTCCCTAGTTGCGTGCCCAAAAGAAGAGCATTGGAAAGAAGAGCGAGGAAAAGCTAAGAGCAGAAGAACGCACCTACCAGCGCACTGCCCTGCTCCAGCTGATAAGGCTCGCGACCTGACCCGACCAGAATGGAACAAACAAACAAGCAATCAAGCATGACTCGCCAATGCAGCCGACGGTCGGACTAGCCAAATGGGTAGTGTAGTCGCTCGCAAAATACCGCAGTTGAATCATCTTCACGCAGATATGCGTCCTTGACTGGAGTTTGTCTTTGACGTGCTGCAATCTGCTACGCTGCAAAACTCAAATTCTACGTCTCAGAATGAATGCTTTGGAATATATCTCCTGCTATATTGTCCTAGATGTGGGTTTGGGAACCTAATGAGGAATACTAATATGGTATTGTATGGTCTCTGGTATTTTGTCCGATCTCAAGTAACAGTACAAATCGGCATAGGATCGGGGTGGACCTAAAGTTTGCTCAAGGGTTCTCATAGGTCCAGAGAAACTATGAGATTCACCAGCGGGCTCTTTGGGCGCTGGAACATATACACGCTATCCCATTACTATGAAATCGGGGTTCTATAATTAGTATTTCCGTGCCTCTCGCGTGGAAGCTGCAAGCCGATGAGGGTTGGAAAGAAATTGCCGGAGAGGGGAGTGGTAATCCAGGGAGCATCCAGACTCTTCTCATAGCCTTTAGCAAGATCAAGGACGCATAAGTCAGTCGGGGATCTCGCTTAAGTGACACGGGGTGCATATGTCCTAGCACCCTGGCAATTGATTTCACCACATGGTGGCTGACGTGATACCATACATGCAGCAGTGAGGCTCGTATCTGCAGTATGAGAGATTTGACAGTCATGTAGGCTGCAACAGTCAATAGCAGCGCGATTCCCACAACAGGGTCTCTCCATATATATCAAGCAAATACATATAACCCTTATCGATCTTCACTCCGCATCCATGGGAGAATTGGGCCCAGGTACTCCGGACAGTACAACAGACAAGAATTTGCACCCCGACTCGGAATTGCTAAGCAGGAAATGGAAGAAACGAGCTCGCCAAGACCCTAGTGGCAGTTTAGCGCCAGCACTGCCACACATTCAAGTGCTGCTCCAGCCTGTCAGAGGCAGCGAAATGCGTGGGGCTCGCATCCTTCCTCCTTTTATTCAATGAATAGGGCTGGGCGGGACACGGGTTCGATACCCTAGGCCAGTGGAGTCAAGAAATAAGAAAATTTGGAGATCCTGAGTAAATGGTGGGGGTCTGTTCTTGCACGGTTCGGCAGGGCCGAAGGAGGCTCACAGATGAGGATCAGGGTTCGGTTGGGCAGAAGGATCATGTGGGCCCCCCATCAGCCCCAAAGAATTTCGAAGGAGAGCTGAGGGCCTAATTACAGCGCTTGCTGGTTCGATTGAAGGACTTCCCGTCGCAGGGATCGAAGCCAGTGGAAGTGTGAAGACAGGTCTTTGTGAAAAGCCAAATCGCCGGCATCATCGAGCATCCCCACCGCAGCTGCTGCCCTGAAGTAGAACCATGCTCGTACTTGTGAATCGCTGGCGGCGGCGGCGCCAGTGATACATGCCCATGTGAGAACCACGGGGAAGTGTCGCATCCATACATCGTCTTCGGTCAAGGCCAGCACGTCGCGTAGGTCGCTGGCTGTGGCATCTAGGTATTCGGCAAGGTTGCTCGTATTAGCCCCGCCGGTTATGATAGCGTGGAAAATTCGGAACGCTAAGGAACAACAGTGACACACGGGATCATCGCTCGTTGGAAGTGGCATGCTATCGTCTTGTGTCGCGTTGTAGTCCCAATCGCCTATTGATCGATGGGCTAGAAGCTGAAGTTTGAGCTTCTGGATGTATTGGAACAAGGCCTGGATGGAGCGACCGGGGATATCCGGTGCAGACCGACTGATAAGTGTACTGAGAACTCGTTCCTCGAGGCCGGATGGTGGCATTGGGGCGCAGTGCGGTAGAGGTCTTGAATCCGTGTCAAAGACGATATCTGAAATAACACCGTTCCTGTAGTCCGGTCAGGAATGCACCTTAATTCATAAAAGGGCCGACAAACACGTGGATGAGAGATGCCGTTAGTCCTTCCAGGCCTAGTTTGTCCATACCCCCCCTTAGCTGGACGATCTTCGCCAGACCAGCTCGGTGTACCTCAGCAGAAGCTCTATCTCCGGTGAGGACCTAGTGCTTGATCAGTAATCTGGCCTGCATGCTGTTCAAGTGACTTATCTTGCATACAGCGAAGAGTGCCAGCGGTGTGATTGCCGCTATCGTGCGGTCGTCTAGTGCTGTGCTCGGGTCCGATAGACGCTTCTTGACCGATTTGATCAGTTCATTGTAATGATACAGGGTAATCGTACTCTGCTGTACTCCACGGCGGAGATCGAAATTGGAGGAGCCGGTGAAGAGAGTTGCGTGGAACAAGCACGGGTCGCTCATTGCACCTCTCATCCAGGTAGTCTGCAATTTATAGGAGCTAGATCTATCGTTAATTGGCACGCGTGTAGCATTGTGACATTCGACAACTGGCGCCCAAGAATGTCAGCCCAAGCTGAAAGAGATTGGAGGGAGGGCGTACAGTGCTTGATCAGGCGTGGCATGTACCAGCGAGAAGCAATGGGATAGGAATCTGAGACGGCTGGAGCGTGAATGGCCCACGAGATATAGACTTGGCTCTCGACGGCGTCCCAGGACTTAGGCGTGACATTCTTGGAACTGCGCATGTGGTGACTCTCAGTCACCAAAGCTTTTGAGCTCTGGTTTGGGATGCTTTCCGTGACGCGGTAAAGGGCATAGGAACACACTCGCCCGGCTCTATAGAGAAAGGGTTAAAATGCGCGCCTGCAGGGATCGATGTGCGTAGACAAACTTTTGGCACAAAGAGCAGGTGGGGTAGGCTCTATCGCATTTTCGTTTTCGCAAGCGACAAGACTCGCAAGCAACAAGCATGACCTTCATCTTGAAGAGGCTGAGAGGAGCGGCGTGGTAGAGATGAGGCTGCGAGCGCGACCGGTAGAAGATAGAAGAGAGGATAAGTGGATGTGATAAGATCAACCCGGGTGAGTCCAGAACGAGTCTAGCCGGTTTGGGCTGTCAGACAGCCAAGCCTTGCAAACACACTGCCACTGCCTGGATTACTGTCACAAGCACAAGCGACAACAATTCCCTTCAGTCTCTCGCATGTATACCATAACTTTGATTGTTTTCCTTCTTCGACGAGTTGATGGGATACTGTCGCTGGGTGCTGAGGCATTGATGCCATGCTTTTTCCCGACGAGCTAGGAATGATACTTTGGTAGAGGAGATGCTCACATATAGGGGGCAGTTCCTGACCTTCTAACCATCTCGTAGGCAAGCAGCTTGCCTGAAAGGCACAGGCCGAAGAGCCTCACAAACAGTGCACGTTGCCTGGTCGAATTGGCAGGAATTGCAAAATGGTGTCTTGGTGAAACGCATGGTGCCAACTTGTAGACTATAGTCTCGGGGATGATCAGGACAACACCAGTAGACTCGAATAATGACGCAATGTACTGTATCTTGCAACTTGCAAATTAATCCTCTGGTTGGATGACGAAGGAAAAAAGTGGTTTTGTGAAAAACAATCTGGCATCCGTCAATTATATATAAATATATTCAAACGTTGGGAACTTCTTAATCCTTCACCAGATCCACCCACTCGCGGGCAATGGATTGTGTACCCTATCATTCGAAACCCGGGCTTGATCGAAGGCTTGTTATTCCTCCCGTACACCGAACATGATACCAAGGAGAGTAAATTAGCAGATGACTAGCGGGTGGACTAGCCCGCCCTTGACACCTAAGATCTCACAGTCAGGTGAGTCTACAAGCAGACGAAGCCCGTGAGCAGGGGTTGGGACTAGCTTGTAGATTCAGCTAATATCATTGTTCTCAAAGACGCGGGCCTCATTCGGTACATCCTCGGATTCAAAATTTCGAGGAAATAGGGTTCCTGTAATCAACTTGTATAGCTCAATTCACTTTCAAGGTCTCGCCAGATGTACATACCATGTTTATCTCCCTACTAAACTAGGTATAGTTCAACTAGAAGTCATCGCTGCCTAGAACCGCGCCCTGTTGTCTTAACAAGCCTGACTACTGAACTACAATGGCGGTACCCCTGTCAGAGGTGGCTAGACAATGCATGCAGCAGTGGGATAACTTGAGACGCGTCAATCCACAACAGGTAATCCGCACTCGTATACGTTGGTAAAAAAAAATGGATCGATGGATCTGCAGGAAATTGTGGATCCAGAAGGACTGAGTGGGCCGGCTGCGCCCAGTCCACCTGTAAGAGATCAACTTTGAATTCGTACTTCAACGGTCGGGACTTATACTAGGCAATGGTGTGGGTTGTTAGCAGTTCTTCTAGCACCATCCTGGTTGTCTTCGTACAATGTGAGGATCAACTGTGTCCAGATAACCAACCAATAAGAAGTCGCGACTATATATTAGAAAAGTAGTGTTAATGTGACAAAGGTCTATCAGAACGAATTGAGATTCCAATGTAATATCGTCAATTTGGGAGCTTTGGACGGTCTTTTGGGACAATTCACACTACAACAAATGCGACAGTTGGGATATGGTCCCGGTCCATTCTATTCATCACCGCCACAGCAGCACTCAAAGCAAAGCAGGCCACAGCACCTATGTTTTTACCCGTCGTTAGCAGAGTCCAAAAGGCAGATTTGGATAACCTACACGCCACAGCAGACATCCCCGGCTTCACCACCGCCACGTAGATTAAGTGCTGTCGCTTCATGTGTCGTCCCCTTTAAGAAAGGTCAGTTCGCCACACAACTGATGTAAGGAAGAAGGAGTTGTTCATACCGTCATGTTAGCATTGGGGGCTTGGAGAGGAGCCGGAGAAAGTGGTTGTTGCACCGTCACAGTCTGGGGATCCCAGGCATGCTCGGGAGTTTCCTTTGTAGAGGGTCTACCAAAGGGGGTAAGGAGCCAACTCAGAAGATGCATGCTGTGTGATTTTGAACAAAGAAGATAGGAGGAGTTAACTAGACGGTACAGTCTGCAGTGGCTACTCGATCGGATGCGAGGACCCTTTATATTTTTTCGGGTTAGAATATCCAGTCGGATCATGGTGGCCGTTAGCGTGGGCGTATTCTCAGGGGACTTCAAATAGGGAGTTGGTAGTTGGTGTCGCTAGAACAGACCCCACCCGATGCTTTGGATCAATGGTCTTATGGAGATATCAGACATAGGAATCTCTGGGGCTTATTTCAGTCGGACTAGGTAGGACTAGCGAGACATTAGGCAACATAAAAGGTTAAGTATCCCCAGTGCCTGCAGGCGGTATCCTACACGGGAAGTGTGTACCTGTGTGTAGACTATTCGACGAGGAGCGAAAGTCCATGTGTCTATCAGCGGAGAAGATTGCAGGAACAGGCCAGAGCACCGAAATTTACCAGCAGGCAAATAAAATGTGGATTATTGTTTGTTTTCACCCTCGACTGATAGCTTACTATTGATTTGATGACCGTTTGGGCCAAAAACAATTCCGCAAGTGCAGCGACAAGCATTCGCATTCTGCAATAATACGTCCGTAAATAAATCAGCTCCTATGCCCTGATAAAGGTGGTATCGGAGTATACACTCTCTCAGAAGTTAGTGCTACTATTGGCATGCTTCGAACAATACTCTAGCTTAGTAAAGGGATTGGATTCTCTTCTGAATTACATTATTAAAGGTATTTGTACTAAACGTTGACATTAATCCAGGAACCAAATATTAGAATGTCTATGGAAGGCGTGGCCTTCTCGAACCTTTCCCTTTTTACACAGTTAAAGCCTCGGGACGGTCTGAAAGTGAACCAAGAATACGAGCGGATGCTAAGGTAGTGGAGCAAGCCCAGTTCCACAAATGATGCCAACGAATTGAGCATTAGACTAGGGCCGCGACCCTGAAACCCAGGCGATTTTTAAGTTTTTCTAGGCTTTCTGCATGCTGGCTGCTGTTGCATGCCGATATGTCTTCGCATGTGACAGAACTGAGCCCCTGTGTTCCCTGACACAGCACATGGCCGAGCCACAGACTCAACCTTCACTTCCTGTCTGCTTTCCTTTTCAGCCACCATTGTTTGCTAGGGACACGGTCATGGCCCCGTCAATTACACCCTATACGCAAAAGCTGGCGCGAAAAACCCATCGAAAGTCTCGCTTTGGGTGCCGCAACTGTAAGCGGCGCAGGATCAAGGTTGGTGGCGGCCTTGAACTCTTCCCTGCCTCACGCAATTGGTAACTGACGACTTCACGCAGTGCGACGAGATAAAACCACATTGTACTAATTGCATACGTCACGCAATTGATTGCGATTACAGCTCACAGCGCAGAATTTCCAGCAGCTCGCCGACCGAAACCAGTTCCTCTAACTCGTCTCTCTCGGATAGAGCCGATGGTGACTACACCTACATCTCATCCACCCCTACGAACTTTAAGCCCCCGACGCGAGCCCATGGCCCTTCGCGCACCTCGGCGCCTCAGCCCCACCACTCTGCTCGCCCCTCGCATGAAGTTGCGAAGAGGCCATTCGAATTCACAGCTACCGACATGGCCCTCTTCCATCATTTTCTAACTTCCAAAGATTTAACCGCAGTCCAACCCCGCGCTCAACAGCAACTCTGCCGACTCGGGTTCTCCCATCATTATGTTCTGCGCCTTCTACTAGCGTTCGCTGGATTCCATCTCGTGCGGAAATCAGCAGGCGATCCAATGGTCCAGTACATGGGCACAGCGAAGGACTACTTTGCTGAGGCCGACCGTCACTTGGAGACGGCGGTGCAGGAGGTCACGGCTCTGGTCCCGCAAATCAATCCCGATAATGCGCCCGCGATGTACGCGTCCGCGATCTTCATCTTTCTCTCCTCCTTGGCCAAGGGCCCGCAGCCGGGCGAGTACCTGGCTTTCCGGGATGATGGCGGGTCTGGATACCTGGGGCTATTTCTAGGTGTCCGCTCAATTCTAGAGCTGTGCCAAAACGACATCCCGACCGATGTGTTCGCCATTTCCGGGGACGATAACCCTACCTCGGATCCATCCGGTGGCGACCTCGCAAGCCAGGACGCTGCTATTCTCGCAGAATCTCAGAACTACGAACACCATCTCAACTCGCTGCGCCAGCTGCTGTCCATTTATGTGCCTGACTCTGACCCTCGCTCTCCCAGCTATCACCGCATGTTGAACCACCTTCACTACTGTCTTGCTGCTGTCTTAGGTCCCGGTCCCCGTTTACCCGGGATGTCTCTGTTTCCGCATATTTTCGCATGGCTATACCAATTACCAGACGATCTGATGCACGATCTACGGAGGAAAGAATCGGTCGCTCTCATCCTCTTCTCGTTCTTTTCGGTCCTCTTGCGGCAGCTGAATGCTGTCTGGTTCATCCACGACTGGCCGCAACATATCGTCAAGGGCGTATACTCCAACCTCAACCCTGCATTCCGACCGTTCATACAATGGCCACTCGACTGGGCGGGACTCGGTGATCTGGAACAGGTCTTGGGTACAGGGACCGACCTTGCTGCTTATTGTAGTACGCCGGTCGGTCTTGCTGAATTTTCACGGTCAGATCGATATGCATAGCGATGTTTAAAATTGCGTTGTTTATCTGCTAATAAAACATGTCCAAGAACGAAAACATTCCTTTCTACCGGGCGCACAACGTTGAAACTCGACATTTCCCATCGAGCCAGACGTACCGTAAGCCTAGACACAGCGGAAACTCTCCGCAGAAGAAGCATCGCCTCCCATGTACTTCGCCTGCGCAGGATAAGGACACAGGATACGCGACTGCTTCGCCCCATTGGACCCTGCGTACTGCACGGGCAGAGTCTCAGGGGCTGTCCCGTTCTCCACCCACTGTCTGAGGGCATCGAACGTAGTGGTGGGCTGCCCGCCCACACCGCCCGAACAATGCCCTAACCCGGGGGCCTCGAAGAAGCGATAGAATTCCTGGACATCGGGGAAGAGATCACTCATGGCGTTGTAGTAGAATTCGGTGTCCTTGGTCGGGATGCTGGGGTCGGCCTGTTGGACTTAGTTGTTAGATCTGCTCTTTCTTTGAATAGTCAAGAGTATAAATGCAAAAGGGCGAGAAACATACCATGCCATGATAAGTAATGAGCTTCCCGCCTGCCTTGCGGAACTCGCTCAGGTCGGGATCCGCCGCGTTCATGACATCGGTATACTCCTGACTGGCGAGGTGGAAGGCCCGCTCGTACTCCGCGCGAGTCATCTTGCTCGTCTCGAAGCTGGCGTTCTTGGCCACGAACAGGTTGAACCAGACATCCGCCTGGGTGCTGTTCTCCTCGGGCACGGAGCCATAGGTGCTGATGTCGGAGCCGGGGTTCACCCCGTACCAGAGGAACTTGCCATCCTGCGTGCGCGGACCGGACCAAGCGGCATCAGCGATTATCGCGGCGCCTTCGCTGAGCGCAATTGTTCGATTCACGGCTGGGCAGTGGAAGGTCTGATTGACGGACGTGTACGGGGCTGTAATCGCACGCCGTCATGTTGGAGATGATCCCATCCACAACCCCATCCTTGGGATCACAGCGGGCGACAGCCTCCGCCGTTAGGAAATTCAACTCGCACGCCAGCGGATTGACTCCGCGCCACTCCCGCATCAACAGCGGGTAATAAACAGCGGAGACAAACTTGGTCCAGGACTGCGCGGGTGCGGACGCCGCGATGCCATCGTACGCTGTCGGGTACCGCTGCGCCAGCATCAACCCCTGCCGCCCTCCCTGGGAGCAGCCACTCCAGTAAGAGTAGTCCGGCTCGCGTCCGTAGAAGCTGCGAATCAGGCTCTTGCCAATGACTGCTTGGTCGTTCAACGAGCGGGAACCCAAATTATGCAACGCCGCGTAGTCGACGTTGCCGGGGCTGGTGAGCGCCCAGGCGCTGGGAAAGACCGTGTCGCCTAGCCCCGCGTCGGTCGTCGTCGTCGCATAACCCTCGCCGATCGCTCCGCCCATGAAGAACTGAGACAGTACGAAGCGACCGGCCTGCCAGCCTCCGCCGCCGGTGGCTTGTAGGCGGCCGTTCCAGCCGTGGCGTGGGAGCCAGGTCTCTACGGTGATACGGTCGTCGTATCCCGAGTGTGTGTAGGTGACGGTGATGTTGCAGAACTCTGCATTGCGCAACTCGACGTCGCCGTGGTTGTAGTTGAATGTGGCTGGGATAGTGCGAGTGTAGTTGGTTACCCAGGCGGCTGACAGGTGAAGGATTTCTGCGCCGAAGACGGCTGGGGGTTGGATCGCTGAGGGCGAGCAAGTGAGATTCATCTCTAAATCTAGGAAATGGGGGAATGGGAGGTCCAGTTCCGTGTAACAGTAGAGATTATATAGGAAGATACGACAAAGGGACTTGTATGTGGTGCAGTTGTTATGGTTCTGAATCAGTTGGTTGCGAGCAAATTCTGCTTTTTCTTATACCATGACATGCGCATGCGAAAGTCACGGTTCTATTCTATTCATGTCAGTCAATTCTTTTCATGCATATGATACGAATGCGAACTTCTTACCATTGCACTGGGCCGGCAGTGGATGCTTGCCACTGCACCGTGGAGTGACAACTTTCGGCTATACCCGACTGAGAAGTGAATCCTCCACTTGGCTTCCTGATTTGGCGTGCGGGTTGTCCATAAAGGGAGATTCGTTTTCGGGATGGATTTAATGGCTCCATTGCCGTTGCCAAGCATCATGTTTCCACTTGACTAACTCAGAGATCTTCCCCCTGAATCGGCTGGAAAGCACATATTTGCACTTTTCTCGGCGAAATTGTGGATGCACGAACCCAGTCCAATGGTTCCGAGTTATCATGTAGAAATTATTTGACTCTAATCTGTGTGGATCTCAAGGCTCACAGTACGAAGTCAAGTATCCATCCCCAAGATTATGTGATGGAAATTGATAACATGCTCCTCGTCTTGAGGCAAGAGAAAAAGAGGACTGGATGAAAATTGACCGTTGAGATGAGGAGTTTGCCCGGTAAACCCTTTCTAAGAAACCCACTATTCTAGACCCGCAACAGAATTTAGATCTATATATATATGAGCAGTCCCACTGGCATTTTCTCTACACTCAATAGGCGTGTGCATTTGAGATCCTTACCATTCGCCCTTGACCCTAGCAAAAACTGCCTGACAGTGTACAAAAGAATGGGCCAGGTTGGGAGATTCGCATGGGTCCTATGGTCGAGCGTTTTGACCATTGGCTCTCTGATATGCCTTATCATTGTTGCTATTGGTTGCATACATCCCAAGCAAGCAAAGAATCTCTATATGTTTCAGGTAAGTCGATCCTATCTCGCAGGGCATGACAGGACCCAGTCTGACGAAGTTCGATAGATTGACCTCAAAAACCTTACAAGTTCGCCTAACTCTGCGATTGATACAACCCTTGAAGCTATCACTGGCGGACATATGAATCAATTTGTGCAGGCCCTGCAGGAGGGGAATCAATCAGGAAACTTGCAGGATTTCTACACCATCGGGCTTTGGAACTACTGTGCTGGCAATAACCCGCACGACGGGGTCTACAACACAACCTACTGTTCTAAGCCCCGCGGTGGATTTTGGTTTGATCCGATCGAGCTCTGGGGGTTGAATGAAACCGACATAGGGAAGCATCCCCCTCACCGGTTGCAACAGACGCTGGATATCTACCAAAAAGCCTCTCTTTGGATGCAGATCCTGTATCTTCTCGCTATCTGTACCGGCATTCTCCAGCTTTTGGTTGGTCTCCTGGCCTGCTGCAGTCGCCTGGGAAGCTGCATCGCCTGGCTTCTCACCGGAGTCTCCCTCTTGTTTACTCTTGCTGCATCCATCACTTCCACGACGCTCTTCGCCACTCTTGCGGGCACATTCAAAGTGACCTTCAAGGCCTACGGAGTCTACAGTCATATGGGTCGACACATCTACATCGCCACCTGGCTGGCGGTCACTTTGTCCCTCTTGGCGGGAGTGTCGTGGCTCCTCAATTGCTGCTGTTTTCCGGGCGACAGAGCGAGGCGTGTCCCAGCCCGAACCGGCGGTCCTGTCGCTGCGGCAAACAGTGCTTACAGCTACAGACCGGTCACCGCGGGCAAGATTCCAGAGGTCTCCGATCACGTACCTCTGCTCATTTGCCCTGCTCCTCCGCAAGTTCACGACAGGCAGGACTATCGTCCGTATCAGCAGCAGCGGCAGCAGTACCAATACCACCCCCACAACATATACCCCGAAGCCCACGAAATGCGTTGACACAATTGATAACACTCTGACCTCGGTACTGCACTCCGGACACGAGTTTGGTCATGATGTTTTGTATTTCACGCTATTGTACATCGGTTTTATCCTGGGTTCAGTCACCTCCAAATCAAAAGGTTATATGAATGGAAGCCAACTGTAATATTAGAGCTCCACCAAATGCTGAACAGCTTCAGGCCCACCGGTTCATGGCAATGCAACCCGGATAGGGGCAGGGGATCGGGGACAGATGATAGAAATCGATTATGAGAAAGCGTCGGGTATGGGCAGAGTAAACAACGTTCAGCTGGTCACCAGAAATATGTGCGACTAGACCGTAGTGCATGCCGCACTAATTTTGTACATAAGTGATAAGAAGTTTCAATTTTAGGGCAATGCATTCAGGGTAATCTTTGTTTACTGTTTAGGAAGCATGTGGCTTGGTAGTCCAAGGAAGGATTGATTCAACTCGAATTAGCAGGGTATTGATATGGTATAGGGGTGTACATGACACTGAGTTGCCAAGCGGAATAGCAATTCTATGACTATCGGAAAAGGCTATGTCAATTCCGCCAAATCCGGCCTATTTATGCACTGTTTCTTCACATAAAAGATGCACTATCAGATGCAACTAACACACCGCATGATAGGACTAAAGGTTGAGTCATTTGAGAAAGTCTCGAACATCGTCGATGTATTTGCCTCTCACAAGTCGGCATGTTTCCAAGTTACACCATCCTACCAGGAATACCCCGGATATGTTGGCCGGGGATCAGCCTCGGCTAATGAAACGGACAGCCAAGCCTCAACCCCACACCTGTGCTTACGCTCTCAGATCCTCCACCTCATGCCTGTCCCATCTTTGTTGCGAAGGCTTTTATTGACTGCGACGCTAGTATTACCTCCAGCTAGCAACATCGAAGCCAAGTTCGTCTCCAAATCCTCTACAGCTGATCTGTTCTCTGAGAGGAATATGCCTTTGTCACCGGAGATCCAGGACTTCATCCTTGGTTCAAAGGCCGCTGGGACCCGTCCGTGAATGCAGCGTGCGAGCGATTCTTCGAAACATGCCATGCATCCCTTCCTCCTTCGGATGCGGAGTCATTGATCGAAAGTGAAAAAGATGTCAAGTACGGGCCGGATTCCCGACATCGCTTGGATGTATGTGCATAATCATCATTTGGGGTATCTAACAGACGATTGTGAGTTTTCATCAGTTGCAAGGTTCGTGGCTGATGCGTTTATCATAGATCTTCTGGCCCGCCAATGCGTCGAAGGCAAACACAGCCCTCCCCGTCGTCGTCTACTTCCACGGCGGTGCGTTCAAAGCGGGCGATAATACCATCACGCCGCACCTGCATGCCAACATCGGTTAGCTCCCAACCATCTCACGCAGATCTCGTTGCGCTCGTTACTATAACGGAAGAAGATTTGACCATTAAGTACCAGGGAAATTCTTCGCCGCCAGCGGCATGATCGGAGTCCTCGGGACGTACCGCCTCCTACCGCAGGCACGGTACCCGGACGGACGGGAAGACGTCGCAGCTGCCCTAACATGGCTGCATGACCACGTTCATCGGTATGGGGGTGATCGCAACGCCATATTTGCGCTCGGACAAAGTGCCGGCGGTGGCCACCTGGCCATGGCTCTATATGCAGGGAGGCTAATTTCCGACGAGGGCCAGAGCCTGGTGCGTGGAGTCTTGCTCCTAAGTGCCGCGTTGGAGTACGATATGGGCAAGGAGGATCGGCGCAGAAGCATGGAGGCGTACTATGGAATGAATGACCATAATTTTATCCACGCTCATTCTGCTCTGGGTACTTTCCAGAGGTTGTCAAATGACGATGACGAGGCCGTCGGGTCAACGCCCGAGTTATTTGTTATGGTGGCTGAGTGGGATTTTGAGGAGTGTGCCCGGGGCAATCTGAATTTCCTGCAAGCTTACTATAGGCAGCAGCGCCGTCTGCCCAGTTGTGAGGTGCTGTTGGGCCATAATCACGTTAGCTACTGTTTGTCCATCGGGCTTCCGGGTGATGAAGTTGGTCCGAAGATCGTGGAGTGGGTGAGGCAGTGCTTGGAGTAACGGGAGTCTCCGTGTTCCTATGCTCACAACATTCTAATTCATTCCTATTTACATTGCCTCGGCACCAGAGAGCATAGTTACCCGGACCTGTCTTGTGAAATGTACAACCAGTAGAAAAAACATGTTCTATCTTGCGGCCGACCTTCTCAGAGCCCACGCTAAACTCGGAGGGTGACCCTCACATTGAGGAGGTTTCAAATGCAGCATATTCGAGGCAAAGGCGAACTGTGAATAATAACATAGAGGAACCAGAGGCCACTCCACAGAGTGCCCAGTCCAAGCTCAACCAAGGGGTGTACGGGCGTGTCCACGTCAGCACTGGCCCCCGCGCATAAGCACTAAGACAATCATGATAAGCACTACCGGTTCGCATATTGCCTGTGCCCTGTCTTGGCATGCCTGTCACTCTCACCGCCAAGGACGCGGGATCGACATCATCGTAGAAGAGCTCCCCCCTCCCCCTCCCCCCTGGCCTCTCGATCTCATCTCACTTGCACTCATACCTCCACAGTAGTGACGCCATCGACCCTCACACAGAATGGCAACTCTAGAAGAAAGACACCCCGAGCTCTTCAAACCAGTGAGCAACGAGTCTCCCAGGGGCAAGAAGCGGACCGTTCCGCTGGAATGTCTCTGTCTGGGCTTCAACCGGACAGGCACGGCGTGTAAGCCCATCTGCATAATTATAAAGACACACCCAGGTACTGATAAACCGGATTAGCCATGTGCAGTGCACTCGAGACCCTCGGCCTCCCCTGCTGGCACTCCACGCAGTTCCTGTCCACACGATTTGGTGACATCGAGATGTGGCAGGAGGCCGTGGACCGGAAGTTCTTCGGGGCAGGGCCCAAGTTCGGGCGTGCGGAGTTCGACCAGCTACTGCACGACTACGGGGCAGTCTCATCTGATACCCCGGCGATCGCCTTTGCGGAGGACCTGGTGGAAGCATACCCCGAAGCCAAGGTCGTGCTCGTGGAGCGGGACATCGACTCCTGGTATCAGAGCTGGATGGATACGGTGATCAAAAACACATATTCTCCGGTCGTCACGCTTGTGTGTCATATTGATCGGTTCTTCACCCGTCCAATCGGCAATATCCACAAGACCACCTTCAAGGGATGGGCAGGTATCTCGGGCCCAAAAGATGCGCCCCTCAAGAGCAAGGCCAAGTACCGCGAGCACTACGCGCTCGTGCGGCGGGTGACCCCCAAGGATCGGCTGCTGGAGTTCAGGCTATCTGATGGCTGGGAGCCACTCTGTGAGTTCCTGGGGAAGCCCGTACCGGACAAGCCCTTTCCGCATATCAATGAGAAGAAGTGGCTTGATGAGAAGGTCCAGCTTGTGCTGATGAGGGGGATGAAACGCCTGGCGTGGAAAGTTTTGGTTTACTTCCTGGTGCCGTTGCTTGCGGCGGGCTTGTTCTACTATGGGCTTACGCGACCTCCTGTGTGAAGGTTTTCAGTCTGCGGTGTACTGAGGATATAAAACGCACTCCACAAAGCCTCCGTTCTCGGCTAAAGTTGATCCTATAGCTGGAAGAAATACATACAATTCACCAAACAAAAAATAGTCTTTGCTGTAGATGATATTTACCAAGTGCCCCGCATATAAAAGTCTGATTGATATGCTCGATGACGCGTGCTGAAATCGAGAGAACAATTCCTAACTCTCTAGTCCCATGCACTTTCCGCCTGAGCTTTTGCCTGTTCAAGAAGGGACTTTAACTCATCCCTCTCACGCTCAATGTCTCGCATTAATTCTCCGAATGGATTTAGACACGGAGTCCTGTACCGATCTACCGCATGAGCATGGCGAGACTTGAGTCTCTGAATTAGATTCTGATATCTCTTCATTGAGAGATTGTTGTCGTCCCCATCATCAAACTCGTCGTCCCAATCGTTGTCCGAGTCATGATTGTAACTGTCTAGCCAATGGCTGTTCGAATAGTCATCCGACTCGCTATCTGACCCGCCTACCCAGTTGTCATCTGAACCTTTGTCTGAATTGTCATCAGATTCGTCATCGGTCTGCCCTGACACAAGCGCCTCAGCGGCATCCGCAGTCCACCCGTGCCCGAGGTCAATAACAACTTGGGCTCCCGCCGCGAGAAGAAGTCGTACAATCAGCATCCATCGGACTTGTTCTTTAGCATCGAGAAGTCTTCTGGATTTGCGAGTCAATCTAACAGTGCTCCTGACTTTGCTGGTTGCTATGGCTAGGACAGTACCATGAGGATGCCCTGGCAGAGGCATATTAACGTTGGCCATACCGACATCGAGCAAATACCGAATGGCTCTGGGAGCACCGGCATCAACGGCGGCGGCCAAGGCACTTCCGTGGAGGCCCGTATGGAGGGGCAGATTGACGTTGGCCTGGCGACTTTCCACGAAGTATTTCATCAGCTCTAATGCCTTTGCACTCCTTCGCGAGCACCATGCAGCAGCAGCCAGAGCGCTGCCGTACGCCCCATGGTGCAGAAGCAGATCGACATCTGCCCCCCCTTCCTCCACTAAGCATTGGCTGCCTTCCAGCCATCCCAGACCAGCAGCTAACACAAGTACACTCCCATAATCGCTTAAAGGTAAACGCAAATTGGCGTCCGCAAAGCCTACACAAACCAATAGCCTCAACATGGTTAGATCAGTGTTCAGGATAGCTGCCTCCAATGCGGAGGATGTGAAGCGCGAGCAGCTCTCCAATATGCTGGGCGAGCAGTCATCGGTGGCCTCCTGGGAGCTGAAATCTCTGTTTACTTCTTCCAGGAGAATTCTGACCACCTCGACTTGGCCCTGAGACACTGCTGCCTTGAGTGGTGTGAGGCCCGTCATCGAATTGGCTTGAGCGGCAATAGAGACGCCTTTCTGCAAAAGAGCCTGCACAATTGGGGCATGGCCATTCCTGACGGCCACCATCGTGGGACTGGGCCCGATGTCATCACTCCAGACAGGGCTCAGCTCGGCTCTTCTCCACCAATCCACCAATATTTGCACAAATCCATACCTACACACAGCCAGAATTGAGCAGTCAGCAGGTTCCATGTCTTCCAACGGCGCCCAGAGGCGGTATTGTGCACTGCTGGCTTCCGGGGCACCGAGGAACTTCTCAAGAAGGCCTGTAACGGGCGCCAAGTCGTCATCCATTGCCACAGGGCTGTTCTCAAGTCTCTGAAGGTGCTTGTGCCAGTTGAATGCGCTGTATCGCATCAACACTGGTGAATAATCAACCTCGGCGCCCAGTTCAGAAGGCAGGCTCGAACCCATCAAACGACCCCAGTAGATCTCACTGAGCATTACTTGCAGACAGACCTTGCTGGCCATCAAGTTGACCGCCACGTTGTGCCAACCGTGGCGTTGTTCAAAGTACTCTGCAACCGACAGATGCGAGACTCTCCACAAATCCTGCTCCGAGTCAATGACGAGGAGATTGCGACACAAGGAAAGCAACTCATCCGAAGTGATTGGGGCACATAACTCCACCCCATCGTGCTCGGGATTGACGCGGATTACCTCCAGGAGCTGCTGTCGTGAGAGTGGGGTGTTCACAGCCAGAACCCATTGGAAAGCCCGTTGCGCAAGTTTTCGATCGTGACTCCCGCGGTCGTACATCTCCTGGTAGAGCCTGTCATATGTCTCGTCGAGTGTCCTTGGAAGTATCCCCAGACATTCCAAGATTGTCTCGGCGCTGACGCATTTCGCCAGCTGATCGAGCTGCAGAGCGGTCCATTGAAACCTGTCCGAACATCAGCAGCCGCCATCATAGTGCTATGACTGCGCAAAAAGAACGTGTGCTTACATGCCATCACATTTCTCTAAAAGAGCCGACATTACCGGAGCGTGGAGTTCCTCATGTGCAATCACGTCAGGGATTCTCTGCCTGATATACATCTGGATATCGTCGCGGTTATCTGTCGCCTGAATTTCGATGTTCGGGTGGGACTGGAATCGACTTCGGATATCGCCGTCAGGGCGGCTCGCAATGAAGAGTCTAACCGGCCTTCTGCTGACTCGGAGCAATTCCTCAAACAGTCGCAGAAGTTCTTTCCGCGATGCAGGGTCGCACTCGTCAAATGCATCCAGTATCAGGGTGGTCCGGGGATAGAGATTTAAGGACTCGATCAAGAGAGTCTTACAGAGTGCAAGGTCTAGACTTGCTGCACGAATCCGCTGCTCCTTATAGCAGATCCGAAGCTTGGACTGAATGTAACAAGAGCTGATTTTGATTGCGCAAGACGACAATTGGCGAACATAGCTCTGGGCTACAGCCAAAGGGCGGGTACGGATGTCCTCGGTTCGGTTGCAATAGAAGTAGGCAAAGCCTTCGTCGTTGGCGGTCGTTCGGAGAGTGCCTTCGACGTGGTCGATGACTCTCGAGGTGAGAAAGGTCTTCCCCGTGCCCGCTTGGCTGCTGTCAGTTCTCGATCCTGTAACCAACGTCACTTGAGGCTAAACTTACGAGATCCTCGCAGCCACAGCACGGCTGTGGAGCTACTGTCCTCCCACTGTCGGAAGATCCGGTGTTGTAGCAGCCAATCCCCAGTTCCCTGCGTCCGATTGCCGCGCACTAAGTTATGATTCTCTCCATATTTGACAGACGAGACCCAATCCAGGATCTCGAGGGCATCTTTCACCTCAAGCCGCTCCAGAAATGCTGTCACCCGGCTGTCAATCCGAGGAAGGTAGCCCTGAAGGGCCTGCATGTGTTGCAATATCTTAACGTCTGATTCTGCACTACGTTTACTCTCGCATGCACTGGCCGTATAGTTGAGTTCGCGTTCCTTCGCTGCGAGATCGGAGAACAGCCCCGTGGTCTGATCGAACATTCCTTTTAGCACTCTCTCCGTAGTCGACGTCGACAGTAGATCAGTACTGTAAGACAACAATTCCAAGGTAGCCTGGTAGACGTTGACAAGATCTCGGTGCAGCGTCTCCTCAATGCCACCATCCTCTGCCGAGTAGATGACCTCGTATACTCTGGCACGGTGTGTGACCTGCAGGACTCGGTCCACAGTCCCAAGTAGAGCGGTCATTTGCTTGTCGAATGCAACAGGAACCTAGAAGCCTCGGTCAGAGTACTAGCTGCGGGTCGTATAGACAATTTTCCTTCGGTCGTGGGGCTGACTTGGCACAAGAGCACAGACAGGAGACCCGAATCCAGGGATTTCAATGCAGAACTCAAGGGACGCGTTGCTTGGACAGCCCGGAACCCACCTCTAAAACCTTCTTGATCAAACCCCATGGCCCTGCCGCTTGCGATGGCGCAAAGGGAACAACAAGATCGCCGATCAACTGCACCCAGGTCGCACATTTGGACGCGTAGTCTCGCACGATGATCTTGTGCTGTCCGACGTCAAACGTCCAGGTCTCTTCATCGCACTGCTTCTGCTTCTGCTGCAGAACTTTGATAATGGTATTCAAGCTTTGTTCCTGCTGCGATGTTCTGGATACCGGCTCGTAGCCGAATGCTCGAAGTTGAGCTCGGGTCGCAGGCGATAGCTTTTCGAAGGCTTCATTCCAGAGGTCTCGAGCTTGTCCTTTATTGTGATGATCCTCCTGCGATGGTTCGTCCGGTTTTGACTTCTCCCCTGCGTCTTCGTCTTTTACCACGTAAGCGAGCGAGTGTTGGGTATCATGGTGTTGGGTGTGTTTGGGTAATGTCGCCGAGTTGCCCTGGGAGATATCCCGCGGCTCAGGATCCTCGCAATGATATTTTTCCTTCGGGGTCGAATCTCTACAGAGCACCGACGAGGTCGCGCTTTCCTTCAGCTGTTGTTCTGTAGGCTGATCGGGGTCGTGCCGTGTGCGGTTCGAACTTGTGGACCCACGATCGGCGTTAGTCTCCCTGTGCCATATACAATCCCAGCCGTGTGAGACCTTCTGCCTCAACCTTCTCATATTTTCATCAACACGTACAGAGTAGGACCGGCTCTGTGTAGACAACAAGGGGTGGAGGCACTCGTTTTTGAAACCTACTGTCGAGATAATCAAAACTGGTTGTGAGCTGGGCTCAGCCGAACGCGGGGCTTGTGCATTAGTTCCGAAGAACTAGCGGTTATGTCGGCTTGCAATTGGCGCGAACTCTCCACGGTATGTTGGCTTTTTTTTTGCATTTGCTGGTGGGACCGGTCAATTGTGCCAGGTGTCCATGACGTTCCATCGAGTTTTCAGGCCGATCTGAATTCCTGCTGTTGTGTCGTTTGCTTTCACAGACTTAGAACCACCGACGATTACCAGTGATGTTAGGTCAGGGTTGATAACTCGTTCCCTCGGCTCCTGATTTACGCTCCAAGTCACAATCGGGGACCTTTTGTCCACACATTGCTGACCCTGTCTCAAATTGGTTTTGCACAGGCGAGTAGACCAAAAGGCTTCTCCCTTATATTGAATCATGTTCTACTCCGTAGATCTCGACTCTACCTACTGCGGATCCTTTTTATTACAACCCTCTGTGAGCCGAATGTCTCTATTTGCCAGAACGAGATCTTCGACATCACAAACCGGTCGGTATTTTCCATTTGATCCGTGGCAACGAGAAGCACAGTATTACTCTAATGATCAATTTATATTGCTGCCAGTAAATAGAGTTATGGATAGCAGTAACGTATCATGTGCTGCTCGTGGAGCTTACATCGGTAGTACGGTACATTACATGCTTCATCAATGCATCCTCTGTAACCAATAGGTGATAGGCGATATCGCCGATCAAAAGTTCTGGTATAGTTACGTCTGTACTCATTGTTCTCTTGAACGGAAACCCTGACTGAGAACCACGACCATCTGCGTGGGGACCGAAAAACACCACCTATTCTAGAGGATACTTTTGTTAGTGGTACCGGAAATACGGAAGACGGAGAATGTCAGGCGAACAGGTACATGAAATGGTCCAAGCTGATTACTCTCCAGCTAGACATGTATATTGAAGAACACAGCGTGATCTATCCAAAATCTACCCTTTCCCCCACACTTCTGTCTCGCTAACCAACCCCAGGAGAGTCACGGTCTTCCTCTTGGGGGCACCAGCAAGGTCTTAACATGTTAAACTAGAGCGTCCTCCCAAGATTAACTCCGACATTTCCTGTGAACGACCGGATCAATTGGACAAGCAGATCAGACCGCCGGTTCAGTTCCATTCGAGCCATTTCCCGCGTCCTTCTCCTTCAGCCCGTACTCCGTCTCCAAATGCGACCGCAACTTGATATTCTTCTCGAAGAAGCAGAGCAAAAAGGACAGCCCGGAGAACCCGATGGAGACCTGCCACACCACGCGCAGACTGCGGGAATACACATCGATGGTTTCTGCCCGCACCTGGACGGGGAGTGCGCTGATGGTCGCGCTCGAGGCGTACGAGTATGCATTACCCCCGCTCAGCATGTCGCGTACCGCGCGGTCGTTGATCGACGCGGCATACTTGTCGAATTGGTTGTTGAAGATGGCGGCGGGCACGGACAGGCCCCAGATAATGCCGAAGCTGCGGACAAAAGCCCACAGTGCTGTCGACGTCGCCGTGTCTTTCTCCTCGAGTCCGGCTTGGACTGCCGGCAGAAGCACGGGCATGATGGTCCCGGCGCCGAATGCAGCGACCATCTGGGTCAGCGTCCACGCTGCGGTGGAGGAATCGGGGCCGAGCACTGTGAAGGTGCCGAGGCCGATGGTGAGAAGGGCGAATCCTACGACGTGCAGTAATTTGTAGTTGCTTGTCTTCGAGAGGATTGCACCTGACACGCCAGCGACTGGGATCATTGAGATCACGGTTGGGAGGAGCTGAACCCCGGAGCGTTCTGGGGACGACTGTAGCACGGCCTGAAAGTAGACCGGTAGCATGTAGAGGATCCAGAAGCTGAGAAGGCCGTGCATGAAGGTATTGAAGAACGCGATGATCGAAGTACGGTTACTAAACAGTCGCAACGGGGTGGTTGGCTCTTTCACAAATGGAGTCCCTTGATAGAAGACGAACGCTGGGATTCCCAGGAGACCGATAATCAGTGGAGCGAGGACGTGGTCAGACGACCAAGGGTAACGCGTGCCGCCCCAACTGAGCGCAATCAGGATGGATACAATCGCACCGACCAGCAGCAGGTTCCCGAGGTAGTCCAGGCGCTTCAGCTTCGTCCCAACGGACATCTCGCGGTCATCGTTCACTTGCAGGAAGAGTATGAGTAGGACGAGACCCACTCCACCAATCGGGAGGTTGAGGTAGAAGACCCATCGCCAGGTGGTGTTGCCGACGATGGCACCGCCAATGAATGGGCCCAGTGAGGTGCCAATGGCAAAGACGACAAACAGCAGCCCAATATATGCGCCTCGCTGCGTCAGGGGGACCAGGTCGCAGATGATGAGATCGATTAGCATGTTGATTCCGCCTCCCCCGACGCCTTGCACCGCACGACCAGCGATTAGCATGGCCGCGCTTGAGGCACCTCCGCAAATACCACTGCCGAGGATGAAGAGGACGACGGAGAAGATCATGGGATAGCGGCGGCCGAAGACATTGGCGAGTTGTCCGTATAGCGGTTGGAAGGCTGCCCTGTGTAGAGTAGGTCATATCAGCCTGTGGTGGGCCATGAGGGTATCTTCACATACGTGGTCAAAAAGTAAGCATTAGATACCCACGGGTAATTGTCGCCAATCTGGAGGTCAGCGACAACGGTCGGAAGAGCAGTGGACGTCACAGTTCCCTCGAGAGCAGCCAGCAAGGAAGTCACACACAACGCAACAAAAACCAACCAGAACCGGAGATCATGGTTGAAGGTCAGCTTTGGCGCATCGTCTGGTGCACCAACCGACTCGGGAGGACTGTTCTTCGGTTCCATGGCGTTGCTGGGTGAATCGCACGTTGAAGTGTGCAGTGATGGAGAATTCGAATGGTCTGTGAGTGAAAAAGAGTAAAGATGACGAAGCTTTGTGGGAAATCCATCTCCGCGGTCTTTTTGGGCTGTTCGGAGACATTTCGCAGAGCTATAGGGTTCCGATTCCGAAACTTCTGTTGCTTGCAAAATGTACCCGAACTGGCGGCCTCAGGCATCCGGTGTCATCCGTATACAATCGGTAACAACACAACGTACCTTTTTGAATGCTTCATTCGGTTCTACCACAGATTGTACAATACCGAGGAGACACAGGAGGTATGCTCTCTGCAATTGGAATGAAAAAGTGGAGTATTCTTGAAAAAGAAAAGGCATTGCAGCCCAGAGAAGTTGTCTCCTCGTTCGTATCATTCTCACAAACAGGTATCATTAATGCACTTGCGGATTTTGTCCACGAGCAACCGCGACGGGGCCAAGCGGGCGGCTGGACCCCCGGTGGACCCCGAACCATCGGGATGCGCAGGCCCGCGCCCACTGCGGGCCTCCTGCTGCGCCAAAGCATCCAGGACCGACATGTACGTCCCGGGAGCGAACAGGATATGCCCTGCACCGGTCAATAGGATCTCCACGCCGCGGTCGATGCGTTCCAGTAGGTCGCAGCTCAGCTGCAGGACAGTTGTGATCTGCTGCACTCCGTCTAATTTCAAGGTCGACCCGTTCAAGTGCACATCGGACAAAGGTACAGACCCTGCGAAATTGTCCAAGACGGCAAGCGGGCCAGTCACATTGCCTGCAGGACTGTACCGCGCTACTAAGCATTGTACAGATGTATGTAGATCAGTGAGAACGCTGCGGTGCAGGCGGAGGAGCAGCACGTGGCAAGTCGCGATGGTTAGACAGATGGGAAATTGGGTCTGGCAGGCGAGGGGAAGGGCTGGTCGCGGTTTTCGAGGTGTCTTATCAGGGTGGTCCTTGCTGCTAGTCTTTTCCTCGCTCCCTTGAGGTCCGAAGGATGGGGAAGTGGCTGGAGATTTGTCGAAGATAGGTACAGCGGACGAGTATAAATTGTCCGGTTTTGGAACCGAAGCTCGGCCAGCAGGACCCATGCGGTTCTCATCATCCGAACTGCGTGAATAGTCGGTGGCAGCGCACTCCGGAGGTGGAACGCTGCAGACAGACTTGCGATAGGAGGAGACAAAGGATTGTATGATTTCGAGGAAGGTCTGTGAACAGCGCATCATCTGCTGCATCGAATGGTCGCTTTTTGTGTTAGCGACGTCGGACAAGCGCGATTCGAAAGCATTAATGTCAGGCGAAGAACCATTTATGGAGGGTTCAGCTGGGTTTGTCGCCTGACTTTCAATCCGATATACCTGCTCTAGGAGGGTGCTGTGAAGCTTCCACAAGCGCTCGACATTCTGCTCCTGAGGGTTGGCGGCTGCGGAGGCAGTGGGGCCGACTGCGTGGGGCTGCGAGCTCATGGCCAGATCGGCGAAAGCGGAGGTGTCGAATAGATCCATGTTTGGAAGATCAAGGTCATAGCCTAAGTCTCCCTCATTGAAGACCAGTTCTGGTAAATCATTGACCGCGTCGAATTCCATTCTGGCCATGGCGAGGTCGGGTGATGGCTGAATAGTGGCACAGGATGGCGGGGTCGAAGAGTCAGTCCCGGTGTCCTTGGATCGTGTGTCCACGGACGTCTTGCTTGATTTGCGACAGTAACGAGGTTTGGGATTCAGGGAGCGCGGCCGACCCATAGGCATGGGAGCACCAGTAACACAAGTTAAGTGGTTTCGAGCGCAGCGATCGCAGGCGATTGATGTATCCGTCCGGTGGGTCGTCCGATCACAGCGGAGCTTCTGACTGCGACACCGGTCACAGGCGTGGCGTCGAAATGGTTTCGGTTTCCGATTGCTGCTGTCGGATTCAGCCGGTGGTCCAATCAGGTCCATTGAGCTGCGGAGTAATTCGAGTAATATGGATTCTACGATATGTATTGATGAAACTACTTATGTCAATGGAAGTTCAAAGTGAATCGTGTGATTTGGAGTAAGCATTGACAGGTTGTTAGGGATCTTCAATTGATCACACCGCCTACTCATTAGGGCAGCCACCACCGCGGACATCGGAGGTCGGAGATCGGATGTCCGGAACCCCAATCAACCTAGTTGTACTCATAGTAACTAACTCTCCTCGCTTAACAACGTGGTCATCTTCGCAAACTATAGTCATTCCTATTGCTATTCTCACCTTCGCACCCATGCTCATGGTGGGAGAGAAACCCCACGGACATCTCGGTTGCGCGACGTGGGAAAGTGGAAACGGACTTCAAAGGTCTCAGTTCGCCGAATCGTGGGGCGAAACGGGACAAACTGTAAATGTCACCAATGAGTGGGGTCATGATCCCTACCCTCATACAGCAAATAAATTTATTCTGACCCAGATGTCAGATGCTGAAGACAGATCGAGACCATACTTGGCTAAGCCTGAGCTCAACCACAGCGGCTTGAAGGCTGCACCATACCCACTGCTCTCGGAGATCAACCCTCATCTGGGTCACAAGCGGGTCCCGAAAGAACACACGGAGACTCTGAAGGCCTAGGTAAATGATGCGAACTATAATGGGCACGGAGTGAATTTTCCGGTACAGAGAACAATTCGCATTGTGGAGAGAATTTTATCGCGAAAGGAGTAGACGAACTTTCAATGAACTGTATTTGACCCTCGTGGCACCTGGCATAGTGGAGAATATACATATTGTGCACGCACAACAGTAAAACAAGAAGGCAGGCTCATTCATCGATTGAAAAGGACTTCCGTCGCGTCGATCCATCAGCAGCAGCTATAACCGACAAAGGACCCAGCTCAAACCCCAGAAGAATCAGAACGCAGACGCGAATCCCCGGAATCCCTCCTCCCAACACTTGCCAACTCGACCGCATCCCCCTCCAACCCCGCCTCTGCCTCACGATCCACCTCTCCCAAAACCCACACCACCTGCCCATCCGCATCCATCTGAGACCAGAAATGATACCGCCGATCCTCATCTCCGTTTTCCGCCATATCCGCCAGCCGCTTCACCCCCTCCGGCCCGCCTACCCAGGGAATTAACGAGCCAATCGCCTTCGGGATCCGGGGCGCATTGTACCGCCCAAAGTAACAAGCGAACACGGCCACCAGCGCGACGACATCGATTGATAAGATCACGATGATGATGACGATGGTTGTGCTCGAGGGCATGAAGCCCCAGAAGGTGTAGGTGGCCACTCCCGGGATTTCCACCATCGGGCCGCGGGGGAAGATGAGGTCCCGGTTTACGGTGAGATAGGTTGCAAAGGTGGATTGGTATAAGGTTTGAACGGCGGAAATGAGGGCTTGGGTGGTGTTAGTGGCGTCTGTTTGTTGCGTGGTTTGGTAGAGCTGGGTGGTCTGATGGTTGGGGAAGGAGGAGAGGTAGTACGGGAGCGGCTGGGTTGAGATATTGTGGACAAAAGAGCCGAGATTCTGATTGAAGAGGCCAAGAGCGGCGGTGAGGTTGGCATAGAAGAACCCGGTGGTGAGCGGGACCGTATGAGGGACAGCGGAGTGTTGCAGAATATGGCCACTGGGGTCGACTTGAACCTCAAAGAATTGGGTGTGGAGCTGAGAAGTACAGTGCAGCGCTGTCGTCGTATGGTTGTCGTTGGGTAGACTGGTAGCGGAGACGAAGAACCCTCCTCTCTGGCAGTCGGAGTTGTTGGGCCACGTATACTGGATCGCTGGTCGCGTGGTGTCGTTAGCAACAAGAGGGAGCTGGACGTTGCATTGAGTGGTCTGAGTATCCGACAAAAGGGGGTAGGTCCAGTTCACCGTCCTAGTGTCATCGTCGATAGTCTCATAGTTCAACGGCACTTCTTCGCATGACAGAGAGGTACCAATTCCGCGGATTGCAGCATTGAAAACCACGCCGACGGCACTCTCATCCATGTCCATTACAAACGGCTGGAATGAGAGATCTTTCGTGGTCCACGGTAGGCGCGAGTGATTCATGGACAGGAGGTATACACTGCGGTCGAAACTGTGAAAGTCCGGGGGCAGAGCCTGGCCGACAAAGCTTGACTCGATGTATGAGGTGGTGAGACTGGAGGAAGCGAGATAAGAATTGATCTGCGGTTCGAATAGACCCCCAGTAACAACGACAAGAATCAGATTGAGCACGCAGACTAATGACAGGCCGAACGTAGAGAGGGAGGGCCGTGGCCCCGATCGCCGCAACACAAAGAGGGTCTTGAGAGGACCGTACGCTGGCGCGGATAACGCCCTTGAGGGCATCATTCCTTGCCGTAGTCGAATCCAGGATTCGGCGACGCTTAGATGGCGATGCAGGGAGTTGATGAGCGAGCGTACAACTGACGCAAGCATGGTCGGGCCATAGACTAAGAAAGCCGCTGCGAACATGAATTCGGTGGAGTTCATGGTGTCCAACACGCGGACTCGAATCCATGAATATGTTAAGCCGGTTGCGGTGACAGCGCCCATAAGAAGAACGCACTCCGTCACAAACCATGGAAGAGTTAGGAAGTGCGGCATTGGATCGCCGCGTTTGGATGCAGCTGGCGGCGGACCCATCTTGGCAGGAGACCCATCCATGAGAGATAGTTCAAGGCGTCGACTGTCGGACCCTACGGTCCACCTACACCAGAGCCCCTTGGCCCATTTGCGAAGTTGTCGGGTCCGTGCGACATGATAGGTCGGTTGGGACAAGACACAGAGCGTGTCGGGATCAATCAGGCGGGCAATCCAATTGCATTGCGCGGCTATAGAGCTGGGATCCCGATCAAGGAGGTTAAGCCGACGTGGGTATATGAAACTCAGAGCAAGAACTAGGGCAAAGCTTGAAAACATAATGGCTTCGACAAGGGCAGCCACGCGAGGTACCACCGCGATGGCCACTGAGTACGTCGAAAGGATAGCATCGATTCGCACGGCCTCTGCCTGTTGGTCGAAGAGTCTATCACTGGCGTTTTTGAATCCGCTGTTCCATGTACGGCCTATTGCCTCCAGATATTGAGTCGGATTCAAGGCCTCCGTATCTCCAACAACACTGATGCTTTCGTTCCATGAGTCGCTTGTGCGGGTATGCTCCGAGAACATCAGGCTCTGGAACCCCTGCACACTGAAATCCGTCTCACTCAAGTCTGTTATGCTGGAGAGTATTGGTTGGACAGTAGTGGGGTAAGAGGTACCCGTATAAGAGACATCAGCGATCGCCTGCTTATAGAGTGACTGGCACGCAAAGAATGTGACATTCGAGCTCAACGGTGTCCGCACTGTGCTGTCCATGTCAATGATCATACCGAGCAGGCCGGTGGAGGGACAGCCGGTGACGTTGAAGGCCGGTCGAGACACAGCTGCAAGGTCGGACTGAACGGGTTCCCAGTAGCGTGCTTGAAATCTCCCGTCCCCGAGCGGAGCAGAGGTGTTGAGTGCGATACTGATCTCACAGGGAGTGGCTGTCGACATGCCTGGTAGCGTAACGTTCGAAAAGTTCCACACCAGACCATGATCATTCATCGAATCCCCGGCTGTAGAAAGATTCACTGTATCCGGTACTGCTCCAATCACAGTCGCATTGACGCACGTTGTGGTTGTGTCGGACCAATACACGGACAGATTCATGCTTAGGGTGAAAAAGTCCGCATTATAATCCGGTTGAAGTGATACTGGAGCCACGGCATATGCCACGGTATTGTCTAGTGCGGGATCGTTGCCCCGAGAGCTCTGTGAACAGGTCTCGTGGGCGGCTTCCAGTGCGAACCAATTGTCCTGGGTTTCCAGACCAACCAGGTGTGGCCAGCTATCTAGAGTTGTGGTCTCCATCACATCAAAAGATGTCAGGACAAAGAGACCCGAGAGCAATGAGGCCACCAGGAGGTGTATTGCCAAAGACATCAGAGAGACACATAGCACAATCCAATGTCGGTTTCGAGCGGCGCGAATTACGGCAAGAATCCCAGGATCGAAGCTGTAATTGGTAAAGAGAGCACTGGCGGGGGCACCTTTGGGATCAGCCAGCTGAAAGTACGGTTCCAAGCGCAGAAGGTCGTGAGCAAAGACTTCCCAGAGGACTACGGCGACCAGGCCGACAATGGTGGGGGTGTCTGCCCAAGCCCGCCACTTGGACGAAGAAAGGTCTTCCCTCTGTTTGTATTGAACGATGCCATTGTGGCGAGTTGAATATTGACGGAGGATCTCAACGGCAATGGCAATCAATAGCAGGACAGTCGAGAGAGTAATTAGATATGGCCTGCGCAAGGTGTGTGGCAGCCAGCCCTGCCGGTTTCGGGCATCATCATCAGCAACTGGAACATTATCAGTTGCGCTGCCGGCGAAGGAATTGCGGCGGCCGCATTGCATGAGGTGTGGGGGGGGGAGGAAGCGGGGTAGAACGGTAGAACGGTGGATTGTCCGCTCATGGCAGCCGATTACTTGGGAAGGATTGAATTCATCTCTGAGATAGATACTTTTTGGGATTGGGGGATAGGATGGTGACAAAAGAAGACGGCAGAATTTTTGGGAGAATTAATGTTGGGTGCCTAGACTGCCTAGACTGCTGAAGTGGGGATATGGGCGGAAAATAGAAAAGAAAAGGGGTCCAGCCACTAAACAAGTAAAGTTAGGGCTTGGCGAGGCGGCGAGACCCCCTATATGATACCTCAGGCTTTCACTCCGAGCCCTGCTTGCTTCATATGAGTGGTATTTGACTTACACTACAGAGTACAGTGCATGACTTTCGTCTTCTTCTTCTTCTTCTTCAGGCCTTGCCACCACACGGCGGATATACCAAGGTGGGGATGGAAAACCCATGTCAAAAAATAAACAAGAATTTATCAGCGTCCAATATATAATACTATTTATTTCAATTTTTATAAAAATAAATACTTAAACAGAACCCCCCCGGGGCCCAAATCGTGCTGGAAAAGCAGATAATATTTGTGAGCCGCTGCCCCAATCATGCGAACGACCTAGTAAATATTCTGTGAGCGGGTTTCAATATTCCGGACTGCGATACGCTCACAGAACACTCCATGGTCGCTTTCGCATAAGAGCCGTAGCCATCGATAATCTGACGGTGGTTGAGGTTAGCAACGCATTGCCGCATGGTAACTTGTCACGCACATCATGGTCGTCCCATATATTCAACGAGGGAATCTGACACAGAGCTGATGCGAAAGGCTCTGTATTATACCTAGACAAGGCAGGTTAGTCGAAGGATGATTATAAACAGGTCAAGGTCCTGTGCACCCACCAGCGAGTATAGTTCTCCGAGTACCAAGTATCACATTCGAAGCGGAGCTTCTCATTGCACTGATGCTTCAGTTTGTCCTTGTGATCCGGCATCTCGGTCCATTCCTTGAGAGGGCCTCTTGAAACATTCATCAGCCGGTGTAGGGCATATTGCGGTTCGATGTCTTACGAAGTGTAGATTCCGGCGTTATAGATCTGGTTGCCACCACCAATCCTTCGCAACAGTTAGCCTGGCTCTGCTCGGACATGGGTATGAGAACAGAAAAGTCTTACATCACATGGAAGCTCGGTTTAGCATGACGCCTCAGAACATCTTTCAAAGGGAGAGGTGGTTTTATTCTCCTTCTTCCGCTCCATCACACCATCCATTGCACGAGAGTAAGATATCACCCGCATAGACTCGTGCCTGGAGGGGACGACGAACGAGTGAGTCAAACCTCTCTCCCGGTGCAGGAAATACACATTGGCGACGGTGTACTCCCAGTAGCAGTCAGTATCTCCCATTCTCAACTCGATGTCAAACCTCCAGAAGCTTTTGCTCATGTCTGAGTACAGCAAGGTTCCTGGAACATGGATAAAAGGATCAATCTGTGGGGTGTAGTCGCTGTCATCGCTTTCAATAATGGACCGACGTAGTAGTAGGGTCGGGCTCGTCTGTGAGACCTCGCTGTCTCCTCGGGGACTATCAACACGCTCCCCATCCAGCGATCGCCCTCCATGTATCGATAATCCAGCAATGGGCCACATAGAACATCCTTCTTTACCGGTATCACGCCGGAGCGTGCGTTCCTCAAACTCGCCTCATACGGTGAGAAGGTTGAGGGGTCGTACTGAGGGATTTGCCCGCGACCGGCGTCCAGAGTCTGAGGGCGGCGTGAAGACTCCCTATGGTCCTGAATCATGCTAGGGGCTGCAGGCTGTATGACCCAGTCTTCCTGCTCCTGGTCTTTGTGATGGAAGTGCATCGGCAAAGCTTGGTGTTGGTACTTCAATCTCGGTCAGTTGCGCTGTGTTGCGCGAGGTCTTGGAACCCACCAGGATTTATACCAGTCACAGTTATGCCCTGTGATATTTGGCAACCATCCGCTCGCCCCATGGTAGAATTAACATAATGTTGCCGCCTGCATGGTGATTGCTGGTCAAACTTTGACCTCACGAGAAAGTCAGAGAGAACTCATTCAGACTCGTTTACCAGCATCAGTCAATGGTGGATCGGCATGTCCGTCGGGCCACTTCTCGAAAACACCGCTGCCTGATACCTAGTCTATTCAATCTAGACGGCGTGAACGGACTTTTTGGGCCTCAAATAATTACCCAAGGTGTTGGATCTGAGGGTTCGGTAGCCTAGCCTAGTATCCTGGTTGTGAACATCAATTTGCAACCCAGCCACACCAATGGAACATTCGAACATTAATGCAAGATGAAGACTTTTTAGATGTAAGATATATAGAAGATTCTGGCGGCGATGGCACCGGCTGTAATGTGAGTGAAGTCGGCATCAGTCACCGAAACTCCCCTTGACAATCTCTATCAGCTCTCATGTGACCAGCCCACTACCTAGTATCTTGGCAGGACTCTCGGAGGTCCTGGGTGGTGAGAACTTTAAGTACTGACGTCGGGGTCTGGGTAATGTCCATGTCTAAATCAGAGAAAGTATATGTACATTGCAAGGTGTAAAACAAGTTCCCATGAAATATGCGGCGAGAGCTCGAGGAAATGGCAGGAAGCAGAAAGCAACAGCCTTCAACCCTTACTCTGTGCAGGAAGACAACGGTACAGGGAAAAATAACCACAAAGATAGTAGTTGCCTTCTCGCCCTGCCACAACGATCCTTTCCCTTCCTGGTATGTGTTCCCGTCTTGTTCCATGCGCCATATTAATTGTTGAAGTCAGTCACACCCTATGCTTTGGCATGGTACTCATCGTCGGTGACTGCCTCGTGCCACACTGTCTTTCCCAGGCCCACGACCAAATGGGTTAAGATGCTGCCATCGTCGGCGCCATGCCAATGCGTGGTACCAGCTGGAGCCCAGATTAGATCGCCCGTCTTGATACGGCGGGGAGCATCGCCCTTGTCGCAGATCCAGCCCGATCCGGCCACGACTTTGATGAATTGCCCATGCTCGTGGGTGTGCCAATGGGTTCGCGCACAAGGGGTGAAGGTTACATTTGCAATCGCGGCATTGTCGTCAAAGTGAATCATATCAAGGTAGACATCCCCTGTAAAAGTGGCGGTGGGCTTGGCGGTGCTGTGGCCGCCTGAGGAGTTGGAGAGAATGATTGATTTGGACATTGTAAGGGAGTTTGGAAAGATACTTGGGGTGAATCTCAATTTTGTCAGTTGCAGAGAAGAAAAGGCATGGCGAAGAGGTTTATATAGTCGATGTCCTCAAAGTAGCCAAGTTTTGTTAATCTCGACGCGGGCATAAGCTCGGTCGTACGCACCGTGCTTACGGCCCCACAGGTGCTGACGCTATGCCACACTACCGTAATCGTACTCTCTGATGCTTTCCCTGCGGGACTTGCTTCTAACATCACTGGCAGTATCATCCAATCGGCGAAATTAGGACAACAGGAACCCAAGTCAGCCCTGTCAGAGTGCTGACACTGAGATCGTTCCTTAAACCCTATCTCCGTGCGGGGCATCTCCACTTTTGATGACTGGCACGTCAGCCGCCAGCCGTGCTATGGTGGAAGCGAGCGATAGATATGTACTGTACCACGTCTGTCAGTTGACCTATACTTCCCTGTCACGGCCCTGTGCCTGGAAGTTCGAATTGGTGAAGCTATGCTCTTTCTACCAACTTCATGACTAGTCAGCTGATATTTTTTTGAGTTTAAACCTATAATCCAGACAATAGTCTCAACAATCATCTGCCTTGTTAGCCCTAGTGTAAGTGCCATTTAGAGATTATTATGATTAAAAGAGGTTCAAAAATTTTGTTAGATTAGAAACTTTGTTACATAGTTCAACAGATGGGGGCTGCAATGACCACTGGAGCATCCCCAGCATGTGAGAAAGCATCTCTATACCGCTCAACCTGCACCAAGCCGTCAAGACTTGGCCGTAAAGCGACTCCGCGCCCGCAACGCGGCCCCGAAATGATACAGCGCGAACATGCCCAGGGTGCACAGACAACACAACCCGGCCACCAGAGAGGTCCCCCCAGCAATCCCCAAGCCGTTGTAAAGCGGTTGCGCGACCAGCACGGCGCCGCACGCGACCGTCGCCCGGATGAAGCCGTTGCACCCGAACAGTGAGGCGGCGTAGCGCGGGTAGGCAAGGGCGACATAGACGTAGATGGACTGGAAGATGATGGCGTTGCCGCCGGCGACCAACATGGCCCCGACCGTCGGCACGATCCAGTGGATGTGCGCGCTGCGGCCGGTCCACGCGAACAGGAACAGGCCCACGGGGATGATGATCGAGGCGCCCAGCGCGGGGACGAGGCGATGTTCGGGCTCGGGGACGGTTCCGTCGCGGCGCATGGGGGCGTGCACCTGCCAGTGGATAAAGGCGAAGTAGGGGATCGCGGCCAGAAAGGTGCCCACGGGGACGCAGAGGTAAACCAGCCCCATCTGACTGACGGACATCCCGTGCTGGTCCATGTAGACCAAGGGGAAGACCTCAAAGTAGAGGTAGTAGGAACAGTAGACGAGACAGCAGTATACGGTGGTGAAGAGGATCGAGGGGTCCAGGGCGTGGATCTTCCAAGGAATGATGAGGGCAGAGTACAAAGGTTTCAGGGCGGATCGTTTCCCGGTTGTTTCTTCTTTCTCGCGCTGGACCTCGTACTGCGAGCGGAGGCCGGGGTCCTGCGTGAGTTGGCGGAGGCGCTGGGCTCGCGCGTACAGGATGCGGGGGGCGGAGGTTTCGGGGAGGAGGAACTAGTGACGTAGTATGATTATCAGCTTGTCTCTCGGATGAAATGGGTGCAGTGGGTGCGACGGCTGCAGAAAGAGATCATACCACCAGGATCAGTGTGGGAGCCGCCAGGAAGACGATTTCCCAGAGTGGGAAGCGCCAGCTGTAGCCTGCGTCGATTGTGAAGCCTGAGATGATGGGCCCGATTGCAGGTCCTACAAAGGCGAACACGGCCCACGAGTACATGCCGTACGGCAGCTCGTACATGGTGGTGATATCGGCTAGGGAGGCACCTCCGGTGTTCAGGATGGCCGCCGCCATGACTCCTTGCAGCCACCGCAGGATCAGGATGCCCGCAATGGTGTTGGTCAAAGGTGCGCCGATGGCGAAGAGCGTGAAACAGGTGATGCTGACCACGTAGGGAGGATTGCGCCCGATGACCGGGATCTCCGACAGCGGCGAGAGTAACAGGCCCCCGGCCCCATAGCCAAACACGAACAGGCCCAATCCAAGGGACGAGACTGTAATGGAGATGTCAAAGATAGCGGGCAGGAGCATCTGCGACGGGGTAAAAATGGAGACTGAGGCCTGCGAGATGGCCGCGTAGAAGCAAATGATCAAGTAGACCACCGCCTTCTTCCACCCAGGCCAGTTTTTAGGGTTCTCCGGGTCGTCGGCGCTGTACCAGGTTACAATCGGCCGCGAAACTCTTGCCGACTCGAGAGCGTACACATTATCACCCGTGTTGCCGGGCTCGCAGTCAGCCGACATGATGGATGTGGGAATGGAGAACCCATTTTGCTCCTCGGGAAATGGTAGCACTCTCTTCCCACCTAGGAGCCGAATGAGCTGCCCGAGAGGCACCTCTCGCAGATAGGTACGCATGAACGTGGCTAAAAGGGTTTTTGCTGTCCAGCAGGAAAGTCAGAAAGGTAGCAAAGAAAAGCCCAGACTTGGCCGTATATATTCCGCCCGGTACCAAGCATTGCTAGTACGGCAGCTTGCCTCCTCCCTCACCCACCAACTCTTCAAACCAAGGGGTCAACCACCAGGGCCTGTTCGTAGGGTTTATACCTTGTGTGACTGAGTCGGTCGAATAAAAGCACGCGCTGGCCCACTTGCACTCCGCCAGAATATATATTTCTCGGACCGCAATTCTACCGAGGAGTGGTGGAGCGGAATATGTATTCCGCTCGGTTATAAGAGTTGGTTTGTTACCCACCAAATTTGAAGTGCAGGATTAGAAATCCAGGGAAGAATAACTAGTCATATGTACAATGATGAAATTGGTTCTTTCGTATTCTCCTAAGCTTCAATCCCCCCAACCCCTACCCCCACCCCAACTAAAGAACTTGAAGCCATTTCCTCAAGGTTGAGGGTCGTAAGCTTCTACCTCAATCTCCACCCGCATGTCATCTTCCCCAAGGCGTTGAACCCCCACGCAAGTAAACAAGGGCTGATGGTTGGGCATCCACTTCTTGAAATTGCGCACCATGGCCTCATTTGCTTCGTTGTTGAGTGGCACGTGGTAGGAGCGGACTTTGTACACCTGCGACCAGCCCTTGCCACCGGCTGTTTTCAAGGCCAGGTCCACATTCCGGAAAGCTTGGTCGATCTGGGCGTTGATCTCGCGGGGAATCTCAGAGACGCCCTTCTCCGGATACCAGCCACCTGTCGGTCAGAGACTCAGCAGATGTTCGATTCAATAGTGAATAGAAAGGGACCTCAGATACTGACCTTGACCGGAGCATTCGATTTTGTCGCCAATGCGGACGGCCTGGTTATAGTGGAAGTTTTTCTGGTTGGACTCGCCCACTCCGGGGTAGTTATAGTAGGTGAGGTCGGACATGATGAGAAGTACGGAAGATGTGGATGGTAGTTTGGAAGGTGGGAGAAGACCTTGCAGACCGTCATGGCCCTTTATATAGTGCAATGGGCTGCCAAGGAAGTGGGGTGCCTGAGATTATTGACCTCAAAGTCAGCCTGAAATCCCCCCCCCCCTCCCCCTCAGCATCCCCCACGTATGCTTATCGTTGTCTTGTAGTTTATCTAGATTCCCGATAAGTTTCAGACTCATTAGCGTATTATATTGGTTAACATCATTGTGATAGATAACTATCATAGTAGAATTGTACATCTCTATAGATGAGATCAATTTTCTTATCTTGCTATGACTACAGACAATAGCAGACAGTAAGCTAAAGCCTCTTCAGATCCCACCAGGCACTCTGACGGCCTTGCTTTTTTGCATTCACCTGGTGTCAAACAATAGAACCAGATATAGATTGTCAGCCTGCATCTTCCTTGCGTCCTCAAACACAATTCACTCTCCCAGATATAGATATGTACACAAACTCTACAACAAATAGAACAAAAGCTTCCGATCACACCGGGGGTAGGTCATATGCTACAAGACCAAAGGCCGAGGTCAACGTGACCAACAGAGAGCTTGATCACTAAGTCAAAGAATGGTATAATTATATTAGTCAGATGGCAAAACATCCAATGAACCAATTAGATCAGATCCTCGTCCCCTATCACATCTGATTCACCCCTTAGGGACTTGCCGGCCAGGGCGAGTGAGCGTAGGGAATATGACAGAGAATTGGAGTCCACCATCGCGTCGAAATAACCCACTATGGCGCCGGGATAGTCCGCCAAGCAGTTCTCCAGAGACTTTATAAATCATCTGCACACCGTGCCCTGATAGGAGTCCAATAAGCACGCCACTTTGAACAATGTGTATGAGTACTTACTGGGGATTACGGCATGAAACCTGGCGATTGTGTCTCCCGGTCCCTCAGATTGTGGAATTTGATCGTCCAATCTGCATTAATGAACCTTGCCATGTTAGGTGTGAATTCCACGATCGCTACCACCTCCGACTGCCGGTGCTAGCAGCTGTCTGCCACGAGTCACGCCAGCTGATCCTTCAAGAATATCACAACCCCGAAGCAGACATCGAGATCCTGCGCCCGTATTCTCTCGCCATATATGAGTATAGCCGCTTCTGACCAGGTATCGACATCTTGCATTTCAACTGGGACGAAGGCGATGAAGGCGCCTACACTCTTTGGAACGACGAGGACAACGCAATCCCGTACTTCTGCGCGGTGACCCGAAAAGCAGCGTGCAACCCGACCTCTATCACCGACCGCCATCTCCGGCAAGAGTTCGACAACCCCTTCTTCACCGGCAACTTTCGCGTCGCTGAATTCAGGCTGTTCTACGGAAAATGCCCGTGTGCTAGCCCACGATTCTCTTTCGCCATCGGCTGGGGATTGGTTGCGAATTCCGGTAGATATTCTACCTCGACTGATCGGGGGGTTTATACGCGGGAGAGAGGGTCGTTGGAGAAGGAAATCCGCTGGATTCGCAAGATGAAGCTTGAATTAAGCCTCATGAATTATATCTACAGTATCAACTAAGATCATATCTAGCTACAGGATCTTCTTAGATATCATCAAGTTGACCAATACTATACTTCATTGCAAAGACGATCACCTTAATTGCCTCAGCGCCATTGACATCCATTTCTCGCCAACACCAGGCGGCTTTCCACTCCAGTTGCCCTCCCCCCTAAATATCAACTAGCGACGCCTTCACGCCTGCTGAGCCCATTCCCCGAACGCTGTGGGCTGACTCCCGGTGATGCGATGCACATTCCGTGCATAGTCCGCGTCCGTTGCAAAATCGACAAGCCCACGACCAAGACCAAGGCTCTGTTCCCGATTCTGCTGCACAACAGCCCGCGCCAGCGGCTCAGGGAACCCGAGCTTGGCAACCAAGCACTCGATCTCTTCCTCCTCGCCAACTGTGACAACCTCCACCTCTTGGCCGGTGGTTTCTCGACTCAGCAACCGAGCAGCATCTCCCAGCGCAAGCTCCTCCTGCCCCAGCAGATTCACAAAGTTGCCCTGCACCACACTGCTGCCCTGCGCAAGGAGAGTCCCACAAACCCGGCCAATATCCTCCGGAACCACCAAATCAAACTTCGCCTCTGGATACGCCATCCCCACTCTCCCCTCGGCAGAAGCAGCTAACCACCATCGGATGTTGGTAGCATAGAAACTCGGTCGAACAGCAACATACCCCGACGACCCAAACACCTCATTCAAGGTAACTTCCACCCGCGCATGGGCATATGCAATGAAATTCTCCGGTCCGACACTACCAGGTTCACCCTTCACCGCAAAGCTGCTCAGGTAGACCACGTGCTCGATGCCGGCGGATCTCATGGCCTCCAGGCTGGCACGCATGTGGTCCGGGGCGCCAAAGACGGTGTAGACAAATGCCCGGGTGGCGTTCGTGGTGGTGACCGCGTGGCGGATGGTTTCGGGGTCGGTCAGGTCGGCATGGACGCGTTGGTAGGAGCCGTTCTTCTCGGCTTCCGGTGTTAGGGCTGGGATGGACTTGGTGGTGTCGCGGGCGGCGAGGACGACGCTGGCGCCCCAGGCATGGGCGGCGCAGGCGGTGGCTGAGGCGACCGCGCCGGTTGCGCCGAAGATGATCACTTTGACCATCTGAGTGGATTCGAGTCTTGGGTGTTGGGGTTGAGGAGATGGTGATTGGGAGGTTTCACAAAACGATCCCGGTGATGCTGGTAGGTGACTGGAAATGCCACTATCAGGTCAGGATTGAACTATGTGGGTTTTGGTGAATGCGTTCGTGGATTTCGGTGCAGATCATCAAATGATAGTGACAAAGCTGGGTTGGGATTTTATATGCGATAATCGAGCACTCAGCGCGGTGATCCACTCTCCCGGTGCGTCGGGACTCGGAAGAGTCGGAGGCGAATAGGCAAGCGAGTCATTCTCCACCGCATGCCTGCCGACCCAGTTTTCTGCAAAAGTGTCTTTCCTGACCTGGATTAGTCTGGTGTCTGATTTTTTCCAAGCTTTTGTGCCTCGGACTATATCCGATTTCAGTCGGATCGGAGATCGGAATACAGAAATAGCTCACGTCAGGAAAAGGTATGAGTAGCGGATCCGCGGGTTTAGGGTTGAGGTTTTACAGCATAGATTCACTACCCTCTCATAACAGTGCTGACGGCTTGTCAACAGGACTCATGCGGGCCTGGAATAATGAAGAAGAGGAGGACATCCACGCCGTCCCAGTGTACCGGCCCTCTCGGATCATGGGCCCAATTATCGAGAAATACCGGACTTTGCGCTGTCTCGTCATGCCGGAGAGTCCTTCTGGGAATGGGTTTGCCTATGACCAGTTTGACGAGAGAGGGGCGGCGCCGCCTGAGCATATCAGCAGTTTACAGAGCCAGTATACATGGCAGCTACCCTTTCTAGAGTGAAAATAACATACTGAATTGAGGAGCTATATCTGAAACGCGGCTGGCAGGTTGACCGGGTGGAGCAAGACCAATTCCAAAGAGATCAATTCTTGGAAGAGAGGAAGCAGTATTGGGTGCAGGTAGTAGACCCTCTCAGCAAGGTTTGCATGAATTTACGCAATCGAAATATTTTGGAAGCACTGGCTGGGCTTTGAGACTTGTTGAAAGGCTAGACCTACAATGGAAGGACAAGGTCAATTGTTCTTGAGTTGCTTTAAGTTCACTGAGTCGAACAATGTATGCCCTGTTACAAGCAAAGAACATCAAGGAGCTTTGGTGGCATAGTAGATCTAATCATTACCTACCAGCTAGCACTCCTTCAACAATGTCTTCGTAACTTGTCCAGGGGACAATGATGTGTATTCAAACAAAGCTATTGTCCTCGACAGGGACGTCAACATACTTACAAAGAGTCCATCCATTCTTTCTTTATACGCTCAATCCAATTGTTTACGCTCCCTTTATGCACGCAATCCAGGACACCCTCCCAAATATTCTATAAATACCACCTTCTCAACCAACCTTGTAGGCCCCATCCCTCACTACCAACCCCACTCACCATCAACAGTACACCCGAAGCGAGCTTCAACCAAGCTACAACTTCACTCGTACAAAACCCCCACCAACCCAACCCCAACCCAAAAACCACAATGCACATCCACCCCGAAGTCGTCCTCCTCGGAGGCCTCGGCCTCCTCCTGGGCGCCAGCGGCTCCCCGCTCCCCTCCCGCCCCTCCACTCCTCTCCCCGAGGACTCTGCCTCTACCCTGAGCTCCAACACCACTACCGGTAATCCCCTCCCCGATCTAACCAATCTGTCCCTCGCCCCCCGTGAGAAAGACAGCAACGTGGAGATTGTCTGCCACGATCACGTCTTCACTCGCGACCACGTCAAAGCCGCCGTCAAGCAGGCCAAGCGCATCCACGAGGCCAAGGAGGAGCACCCGGACGACTACGCCGAGTTCCCCAAGCCCCTGGACCGCCGCGCCAGCGATCTGTTCAAGAAGCCCGACGATTTGTTCCAATTCCCGCTCGTGGCGGACGGCGTCTACGACGGCAAGGCCGATGTGACCGGGCGCGAGTTCGTGATCGTCGACAAGAACTTCAAGTGTAAGGGGGCGGTGCGGTATTATGATGACAATGGGGAGGATAAGGGCCATGCGGATGCGTGCTATGCACGCAAGCGGAAGGATAAGGATGGGAAGGACAAGGGCAAGGACAAGGGCAAGGATAAGGGCAAGGGCAAGGGCAAGGACAAGGGCAAGGACAAGGATAAGCGTAAGGGCGGTCGTGGCGGCGGTGGTCGTGGCAGTGGTCATGCCAGTGGTGGCCATGGTGCCGGTCGAACTGGTCATATCGCTGCTGGTGGTTCCCATGGGGCCGACGAGGGGGATTACGATGTTTGCTGATTCGACCCTTCTGGAGCGGTTGGCCTGAAGTTTTGATTGAGTGCTTCGGCACTGGTCACTCTTTTGGCACATTTCCTATTGTTCATGCATGCAGATTCTCTCAGGTCTGTGTGTACTAGTCACTCTTTGGATGTCTAGCACTCCTATATAATATATAAGACAATAAAAGACTTGCCATTACGGCGGTATATCTCTTTCCAATCTAGTAAATCTGTCTGAGTACATACATACATACATGTAGGTGCTCCAATACGTGTTCTTGCGGCGCCCCACATGTGGGTGGAATTGATTAGCCCCACACGGGCCCTGCTGCGATTGCAACAAAAAAATCACCAAAAGAAGAATGGGACGAGCCGGGCTTGAACCGGCCACCTTCAGATTAATGGCCGAAGTTTGTACTTCAGTCTGACGCGCTCCCAGATGCGCCATCGTCCCAGTTGTTGAAATTCTAGGGTCTACTTGTGTACATATACCCAGGCAAGCCATTGCCCCACTGAACAAGTGTAATAAGCTCGGCGTTTAGATCTATCCTATCTATCACTTGGTGGTTTTCACAGCAATGACTCTTGTAACTGGCATACCTGTCATATAGCATTTGACCACTGTTTCCATATATATATATGTATGTACTGTGTATGTATTCCGGAGAGTTCAATTTTAATCTGTGTAAAATGCAACTAGGTGGTCTATTCTACCCTGTCTTTCCGCGAGGGCGACTTGTTGTTTGTTGTATGTAGCCTGAGGCTTTATTCAGCTACCGCTCACCGCTCGGGCAGTGTCTCCTCCGGCCGGGCTTGAGCTTGTCCGCCATTGGTGCGTACTGTGTCTACAAGCCCACCCACCACCAAGTCGGCCCACCAAGCAAAGACTGAAAGGGCCAAAAAGAACAGCAAAAAGTGTTGGGGCAAGCCGGGCTTGAACCGGCCACCTTCAGATTAATGGCCGAAGTTGGTACTTCAGTCTGACGCGCTCCCAGATGCGCCATTGCCCCATTTCACGTGATATTCATTTTTGAGAATGCTCTATGACCGGACAACAATGTCTGCCATTGCACCGTTCCATGTATGTCGGCTTTTCTATAGCAATAACCCACGGTTTGGAAAACAGTGCAAAATGCTCACTCTATAGTGATGATAAAATTTCTCATTGTTAGGCGATCAGAAGATCGCACACCGTATGATCTCTCCTCCTATTAGTCGCGAAGGCGACTTTCCACGCTTTCCTGGGGATTTTGGTGCAATTTTGATGCCCCGATAGTCTCGTGGGCGATTATATATAAAGCACGCCCGGAACTCAAGATATTATACCCACGCAACGCTGTGCCACCCAGGCCATACCAACAAACCAAAAAAATGTGCACGGAAATGATGTTATACACAGTCGGAAGCCTGAAACCTACGAGCCCGGAGAGTGCTATGCTACTCATACAGTTCGCCATGGAAGCGTAGTTCATTGTTCTGGCTGAACAAGTTAGGGCTGGACGATGTTGCCCGCTGAGGTCAGCCTCCGCATCCGGAATCCGTAACTACTGTACATTCCTCGGCCCGCAAACTCCCAGCCTCAACTCAACCCCAACCCCAACTCCCCCCTTGTTAGGCCACCACCCAACTTACGCGATGAAAACAAAAGAATCAAGTTCTCCTTCACCCTCCACCTCGTCTACGTTCCCTCCTTCCACCTCGTTCCTGAGACTCTAACCCCATTCAACCCAGATCGACAGCCGAGAGCTCTCCGTCGGCGAAACCCCAGGCAAAACCTCGGCGATATCCTCCGCGCCCTTCTCCCCGCAACCCTGGCAGTGCGGGATTTCGCCGAAATCGCGGAGAATCTATGGAGATTCATCGTATGACGATGCACAAGGGTCTGCTCTGAGCAGGACATCACGAACGAAGCAGCAGCAAGCAGCAGCAGCAGCAGCAGCAGCAGCAGCGCAAGCGACATATAAAGCGCCCTGCACCACCCCGGTGGCAAGACTCTCGAAGGCCATCCATCCAGAGCATCACAATGAAGCTCACCACCACCACCACCCACCTGGCGCTTGCCACCGGCGCAGCAGCCTCCTATCACCTGGACACCACCGCCCCGCCCCCGACCAACCTCAGCACCCTCCCCAACAACACCCTCTTCCACCTCTGGCGGCCGCGCGCGCACATCCTCCCCGCCGAGGGCCAGATCGGCGACCCCTGCGCGCACTACACCGACCCGGCCACCGGGCTCTTCCACGTCGGGTTCCTGCACGACGGCGAGGGCATCGCCGGCGCGACCACGGCCAACCTGGCCACGTACACCGACACCTCCGGCAACGGGAGCTTCCTGATCCAGCCCGGCGGGAAGAACGATCCCGTCGCCGTGTTCGACGGCGCCGTCATCCCCGTCGGCGTCAACAACACCCCCACCCTGCTGTACACCTCCGTCTCCTTCCTGCCCATCCACTGGTCCATCCCGTACACCCGCGGCAGCGAGACGCAGTCGCTGGCCGTCGCGCGCGACGGCGGCCGCCGCTTCGAGAAGCTCGACCAGGGCCCCGTCATCGCGGACCATCCGTTCGCTGTCGACGTGACCGCGTTCCGCGACCCGTTTGTCTTCCGTAGTGCGAGGTTGGATGCGTTGCTTTCCTTGGACGAGGAGGTGGCACGCAACGAGACGGCCGTGCAGGACGCCGTCGACGCCTGGACCGAGAAGAACGCCCCCTGGTATGTGGCTGTCTCCGGTGGAGTGCACGGTGTGGGGCCCGGCCAGTTCCTCTACCGCCAGAACGCCGGCAATGGTTCCGAGTTCCAGTACTGGGAGTACCTTGGCGAGTGGTGGCAGGAGGCTACTAACTCCAGCTGGGGTGCGGAGGGCACCTGGGCCGGGCGTTGGGGGTTCAACTTCGAGACGGGCAATGTGCTCTTCCTCACGGACGAGGGCCATGACCCCAAGACTGGGGAGGTGTTTGTCACCCTGGGCACTGAGGGGTCTGGCCGGCCCATCGTGCCGCAGGTCTCCAGTATCCACGATATGCTGTGGGCGGCGGGTGAGGTCGGGGTAGGCGGTGAGGATGGCGCCAAGGTCGAGTTCTCCCCCTCCATGGCCGGGTATCTGGACTGGGGGTTCAGTGCCTACGCTGCGGCGGGCAAGGTGCTGCCGGCTAGCTCGGCGGTGTCGCAGAACAGCGGCGTGGAGGTCGACCGGTATATCTCGTTCGTCTGGTTGACGGGCGACCAGTACGAGCAGGCGGACGGGTTCCCCACGGCCCAGCAGGGGTGGACGGGGTCGCTGCTGCTGCCCCGCGAGCTGAAGGTGCAGACGGTGGAGAACGTCGTCGACAATGCGCTGGTGCGCGAGGAGGGCGCGTCCTGGGTTGTGGGCGAGTCGAACAACAAGACGGCCACGCTGCGCACGCTGGGGATCACGATCGCACGGGAGACCAAGGCGGCGCTGCTGGCCAACGGCTCGGTGACCACGGAGGAGGACCGCACGCTGCAGACGGCGGCCGTCGTGCCGTTCACGCAATCGCCGGGCTCCAAGTTCTTCATGCTGACGGCGCAGCTGGAGTTCCCCGCGAGTGCGCGCGCGTCCGACCTCCAGTCCGGGTTCGAGATCCTGGCATCGGAGCTGGAGCGCACGACCGTCTACTACCAGTTCAGCAACGAGTCGCTCGTCGTGGATCGCAGCCAGACCAGTGCGGCGGCGGCCACGAATCCCGGGCTGGATCGCTTCACTGAGTCCGGCAAGTTGCGGTTGTTCGATGTGGTCGAGAACGGCCAGGAGAAGGTCGAGACGCTGGATCTCACTGTCGTGGTGGATAACTCCGTCGTCGAGGTGTATGCCAACGGGCGCTTTGCCTTGAGTACCTGGGCGAGATCGTGGTACGACAACTCCACCCAGATCCGCTTCTTCCACAATGGAGAGGGCGAGGTGCTGTTCAAGAATGTGTCCGTGTCGGAGGGGCTCTATAATGCCTGGCCGGAGAGAAAGTGACCGGGATGAGGGCATGACGTGTATGGTTGCTTAGCGTAGCACGATTTTGGCACAATTCAAGTACAATTTCCATTGTTAACACCTCGCTATGCGGTACATGCTGGGAACGATTTGAGAAACAGGACCAGAAGAAGCACAATCCATCTAGTAGAAGCTGCTCGCCCGTGGCCGTCGCTCAATCCCCTGCGTTGCTGGTGGGCGCTCCTGTGTCCCGATGGTCAACGGCGCCGGCAGTAGTTGCGCCGGCATCGGCACAGGTAGATGCGCGGCTGTGGACGGCGGAAGCTGCATCGACATGGTCTGTCTGGTGCCCCGATAGCTCCCTGGTTGACTACTTGCTTTGACCGGCTGGATAGGTGGTGCCTCGGGGCTCCATGTCGGCTGTGCGTGAGGTGGTGAGCCTGGGGTCACCGGTTGTCGCTTGGTGCTGCTGGTAGTCGAATGTGCAGATGTGGGCGGGGAGGGCGGCGCTTCTCCCTGCGCCGGCATGAAGAGCGGGAACGGCTGCATCTGGAGCTGTTGATCCAGGGCTTCGTCGGTCCACGCGCGTCGAATGCGCACCTCATGCGGAGTGCTGGGACAATGCAGCCGGCCCAGCACAGCTGTCTGACACCATCGGTTGGCTTCTGCGCCCGTGGTGAACCCGATCACCAGCCCGTTGTGGCTGTCGCGCAGGTAGGCCATTGAGGGGGTGAGCGGCAGATACACGGCGGTCGGTTCTGTCGCGTAGATGCGACCTTCTCGGTTCAGGTTCTGGTAGGCTTGGGCACGGTCGGGGGAGTTGAAGTCGAGCTTCAGCTCTTGTTTTTGGAAGTAGTAGAGGACGTTGAGGGCGGCGGGGGCCATGTTGGTGGTCATTGTGGTGGCCGGGATAGGGCTGGTTTGGAGGGAAGATTGGCTGCGATGGGAGTTGAGGTGGAGGGGCAGAGGACTTGAACTATACATATAAGGCATCCTCATCGAGGCGCAGCGTGGCTGAGGGATCTCTGCGGTTGGTTTGCAACAATACGAGCCTCGCTGCAGTCCGTTCAGTACACTGCTTAGCATTGGTAACAGGCCATGTCGAGCTGTCAGCCTTGTGCTTGTGCTTGTGCTTGTGCTTGTGTCTCCCCACTGCGGCTGACCGGGCTGTGCTGGTGCTTCTGACCTGATCGGCAGCCGTCGGATGCCCTACAGAACTGGCGAGGCTCGTGTCTCGACCGCGGTCGCGATGATTCGTTCCATGGTAGTGTCCAGTTCTCGTATGCTTAATCGGTGTCGAACTTGGTTCATTCCCAATCCCAAGTTGACTTTGCTTTCATCCATCCTTCGTGGGGTAGAATTGTGAGGGGAATGGGCTGCCAGGCGACCAGTATGTGTTCCGGTCGCAGACAGCTGAAGGTGATGGAGTACTGTACTCCGTGAGCGGGAGTTTTGTCCTCTGGCCTGGACGCCATAGCTATACAGTGTCCTGACAGTCTATGTTGCAGAAAGTGTATACACCTAGCATATCTTCAAACAAAGCCACGTCATTAAGCAGACTGTAAGTTAAGAGATGTGCAAAATATAAGCGTTGCGTCGTCCTCAAAGAGCAGAAAAGGCTGCAGGGGCATTAGACATGGTTTCTTGAATGCGGATGGTGACAGCTCTCACTCCGAGGTTGACGGTTCGAACCCGCGCGGGTGCACTTTTCCCACAGCCCAACCGTTCTTTGTTTCCTCCCGTCTTCCATGTTCTTTTTTTGTTCCGAACTAGCGGAACCTCGCCTACTGAACCACGGTACTGGGATTTCGTGGATGGCTTGTTGTTTTCATCCGGGACTTCGGGCGCAATGAAACCCACAATCCAAGGCAGAAGTGAGAAGTGACTCGGGTGAATGATGAAGAGATCCAGACTGCTCCCCTTTTCTTTTCTTAAGAATTAGTCCGTCGATGAATCGATCTGATTATCGTCGCGTAGCCAACCACGTGCCGCTGGCGACCCGCCAGGTTGCTATTCGATTCTCGGGGCTTTGCCTCAAAGTGGAACAAGCCGGACTGGGATTGTCCCTCGTCAATTTTCATCCTGATCAGTCTGCTGCCGTGAGCATATTCCATCTCAGACATCACCATAGGAGATAAGGTTGGCCTGAATCAGGTACTGAGGATAAAAGAGAAGTCTCTAAACCTGAAATATGTCTTAACCTCAAGAGGAGAGCTGCACGACACTTGAAACAAATACTGCCCCTCTCCTACAAGAAGCCCAATTTTGCGTGAACGTTAAAAACTCAACATCGGACATCAACGCATCAGGCCATTCTGTGCCAGTTGATATACGTAGTACTCAATCAATCACGATGACACAAGCTCTTCCTGCATTATTTATCCGGTCGGCTGGATCGCGCAACTCTGGTAGCGACCGCTGGGTAATCAGGCGATGGCTTCGTCGCTGGCTTTGCGATCGCAGTACGCAGCTCGGTGTTTACAACACTGTCCCAGCATCTTGACTACTCCGAAACTACTCGCCCTAAGACCAAATAAAGTTGGAGCCGGTCATTTGGCGCTGTACCTGGGAAATGAAATCTCACCCAGCTCCCTGGCCAGACCGCACGGTGGCAGGTGCGTCGCTGTATATAGTACATGCGTAGGTCTTTCTCACCATCCCAGACGCGGGTGGATAAGGGATGCAGCGAGAGCAGTCTCGCTTGCAGGCCACTGGTTCAGTCAGTCTATGCTGGACTGGGATTAGAGACAGTCGGTAGGCGAGGTCAGCGAGTCAAGGCTCGGGTTAGGGCACTCCACCCCTATCCGCTTTAGGGAGGTCGGTTCCAGCCTCCGAGTCCGCAGGGGCTCCGGCTATCGCCGCTGCTCAGCTCGATCAGCCAAATGCCTTGGCGATGTCCGCTGGAGATTAATTGCAATCCTGATCGAGAGTTCTGCGATCGATCGGGGACTCACTCCATGCAGATTTGAAATCACCGCCCTGCAATACAGAACTGACAACACATGGTCAATGTCAACTCTGTCATCTCTGTCAACATCGAATAACCTCGTGTCGCGGCACTTTCTGATACACCCTCGGGATATTCTTAGCGGATCTGCCATTCACCTGGAGCCGAAGCTCCTGCTGATCAGCTCGACGCCCGGCGACTGCCCCACATGAATCCATATCGCCATCGTGGTTCCTGAATCTTGGAACTCTCCCACACCACCTGCCCCATGCTCACTCAGACATCGCTCGCGCGACACTAGCCCGGTAGTTTCGATCCTGCGACGAACCGTGGAGTGTTGCCCCCTCTCGAATCAGTCGCCATGGCCGATCCCCTCGCTAATCTGCTCTCTGGGCTGGGAGAACCATGACCAGCTCGTATCCTGCCTGGACAGACTGATAACCGAAGGGCGAGACTGGGTCCTTCTCGAAGCCCAAACACCGCGCACCCTCTCCCCCCCTCACCGTGAGAGTCATTTAAGTACACGGGCGCCGTCCGCATCGCCCGCCCGTCAGCAGTCGGGGTTTCTCCTGTGTGTCAGATCCAGTCACTGATTTTCGACTACCGCAATTGGGCAGGACCCGACTCTCGGTAGTGCGGCCACCACACCCATTGACTCGATTTGCGACTCTCCTTGAACCTACACCATCCCCACGAGAACTATATTTGAGTTAAGGTTCTGCAGCGTGCGCCTTCGTCTCAACCTCAACTCTGCGAGTCACGCCTACTCGACCGGACATGTGCTTTCCGTCGCTGCTTCATATAAAAGTCTTTGGCCGTTCCCGCACCACATATCGCAGCTAACACATCCGACCCGGCGACAAGCATTTTACCACAAGATTACCACCTCCATCGGATGAAAGAGTGAAAGAATCGTTTGAACCACCGCCAAGATGATGCCCGTCGAAGGGCGCAGCAAGGAGATCCTGATTGTCGCCGTCGTGTGCATGTCCGTGTCGTTTATCACCGTGTGCCTGCGCTCGTACGTGCGACTGCGACTGATCAAGGCGTTTGGATGGGACGATGGGTTGATGGTGATTGCTACGGTAGGCCTCTCTGGCACTCTTGCATGTGTCGTGCTGCCAAACTGACCACCCCTAGGTACTGAACATCTTCCTGACCGTCTGCGCCATCATCGGCGCCAAGGAAGGTATCGGTCGCAAGTTGACCGACTTCCGGAGTATGGACGACCTGCACCGCGCCATGCTGGTACGTTCCCCTTCCACCATCCTCCTATCCCACAATCTCCGACGGTACTGACCAGATAAGTGGTGGTGGCTGGGCCAACTCATCTACATGTGGGCCTCCGGCGTGGCCAAGGTGTCCATCGCGCTCGCCCTCCTGCGCCTGACCGTGCGCCAATCCCACCGGATCATCCTGTGGACGGCCATCTGCGCCTCGGTGACCGTGGGCCTGGTCTTCTGGTTCTTCATGGTGCTGCAATGCCACCCGGTCTCGGAGTTCTGGGAGCGCACCGGACAGGGCAAATGCCTCGACACCTCGGTGCTGCTGGTCGTCGCCTACGTGTACAGCAGCATCTGCGCGGCGTGCGATCTGGCGTTAGGGCTGTTGCCGATCCTGCTCGTGCGCAAACTGCAGATCAACCCCCGCACGAAGATTGCGCTGGGCGCGACGCTGAGTATGGGTTGTGTGTATGTGCCTTTTCCCCTTGACAAACTGCCTCCCTCTTCAATCGTGCGATAAATTACTAACCTGTGTAGCGCATGCCTGGCCCTGATCATCCGTATCCCCTTCTTACCGAGTTACAAGGATTTGGACTTCCTGTGTACGTTACCCCTCCATCACCCCCGACCCCCGAAAGGGTAAAGCTAACAGCAAAAGACTCCACCTACCAAATCGATCTCTGGTCCTTCCTGGAACTCGGCCTGGGCATCACAGCCGGCAGTCTGGTCACTCTTCGCCCGCTGCTCCGCAAATTCCTGGACCACGGGGCGTCGGCACCCGCTAAAACCCCCTACGCCTACACGTACACCACCCGCAGCGGCGGCACTTCCCGCAAGCCCCACTCCCGGTCCCGCGGCAGCTTCCCGTTCTCGAGCTTCTCGCGCACGCGCACGGAGAAGGATCAGGATCTTGAGGTTGAGTTGGTGGACACGGCGTGGCGGCCGGATGTGCATGGCGTGGAGCGGTCGGCGACGGCGATGGCGATGGCGACTGTTGTTGGTGGGAATGCCAATGAGGCGAATGGGAGGGGTAGGGAGAGAGGGAAGAGTGACAGTCAGGAGAGTCTGACGGGGATGGGGTTTCAGTATGAAAATACGGTTGGGGGCGTGGTGGGCGGCGGGCAGTGGGGCACGGATGTCGTGGGCAGTGAGAGGATGGTTAGGGTGCAAAAGTCGTTTTATGTCACCGAGACGGAGAGGAGGATCTGACCTCCTTGCGGTGCTTTCTTTTCTATCCTAATGATTTATGCCCCACTTCCGGCACTTGCGCTGTGGAATGTAGCATGTAGGACGTAGACCTGAAGGTAGGATGGTTCATTCATAGCTCCTAGTCTCACTACTGAGTCTAACCATGTGTAAATCTACTCCAAACTCTCCCCCTCCTGACACCCGATCGGCGTCGTCCGGTAGTTCAACCCAGTGGTTGTGTTGTAGTTCCACCAGAAGTCCAGGTACTGCGGGTACGAGCTGGGCACCTGGCACGTCGACGCGTAGTCCGGCAGACTCTCGCTCAGAATCGAGGTGAAGTTGTCCAGCGAGCAGGTGTACCCCGGCCCGGACTGGCAGTCGTTGAACGGGAGCACGGCCTCGTTCAGCACCAGGCGCACGTACGTGTCTTCCGCCGTGGCGGCGGTCGCGTTGCAGCTGAGCCGCTCGATGGTCAGGTGCCCGCCCATCGGGACGATGTTGCCGATGCTGTAGGGGTTGCCGAAGGGGATGCGGTCGAGGGGGAGGTCGGTGTCGGGAATGAGCACGCCTAGCGCAGCTAGGATGGGGGTGATGTTGGTGTCGTGGGCGCTATGGTGAAGTCAGTAAATTTGCGGTGGCTGGGCTGCGGTGACACTGGGAGGGAGGCTTACAAGTTGAAGAACAGGGAGCCGGCCTTTTCCGGGCCTTCGTTCAGTAGCGTCAAGCTGGCGTTGACGTAGACAGCTCCGACGGCGGCCATGTTCTTGTCGCCGGGTCTGGGTCGAGGTTAGGGTTGGGGCCATTCATCCGAGGGCAGAGGAGGGGGATTACCCAGCGCAGTAGTAGTAGTCTAGGTCTTCGAGATACCCGAAACTGACCCATTCGTCTTGGGTAAAGGCGTTGATCCAGTCGGAGTAGGGTCGAGCGTTGAGCTCGAAGGAGGCCATGGCTACATTCGTCAGTCAATGTTCAGCTGCAGTGGTAGCATGACCTACTCATCAAGTGGTAGACATCCGTCTCGTTGAGGCCCAGGCCCGGGTTCTGCGCATTCAGGCGCGCAGCTGCCACCTTGAACTGCGGCATCACGTAGACGAGGTTATCGCAGACAGAGTCGTCGTTGTCAACGTCGCAGGAGGGCGTGAGGCTGTTGGCGCCTAGGGTCTCGGACTCAGAGATGATGTTGAGGGCAGCGCTCGTGGAGTAATTGTACCCGAAGAATCCCTCGCCGAATTTGCGAGCCGTGTTAATGACGCGGCTGTAGCCACTGGTCCAGAAGGGCTGCACCGACTCGCCGTCCCAGAGATGGCCGTACCGCGCCTTGTACTCATTGCCGTGGGTGTATGCATCGAGCAGGCCCGCGTACGGTCCGCTGGTCGTCTCGGCGTTGTAGTAGCATTCGTTGGGCACGTAGTAGGTCCAGTCCTGCAGGAAGGCGAGATCTCCCTTCCACTCGGAGACGTTGGCTGAGTACACCTTGTCCAGGGTGGCCTCGATGCCCGCGCCAGAGCTGGGTGAAGGGTATCGCTCGCCGTGTCTCTTGACCATGATGACTTGGTCGACGGCGCACCCGCTGGGCGGGTCCCGGGAGATGCCGTAGGACACTCGCTCCGAGTAGGGGCCGTTGCCGCCGTAGTGCTTCAAAATGCTGTATCCATCGCGGAACTCCTGAGAGAATTGCTTTTCTTGGGTGGACTGGGGGATCGCGGCGGGGTAGGAGAAGGCGGACGCTCCGGTAGCCAGACCTAGAGCATAGGCGGCCCGGAGGAGGGACGAGGAGGAGGGCATGAGGATGTGTTATGAGGAAGAACAGAGAAGCGAAAAGATGGGAGGCAAGGTGCGAGCCTTGTTAATCCAGCGATGATCTGAAGCCTACTGCTCTCTCTCGCAACTTGAATGGTGTTCTGCAGGCCCTTATATAGCCTCCAGCCGACAATCGTCTCATCTCCTCATCCCCTCATCGCGGGGAGCTGCAATGGCCGTCTGATCCGGTCAATCTCATCTCCGACGATGGAGCAAGAGGGCAAATTGACCACTGACAGAGACAGGAAACTGCCCACGTGCTCAATTTCCCAAAGTGAAGCGACATTCCCCTCCGCTGTCGGACCGGTGATAAGAAACAAGTAACTCGAGGTATTTTCCTAGGTCTAGGTGCGGAGAAGATACGAAGAGTGACATGGGATAAGCCGGCGGCGGCCGACGGAAGATCCCAATCACACGCGGGGAAGCCAAGGCGTGTTATCGCATCGCTGGTCCATTGGTTGAATGAGGGGCGAAGCGGGTCTTGCACGGCGTAATCTCCGATCCTGCCACTAGGCTGGTTTGGGGGGTAATTAATGAAGCCGTTCCCGCTTGAATTCCTCATCTTTTGTTGTCATTGTTGCTGCTGCTGCTGCTGCTGCTGCTGTTTCTAGAGGCAGTGATGTAAAAGAAGCCGAATTAAAGCACAGTACACAGCTGAGATAGTTATTACTCATTCGAATCACTGGTGAAGGTCATATCGGGATGCTCTTGCTAGATAGTTACTCAGGCTTATCCGGTTAAGATCAGACTGAGGGTGGTCACATCACCTCGTATATGATTTGCAATTTTAGAAATAAGCACCTTGGAAGCCGCCTAGCCAAAGCTTGGTATCGGCCATACATTCTTGCATCAGCCCAGTCAAGACACTGTGATCCTTCTGACGCCTTGGCTATTCGCCGAGTGAATGCTTGTGCTCGGAAGTGACAGTCCCTGCAGCATGTCTGCAGTTCTGGAACCCGGTGTATGCGAACCTGGACGCAATAAACCGCTTGCTCGGGCCAGTGACGACGGCCTCTGCATTAGTATTAAGTCCGAGTAATGGTCGTTACGCCTCAGATGGGCCGCAATCGGCCCACGTGCACTTGGTCTGGCCAAACATTGGAGATACAAAACAACGCCACGCTGCAGCCCTACGCATGAGATCCTGCATCTGCTGCACAACGCGAGTCAGCTACACTTACTGGACGCGATCGTCTAGTACCCTGCTAGACAATTGCGATCGACACGGGTAGCACTTTCAGTAATGACTATACCTGAGTAGACATATCAGTAAATACAATATCTACACTCAACACTAATATTGATAAACATCAACCGAAAGTTTCTTCTGATACTAGAAGTACAAAAGTCTTTATTCGGTATTGCACATAAGTCTTCCGAGAAAGCTTGGTTGAATTCTCTTGACTGTGGCACCTGGTATTCATATCAAATTCCTTACTAATGACCCTAGCTCGGGATCTATTTTAATACGATATGTCGACAAGGATTGAACTGTGATTCTATAGATTTACGAGTGATTCTAAAGTGTCATCAGATAAGACCATGAAATTCTATTCTACAACTCTATACATGTGAAATCTCCAACCCACATCTATAACCACCACTCTAATCACCCCAACTAAACCTCCACCGGCACCTCATACGACAACTTGGTCACCCCCTTCTGCCGACTCACCTTCCGGATAGTAATATACCCCGTCAACCCCGTATGCGCCACATGCGTGCCCCCACAGGGGTTTGCATCCAAATCCGCGATCTCCGCGATGCGCACTTTCCCGCCCTGCCCGACCTGTAACCCCTCCACCATATTCAGCTCTTTGGTCGCGATCTCCCGCTCCTCCCACCAAGAGATGTGTACCGGTAACGCCCGCTGCACCAGCTCGTTCACCTTCCCCTCGATCAGCGGGCGGTGCTCGTTGTACAGCAGTCCCTCGAACTCCATGCACGCCTCGCGCGGCGCGTGGTTGGCTTTCACCTTCTTCCGCTCCCCGAGTTCCGGGGTCAGCAGGCGCATCGCGAGCCCGATGATGTGGCCCGCGGTGTGGAGCCGGGAGTGGTAGTTGCGGGTGACCGCGTTGATGGTCTGCGTGGCGAGGGCGTTGGAGGCGAGCGAGAGGGGGAAGTCCGGGGTGGTGAAGTGCCCGAAGTGCAGGATTTCGCCGTCCGGGGTCTTGCGGACGAGGAGGACTTCGAAGGTGTATGGGTTTGTCTCGTCATCGTTGCTGCCTGGGAGCAGGATCACGCCGGTGTCGCTCGGTTGGCCGCCGCCTTGCGGGTAGAAGACGGTTTGGCGGGTGGTGAGGGCATAGTGGTTTTCTAGCGGGATGTTCTTGGCGAGGGTCTTTTCGGGGTCGCTGAGGGCGGCGATGGGGCGGTAGGAGGTGATGGTGGTGGTTGTGGTGGTGAGGGTGGCGTCATCCAGGTAGAGGGCGTCGGTAGTCTGCGGTTGCGTGGTTAGAGGGGGTTGAATTGAGGATGAGCGTGGCGTTACCATGATGACGAGCTTTTTGGGCGAATGTGGTGGAGTGGTGGCAAGTGAGGCTTGAGCTGGATATATGTATACTCTCCAATCTTATCTTTCTCACCCCCACGTGAATCATCGGCGGGAGTCATTCTCGACCATTTGCTCGCTCCGGCACACTGCATTAGGCAGGTGGAGCCCGTATCTCGTTCCGATCCCGGTGCCAAGCAGTGGCGGTGCGCGCAGCTCCACTGGTTGGGGTTGGAGTTGGCGTATTGCAGATTGATAGGGTTATCTGGTGGTGGTGGTGGTGGTGGTGGTGGTTGCTGTTGGGTGATGAATCCAGGATCTACATAGTCAAGATGTGTCAACCACCATACGGCAGCCACCATAAGACTACTGCGAGACGCTACTCTTCTTCAAGATGAAGAGGAGATGATTTTGCTTGCCATGTTCCTATCTAAGCACTTCCATACATCGTTACAGGCTGGCGACATCACAATATCTTGCGAAGGCCAACATACCCTAGACCTCACTCTATATGCTCTACCATCTCGAAGTCCGACTTCCGTACATCATCCACTTTCCCTGCGGTCTTTTGGATAAGCTCTGCCTCATGGTCAATATACTTCTGCGGTCTTTTGACACTGATCGCATCGGGGTCGTTGATCACGATGAGTGACGGGTTGGAGCGGTAGTAGGCATCGAGGTCCTCGAGAGTACGGTTTGCTAGATCCGGATCAGTAGAGTAAAATATCAAGAGCCACAGTACGACATACCGGTCTCCGGGTAGAAAAGATAGATGACGGGTAGAAAGGCGGCATTGAAGACCGTCCAGACGATCCAGAAACGCCATCCCAGGCTCTGGATACCGATCGGGGTGATTTCGACCACAATGAAATTGGTGATCCTGGAATGAGTTTATCAGTCAAAGAGATATTTCCTTAAGATAGTAAGGCGAAGACCCACCAGTTGGTCGCCGTGGCCACGGCGGCAGTCTTGGTCCGCATCGGCAGCGAACTGATTTCCGTCGGGTAGAGCCACGGCACCGCCAGCATCCCCATCCCAAAGAAAATATAATACAGAAAGAAGAAGGCGATCGAGGCGGATCCATACTTCGATCCATCAGCCAAAGTGTCGGCGTAGGACAGCAGGATCGTGATGATCAGGAAGCACATGAACTGTCCGGCCGTCGAGCTCAGCATCAGCCCCCGCCGCCCCCATTTCTCAACCAGCGGAACGGCCATGGCCGTGAATACAAAGTACGACACCGAGCTACAGGCGGCAAGAAGACGCGCGGAACGGTTCGAGAGACCGACCGACTCCATCAGGACCGTGGGCATATAGTAGGACATGATGTTGATGCCCTCGAATTGCTGCATGAATTGGGAGCCCGCACCCAGAAGCAGGCGACGCAGGGTCTTGGTATCGTTGGAGCTGTGGCGGCTGCGGAACAGGTCTCGCCAGCGGATGGCGTTCTCGCGCTCGTAGTGGATGCTGTATTCAATCTCGGACCGCTGAGTGGCGATGTAGGGGTCGTCGATGGGCTTCGCTTCTATGGCGGCCAGCACTTGCATGGCTTCGGCTTCGTGGCCGTGCTGCATGAGCCATCTATGTTGAGTTGAGCCCTATCAGTCAAGGTGAATCTCAGAATGAGTACGGGGAGCCTACCTCGGGGACTCAGGTAACCAAGGAACCGTGGCGAAGAGCGCGAGGATGAAGACAAACTGGAAGGCAATCGGAAATCGCCAGGCGACCGACCCTCCCTTGAAGGACAGACCATAGTTGATCCAGTTCACGAGCATGGACCCTGCGAGGTTCATCACCATCTCCAACAGCACCAGTCTTCCTCGCCATTGGGGCTGGGATGTCTCGGTTTGCCACACGGGGGCTGTGGCCGTGTTGATGCCATTGCCGACTCTGGGTGGTGCTCAGCGAGTTAGCCCACTCTAGAGTACAGGGCTAGTCCAGGATAGATATCGAGGAAAAATGACATACCCCAGAATCACCCTTCCGATAAATATCTGCGGAAGGCTGTAAGAGGAGGCTTGCAGGATGGTTCCGACAGACATGATGGCGGTGCCCCAGAGAATGGCCTTCTTCCGACCAAGTCGTTCGCCGATTCCAAAAGCAACGAGAGCACCAAAGAAACAGCCGACATCGTAGATCGCGGTCACGGTTGAGAGGGTAGTCGTCTTCGACGATCCGACTAAGTCGTGGACCTCGAGGAAGTTCTGGGTGACGACCACGCCGCCTAATGGCACCGGTTGGAATGCATTCTTGTGGTGTAGCAAGGAAAGATGCTCTTACTGAAGACTCCCTGATCGTATCCGAAGAGAGTCATGTCCGTTGCACAGGCAATCTGGAGCATGGGATGTTGCGTGAGACACAGCTGTGCTGTTGGGTAGGGTAGACATACTGTAATCCAGACGGTGAGCCACGTTCCCGAGAGACCAAAGTAGGGCTGGCCGCCCTGCTTCTTCTTGGACCATATCATGGTGGTAAGCACTAAATAGAAACAATAACAGAATGCGAGAAGAACTCAAAGGGCTCGTGGTAAGATGTAGAAAGAGTTATGTAACTTACCAGATCCTCAAGTCGTTGACCACTGATCGCTTTATATAGCGTGGACCACCCATCGAGTTCAACACCAGGCAGATACTCCACAGATGGCTGCTTGGCTATCCGTCCTATTGCGGGGTACCCATTCCGGGGAAGTGGATGGACGGCAGTGAGTGTCAGGCCAGTCGGATGGTCGGTTTCCCAGAGGCAGAGCCTATTCCATGATTGGATGAGGTCATTCCGGCCCATTTCCCGGTTGCAGGAGCCCCAAAGAGGAAATTTAGGAGCACGAGGCACGACGCTATCACAGTATCCGACGCCTATGAGGTCATGCCTCAGACTGGTATTTGGACCAGTTGGCACGAGGTGTAGTGGGTTGAAGGGGTGAAGAAGTGAGATCAGCAGCATGATTTCTATCTACGTCCTAGTCTCGGACTTTGTATACTCTAATGTTCGATACATGAAAAGACCAACGTCAAACATCGGAAAGAGACCTCACGGCAGAGTGTATCCACCATCAATGATCATATCGGCTCCCGTCATATAGCAGCAAGCATCACTCGCCAGGAATACATATGCCTGTGAAGGGAAATCAGCATGGAGTCACACCAAACAAGTTAGCCGTTAGGGGTAGGTATCGTACTGCTTTGAGCTCAGCTGGCTCACAGATTCTTCGGCCCGGGATCATCGAGAGCCATTTCTCGAACAGCTCCGGGGGCTGTTGCGTGAGCACTAGCATGATGGTCAGTCCGGACAAGTCATCATCCTGCGAAGACCGGGGGCGGGAGCTATACTCTTGGTCATGATGAAGCCCGGGGAAATGCAGTTTACACGGGCAAAGTCAGCCCACTCAACGGCTAAACTCTTCGCCAGATGCACGGCTGCCGCCTTGGAGGCATTGTACGCCACTTGCGTCTGAGGGATATTGACCAGGGTCGCGCTGACTGAGGCGGTCACAATCAGGTTGCCCCGACCCTGCTTTTTGAAGATACGACCGGCTGCCTGAGCAGTCCACATCACGCCATCATAGTTGACCGAATTGTCCCGATGCCAGTCCTCCTCGGTGTACTCCAGGTTGGGGCGATTGGTGCACACCCCGGCGTTGGCAACGACCACATCCAAGTGGCCGAAGTCTTCTGCAATCTGGTCCAGAGTGGCGGCAATGGTGCTGCGAGTGGTGACGTCGGACTGATAGGCCTGCACACGGACATTGTTGTCGGCGGCGATTTGGGCGGCCGACTCCTGGGCCTCGGCGTTGGAGCTGTAAATCAGGGCTACGTCGGCCCCGGCTTCGGCTAGGCCACGCACCACCTCCAGCCCGATCCCCCGGGCTCCCCCGGTCACGGCGGCCACTTTGCCCTTGAGAGAGAACTGCGACAGGACATGTCGGTTCACATCGGAGGGTTGGTAGAGAGGCATGGTGTTGATTGAATATGAGGGTCAACTGGAGAAATCAATTGGAGGGAGAAGTGTATGAGAGAGATGTGATACGTGAGAATGCTATGCTGGTCTTTCTTCAGGTGGTCGATAGGGGGGAATCCGAACCCCAATTTATGCTCCATCAGTGAACTCTAATGTTCGTCCTCTGCACTCATAGCTGGAGGATTGCCGCAGCTTCATGTACATACAAACTGCGTAAAACTTGGGACTGGGACTGGGACTGAACAGATGAGCAAGACAGTGGAGGAGGAGGAGGAGATATTCACGAAACCTAGAATTACCCAATCGGGCAGAATAGGCGGATTGCGGGGGCATTTCCCGATCGGGCAAATCTGGCGAGGAACAATCACTGCCTCTTTCGGCCATCAACTCAACTCCACTTCTTCTTCTTCTTCTTCTTCTTTCCACCTTAATGATCATCCCAACTCCTATCATCATCATCATCAACATCATCACAGAATTGGCAATTCTTCCTGCTCACCTCGTGCTCACTTCCTGCCCTGCCTTACTACTCCTCTTCTTATCTCTCATTCTCATGTCAGCTCCGACTGCATCGTCTCGTGCAACCCCGCGGTCGCGCAAGGGATGGTATGTCCAAGCTCCCCCCCCCCCTTCCTACCCCTACCCCTACCTCTCCCCTCCCCACAATTGCTGATGCGCATGGACTCTTCCTAGCCCCGAATGCCGGAAAAGGAGAATTAAGTGCGACGAACAGAAACCGCAATGCGGTCACTGCGTCCGAGTCGGCCGAGTCTGCCACCTGGTCGATAGTCTGTTCATCACTCACCCCTACTCCTCCTCTTCGACCCACCGCCGTCCTCCCAAGCGACCACGGAGGCGAGGGACGGATGGGGTTTCAGGTGCGCAACTTAACTTGTTCAGACGCATGTCTTTCGATGCTGGATAGATTGCTGATCTTGACTCCAGGCCGTGCTAGCGTCGAAGGTCCGCCTGTGGTTACTGGTATCGAGACCGACCCACACTCCAGATCTGGGGCACTGGCTGAAAGTGACCCCCGCGACCCTTCGCCCATATCGAGTGCCCCCGTGACTGGCGGTCCTTCTGCCACCCAATTAGAACCCTCCCACCTTCTGTTTGAAGAGAGACCCAGTCCGCAGAACTGTGCAGGGGATGCCTATTCCACTGCAACCCAACCAACGAATGCCCTGGGCACACCTGGCTCTCTTGCGTCGGATCTCCCCGGTGACACGCACCGTGACCAACAAGAGATCGCCTTTCTCCTACGCTACTTCTCCGAAGGCCCGGCAAAATTTCTGGATGTATGCTGTGACCTGCGCCCGTACTTCAGCCGATATGTCGTGGCAATATCTCGACAGAGCGCCCTGGTGCGCTATTCCGCATGTGCTCTCGCCGCGAAACAGCTCGGTCACATGAAGGATCCTGAAGCGCGAATCCAGCGGACCAGATGTCAAACCCGTATGTTGAAGGTTTTCGCAGAGTCAAATCTGGATTTCCTCTGGTACGGGGCCAAGTACTACGAAAGAGCAATTCAGCTCCTAGCCCGGCAATTATCCCACGGCCATGCCGCCACGTATCGGCTATCGCCTTCGTCCCTCTACCAAACGCATAATTCGAACCATTCGAATGCCAATAATCATGGCATTGATGTAGGGCCGCTTCAGATTTTGGCCTCTTGTATTCTCTCGCAGTATGAAGACCTAAGCGCCAGTATGCGAGCCTGGTCGGGTCATTTGAACGGGGTTTGCAAACTCCTTCACCCACATCTCGTGGACCCGATCGTCTTCCTGTCCGAGCTGTCAGTCCCGGAGCCTGCTCTAGCACTCGACACCATCTTCTGGTTTTTCGCGCTCAATGATGTCCTCGATGCTTGTAAGTCCTGCAATGGCTATCCTTCCAACCTGTGACCGCTGCTCCAGTTTCCAGTATCTAGCTGCTACAGCCCATCGGACTTAGAGCTGACATTCAGGCTCAAAGTTGTGGGCGACAAGCCCCCTCGACTCGACTTCGGAGACCATGGACTCTGGCGCAGAATGGGGTTGCCACTGGACGATGCGGGACAGTTATCTTTTCACCAAGGAGGAAAACAGGTTACTGAGTGCATATTTCTCAAAAGTCTCATCTGGCTGCTATCCCAAGTGATTACCATAGACATGACAAACTCTACCCAGTGGGTTCGAGTGAGCGAGCAGCTGGATCAGTGGCACTCGTCGCTTCCCGTGACATTCTCGTCGCCCGTGGCATGGCAGTCCACTCCGGAAGCCAACGAAAGTGAGCAGGAGTATTCGGCGGAATCCTGGTATGCCAGTGACACGTGCGCGATAGCCATGGCGTTTTACCACATGGCCCGGATTGTGCTGCTGATCCATCAGCCACAGGATGTTTTTCTCCAACAGTCACGGAACCACACGGATCTTCTGCGGTCCTACACCGGACTGCAGCAAGGCCTACGTCGCCACGCCATGGAGATCGTTCCTATTTCTCGTGGGATGCCGAGCGATGTTGTGCAAAAGTATCTAATCCAGCCGCTCTACATGGCGGGACGATGCCTGGGAGAGCCTAAGGAGCGACAGGAAGTGCTGGCTATCCTTCTTAGCATTGATGACAATCTTGGAGTGTTTACCTGCTATCGTGTCCAGGCATTGTCTGAAGAATGGCGGATCCCTTATACACCACCAATCCGAAATACTGACGAGAGGTAACTTGACCGTAGGGCACAACTATTCACCCTGCCACAAAGAGACAAGATAGGTAAACCTGGAAGATATATTCAAAACTACCTACGGAACGCCGCTATCGAGCGGTATAGCCACCATCAACAATGATGTCGGCACCCGTGGTGTACGAGCTTGCATCGCTCACCAGATACACATAAAGCCCCTTAAGCTCTTTGGCCATGCCCTCTCTCCCCAGCGGGATCATCGACCTCCACAACTCCTTGGTCTCCTTGGGAATGAAGTCCGAAAGCCCCGTATCAATGTACCCTGGTGACACTGAATTCACCCGTGCGAACCCCCGCCACTCGTTGGCGAGCGATTTCGCGAAATGCACACACCCGGCCTTGGCCACGTTGTACGAAGTCTGCTCCTGCGGGAAGTTGGCGATATGGCCGGACATGGACGAGGTCACCACGAACGACCCGGCGCCCCGTTGTTTGAAGTGCTTGCCCACCGCCCGGGCGCAGTGAAAGGTCCCGTTCAAGTCTGTCTGGATGATATCCATCCAATCTTGAACACTCCCCTCCAGCACCCCGGCGTCGGCTGCTTTGCCCGCGTTGGCGATGAACCCGTCAATCTGGCCAAAGTCCCGGATGATGGTCTCCACCAAGGCTTCGGCAGCGGCATAGTCACGGATGTCGCAGTGGTACGCGCGGGCTTGGATGTTATGGGCGCGCGACAGTTCTTGGGCGTTTGCTTCGGCGGATTCCTTTCGCGTGTGGTACGTGATGGCAACGTGGGCGCCCATTTCGGCGCAGCCTCGCGCGGCTTCCATCCCGATGCCTCGGGGATTGGAAGCGCCTGTCACAACGATAACTTTGCCTTTCAGACTGAAAAGGTCGGCCAGGTTCGAGGCCTGAGGGATTGAGGGAGGCATTATGCGGTGACGCTGGGGTATCTTGATTGTTGGGTTGTCTTGGTGGGGTTGTGGACTCAGGGAGTTTGTTAACCTGCTGGGGCTCGTAAAGTCAGAGAGCCATCGTCCCCGTTCTTATGTCTATCGCATCCCCACTTCGATATCCACCTCGGATTCCAGTTCGGCTGCCTAGGAAGCAGGGTAGCGATGATCCAGACCGCGAATCGGCACCACAGGCACTCCCGAAAGGGCAGATTTGTCTTCCGCCGAAGCGGGGTCGCCAGATTTACCGTTTTCGGAAATACAGCCCTCTATCCACGGTCCGCGGCGACTACCCCACATCTGCATCTCATGCTTTGTCGCTGCCCCGCGCAAATCCAGCACACAGAGACGTCATTGCTATATAAAGGCAAGTATACAGCTTGCTTTGAGCAGTCGAACAAGCCAACATCAATCCAGCTCAACGTCAATCAGTCACCCTCAGCACAATGCAGGTGGGCGTCACCCTCACGCAGCCTATGTTGAGCGTTCAACCCTGACCTCAGTCAACAGAACCCATCCTTCGTCCTTCAAGACATCAAGAAGGTGACCATCGAGGACCGTCCGGTCCCCGAGCTACAAGATCCGCATGATGTGTTGGTGCACGTCGCCCAGACGGGTATCTGTGGCAGCGATGTATGCCCTCCTGCTCTTTCTCTTCCTTTTCCTTCTGCAGCGCTAATCATCTCGACTCTACTGTACAGGTCCATTAGTGCGTCTCTGTCCCCTCCGTCTTCTGCTCTCAGCACAAGAGTACCCTTCTGGCACAAGGCACGAACTAATACCCCTACCCCTCCAGCTGGCAACGCGGCCGCATTGGCGACTACGTCGTGACCGGGCCAATGGTGCTGGGCCACGAGTCCTCGGGCGTGATCGCCGCGGTCGGCGACGCCGTCACACACCTTAAGTCCGGCGACCGCGTGGCCGTCGAGCCGGGTCTCCCCTGCCGGCGCTGCGACTACTGCCGCCGCGGCAGCTACCACCTCTGTCCCGGGATGATCTTCGCCGCCACCCCGCCCTACGACGGCACGCTGGCCAAGTACTACGTCACGGCGGCGGACTTCTGCTACAAGGTGCCGGAGCACATGGACCTGGAGCAGGCGGCGATGGTAGAGCCTGTGTCCGTCGCGGTGGCGATCGCTAAGACGGCGGACCTGCGCCCGCATCAGACGGTGCTGGTGCTGGGCTGCGGGCCCATCGGGGTGCTGTGCCAGGCGGTGGCCAAGGCGTACGGTGCGAGTAAGGTCATCGGGGTGGATGTCGTGGAGAGCCGGCTGGAGGTCGCCAAGACGTATGGCGCGGACGAGACGTTCTTGGCCCCGTTCCGGGAGGAAGGCGTCGAGCCGCTGGTGCATGCGGAACGGGTGGCGGCGCTGGTGAAGGAGCGGTGCGGGCTCGGCGACGGCGCGGACGTCGTGCTCGAGTGTTCCGGGGCGGAGGCGTGTGTGCAGCTGGGCGTGCTGGCCGCACGGCCCGGAGGCACGTATGTGCAGGCCGGCATGGGCAAGGAAAATGTCCTGTTCCCCATCACCACGGTCTGTGTGCGGGGATTGGTCGTCAAGGGGTCCATTCGCTACCTGCCCGGGTGCTATCCCGCGGCCATCGAGCTGATCTCGACTGGGAAGATCGATGTGAAGAAGTTGGTTACCAACCGGTTCAAGTTCGAGCAGGCGGAGGAGGCGTTTGAGCTCGTCCGGCAGGGCCGGCAGGATGTGTTTAAGGTCATGATTAGTGGTGTGGGGTACTAGCGTTTGTCCTGAGGTGTGATTTTAACAGTCGAATATCATGATGAATTTGGAACAAGAGTTGAATGGTGGTTCTGGTGGATAGCTTTATTTTTTGATAATATTTATAACTATTTTGAGAAACCCCCCAGCTACCGATCACAAGTCTAGTGGCCAGTTAGCGGGAGGAATCAGTAAAGGTCTACGGTACTCACAAAGGAACACCGGCGCAGTAACGCAGCGCCTCATTGAATGTAGCCAGGCGGTACAGGGCTTTATCAAAGTCCGCCTCCTCTGAAGAACCACTTGAGTTGATGCGGAGGGCGTTGCTCTCGTCCGCGTTGTCATTGCCGTTGCCGTTATGGTGATCGGGCGCCCACTCCACCTGCTGGAACTTGAATCGCTTCAGATCCAGACATAAACGCGCGAGCATCCTCAGCATGGACGGCCAGTCCCCCTCAAACCGGACCTGTTCTAGCGTGATGGACTCGAGCTTCGCGACCTTGGGAATCAGGATGCACATGTCGCAGTCCGTCAGGACGAGGTTGGTCAGCGTCAGGTTGCGCAGGTTGCTGTCATCCAAGGGGATGGCGTTGAGGGTGGGCCCCACGGGGGTGTCGGGCCTGTCCATCCCGCGGCCCTCGACAATGAGCGTCTGGACCGGGGTCTTGAAGGTGCGCTCGTAGAACTTGAGCCACGGGTGCGGCCATTTGCGCGGCGGGCTGGGCATGGTTTCGTCCACGAAGTAGGGCCACTGCACGCGCAGCTCCTCGAGGTCCTCCACAACACAGTCATACAGGTGCGGCGTGTGGAACTCGCCGGGGCCCTCGATGTACCAGTCGTCGGCCTCCATGATGAGAGACAGGTGCGTGATATGCCGCCGCATGTAGTTGATCACCCGGAACAGGCACTTGGGCACGTCGCCCGGGTTGAGGATGTCGTTGAAGGGGGCTCCCGCCGGCCCCAGCGCCAGCTCGAACTCCGAGATCAGCGGGAAGCTCTTGTGCAGCACGTTGTACAGGCGCCGCACCTCGGGGATGTACATCGGTTGCAGGAGCATGAGGTCCGAGTTGCGCTTGAACAGCGTGTTGGGCCCCGTGCGCGTCCCTTCCACCCGCAGCCGCCGCGTGAAGTGCGTGTACTTGCGGTACCGCGCCGCCAGAAACTGCAGCCCCGTCACGCTCGCCGGCGTCAGGTCCGTCCGCAGCGTGCGCAGGGCTTTCGCCAGGTCGATGACGCTCGGCATTGGGGTGTTGGCCGGGTCCAGCAGGATGCGTCGCCCCTCCGCGGTCAAATTCGGGGCCAGGTCGCCCAGCGCGTCGCTGCTGGGCGTCCCCCCCTCCAGCGGCTCGAACATCGCATTCAACAACGCCTGCTGCTCCGCCGTCAGGTCGGGCTTGTCTTCCGAGGAATTATTCTCCGAGCCCTGCATGTCCACGTCCAGCGACGCGAGCATGGCGATCATTTCCTCCGCGGTCTGGTCGGGCGTGTCTTCCGGGGTAGTCTCCGAGGCGGACATTTTGCTGGTTGGTATTGTAGTGGGTTTCAGGTGAAATAAGGGTAAAAGTTGTGGCTGATCGGTGGGGGTTGTGGGTTGTGGTGATGAAAGGGATGGCCTGAGCAAGCAAGTGGCTGCATAGTGTTTTATATCAGGGACACTGTCTGTCACGAACCAGCCATTCCATGGGAGCTGTAGTTGTAATCTCCGTTTCAAGTGTGCTTTGACTGGGGTTTGATGCAGAACTCCGTTGCCATAAAGGAGGTCTTTTTGATAGAGTCGCTCATTGGCGGCGAGGACAGAGGCATTGTCGGGGAGTGTCGCGGGATTGTCCAGTAGAGTTGGCAATCAGCAATCTCCTGGTCGCTGGGTTTGAACAAAGACATTGTCATGGAAGCTGTCACTGAGGATGTGACCGTGTTGGTTGTGCGCTTTCTTTGTGAGCTCAGCTCGTGGTTCTGGGAGGCATGGCGAGAAGGAGACCTCGCGGCTCTTACACTTCTCAGTGTCGACTGTTGTGGAAGCACAGCCATGGTTGTGAAGCAGTATTGGCTAGTCATTCTTGTTTGGTCTGGTCTCAAATCATGTTTCTTGGATGCATGAGAGCAGGAGGCCTTGTACCCCTTACCCCCCCCCGGGTTCTGACATCCATGAAAGCACGGCCATAGTGTACAGCGGTATCGTCTAGTCATTCTTGGTTGATCGAGGTGATTAAGGTGAGAGCATGACTCAAAGAACAGAGACGAAGCTGAGAGAAGCATATGGCATTGAATCCGACATCAACGGAATTGGCCAAGCGACCAGTCTGTTAGCCTCCAAGGTCCCGCTTTCTCTGACACCAAGGTCACTCCCTATGACACCAATGTCATTGTGGATTCTCCGAGTGCAAGATAGTGGATGCTGCATACGAGGCGGCCATTAATCCTTCCTACCAGGCATTCCTTGACCGCTTCTCTGATCGTTGCCTGGGGCCATGCTTTGTCAGCCCCATCCCGACCAGCCCTAATTGCCTGACTGTCCACCACAATTGACCATCCATCAAGCCAAGTATCACTCCTCCAGTCAAGCCTCATCAGTGCGAATCGCCTCGAACGCTATCAAGGCAAGGTTTTAGGTTTTCTTTCTTCCCTGCTAGGTGGGTTGCAAGCGTACGCTTCGCATCCCGATGCCTGCACCTGACTCCGCCCGCGGCCAATCGCCATGTGCGCTGCGCACACAAGCTTGAACTCTACTCTTCCTGCAGTGTTCGCACAAGAAGAGACCTTGATATCGATTGCGTAACCTCGATCGACACCTCGAGACGACGTGTTCGCGCTTTGAGTTTTTCAGTTTCTTCCAGGGTATCTCGCTGGTGGCAAATCGACATCTGAGGGGGGGGTGGTTTGTAGACAAACACATTCATTCTCCTGCCCCAAAGTATAAGAAAAGCTTGCGTTGCCAGCGATAAGCGGGCGGTCAAAAGAGGGATAGTGGCATCAGATACATTGGAAACGGCCGGAGGGGTCAACCGAGCTGTGGTCAGTGATGCAGGCGGGCGATCGTGCGGCGATCAGCTTATCGCAGAACCGAACGGGGCCGTTCTATTTCCGGTGATGCGCCGTCGTTCTCCGGTGGTCACTGGTCAATGGTCACACCAGATACACTGTTCCCAGGTAACCAGGTTATGTGTTTGATTACCTGGGGAGTTCGTCCTTTCGTTGTAGCTGGTGTAGCGCAGTAGGCTTAATGTAAGCTCCATCCATAGAATAAGCAAACTGGCAAAGGAGGGGCTACAATCCTCTTCATGGCTGTTCCCATCTACGTACCAGCCTCACTCTTTCCTTTTTTTTTTTTTTTTTTTTTTTTTTTTTTTTCTTTTTCTATTTTTTTCCAGAGGAGAGAGGGGTATCATGATCTGCCGGAATGCCCCACCATGAAAATTTTCTCTCCTCCAGGCGCATGGGCGTGAACGAGGGCTGAGATGCAAGCACCACTCAGTCAGTGCCTGTTGCCTTGGCCACGATGCACAGCTCCAAGAGGGTAAAAGCAAGGGCGCGCGCAGAGAAGCAGAGAAGCAGATGGGGGTGGCAGGATTGTTGACAGACTGCCTGTTTGGGCGGGTGGGCGAGTGGGGCCACGTGACCGGCCAATGTTTTTTCTCCGGCTCTTCCTTCGCTCCACTTCAGACTTGCTTTGCTTCCACTTCTTCCACTGCCTCCACTGCCTCCACTGCCTCCCACTTCCTTCCCCACTCCGTCGCATCATTTCTTCTTGTCATGCTTGACAATGGTTTTTTCTGACTGAGAAAAACTCACTTCGATGATGATCTCCAGTACCGACTACTGCTTCTGCACCCGCAGGACCCTTTCCCCTCCTCCGGTGCTGCTACAGTGGCTGTCATGTTGATCGCAGGTATCCACGTCACCAGCGAAAAGCATATCGGCTTCATGCTTTACACTACACTGCATTACATACACTACCCTATACTATACACACTACGAGTATACTACTCTCCGACGCGTCGACACTTCCACTGAACCACCACCACCCCACTTCATACCTTCCCTCCTTCGCATTCAGATCGGTAATCACCGACCACCCCCGACCCAGGGAAACCCCCCGACACCATTGCCAGAGACAGATGAAGGCGATCTCCATCGATATCGTCATCGCTGGGCTGGGCGTTGAGGTGGCCCAATGAAGTGGGCGGGTTAGCAACCTCGGCCGGGGCGCAAGAGAGAAGAGAAATTGATAGCAACCACCTTCATCGAAAAAAAGTGCAAGCAGACTTAGCGGTGAAGAGCAGCCGGCGGGAAACTAAGATTGACTAAGATTAACTAACCCCAATCCAACACCCGTAGCCGCACCTGCACCGCCAATCAGTGCAGTTATTCACTCTTAGCTTCTCGCCTCCTCCCAAGCTCCCAATGCACACCCAATGCACCAAATGCTCTCTTCGCCTCTTGTCGGACCAGCTTGAGGTCCATGCTGGCCTTATCGCTATGAGGAATGGAATGAACAACAGAAAAAAAAATTTTTTTCTGCCCTGCCATGGGCTGACTTTGCCCAGTGCCTCTCGTTGTTAGCTACTTTTTGCTTCCTTCTTCCTTGGAAAGAGGGGCCCTGGTCCAAGCACGGAGGAGCTTCGAGCCTATATATTACGGCCTGTGCTCCATCTGAGCTTCTTTCTTCTTTCCCTCCATCATCTTGCCTTTCCTTCGTGGATTCGCTGTTTACTGCAACCCCAAGACCTGGTCGGTATACAGGTCGTTCATCACCCTCATCACTTTCATCTTTGTTGCTGGTTCGGCTTGTGCCCTCGCATCATCCCACATCACACCAATGTTCAAGTCATACTCGCACATCCTATCCCACAAGCGGAGAAGAAGCAAGAGCAGCGCCGTGCAGATCCTCTCCGCTGCGCAGTCCGAGCCCAGCTCCCCGACCCAGACTGTCCACGATCCCATCGAGATCTGGGCCCACTCCCAGCCCCTCTCCGTCAGTGAGGAGCAGCTGCAGGGCTGCTTCACCACCCTCGTTCCCCGCATCCACAAGTACGACCATGTCGCCCAACGCGGTAGCGATCGTTTCGTCCAGGACTTGACGGCTACCCTCGCCGCCGAGGAGGGCAAGGAGCCCACCAGCTACCTGTCCTGCCCCGTCGGCAACTACGCCAGCTTCCTCTACCCCGAATGCTTGCCCGAGCGCCTCGAGCTCGTCGCCTACCTGACCGAGCTCGGCAGCCTGCATGATGGTACGTCTTACGTTCTGCACACGCATGCATGACCGACCGTAGCTAACCTGCCCGACACAGCCCAGGGAAAATCCAACGGACGGACGACGGACAAGCCCGACGAGCACGTGGAGTCGCCCCGCGCCGAAGCCCGGAAGAAGCTGCTGGAGAAGGCGGTGGCTGAGATCACGGAGAAGGAGATCGATGGAAACGATATCATTGACAGCTACCGGAGCAACTGGCTGGTCACGCCCGAGGTCCCCACGGCCGACAACTGCGCCAACCTCGACGACTATGTGGCTCGCAGACGCCTCAACGCCGGTATCGAGTAAGTTGCCGCTGACTCCGTTGACCCCAAATAACTCCTAACAAGTGTCATAGTGTGTACTGGACCCTGATGGGCTTCGCCCATGGCACCCGTCTGGGCAAGGAAGACCAGGCCATCGTGCGAGATGCGCTCGACGCCGCTGAGCGCACCATGTTCTTTACCAACGACTACTACAGCTGGCCCAAGGAGAAGCGCGAGACCAAGCGGCGCCCCGTGGCCAACGTCATCCTGTTCCTCATGCAACACCAGAACATGTCCGAGGAGGACGCGGTCGCCAAGACCAAGGAGCTCATCGTCCAGAACGAGCAGGAGTTCGTCAAGCGTCGCGAGGCCCTCTACCAGGCCAACCCGGATCTCGCCCCCAAGCTCCGCAAGTGGATGGAGGTCCTGGGCTCGTCCCTGGCCGGTATCCACTACTGGTCCAAGAACACCCCCCGCTACGCTGTCCCTGACACGATCGAGGAGAGCGAAGAGGAGGAGGAGAGTGAGCACGCTTCCGTCGCGGAGGACCACTCCTCTGAGGGAGACGCCACTGCTGAAGACGACGAGGACGAGGAGGAAGACGAGGATGAGGATGAGGATGAGGAGGAAGAGGAGGTTGAGGCCGAAGAGCGGGAGCAGGAGGCAGAGCATGTAGAGGAGGCAGCTCAGCCCGAAGAGGAGGAACCCCAGGACGTGGCTGTCTGGACTCCTTTGGTGGAAGAGCCTGCTGCCCCAGTCGTGCAACTCAACACGCTACCCCTTTTGGCTCCGGCCGGCTACATGCGGTCGATCGCCATCACCGACCTGCAGAGCGAGCTGCTGGGCGCCCTCAACGTCTGGCTGCAGGTCCCCAACCGCCCGCTGACCTACATCAAGCAGATCATCAACGAGCTGCAGGACTCGACCCACATGCTGGCTGACATCCAGGACCACGCGACCCACCGCAGCCAGCGCACCCCGGCCCACCAGGTGTTCGGCCGGGCGCAGTGCATGAACAGCGCCGCCTACACCTTCGTGCGGGTGGCCAAGATCGTCAACAGCCTCAAGTGCCCCGGCATGCTGGACGGGCTGCTGGAGGAGCTCGAGGCCCGCTTCATCGGCCAGTCGTGGGATCTGGACTGGCGCACCACCTACCAGGCCCCCTCCGAGCAGGAGTACTTGACCATGGTGGACCAGCGCTCCGGCTCCACCTTCCGCCTGCTCGTGCGCCTCATGCAGGCCGCCAGCATGGAGGGCTCGTCCCTCGACTTCGAGCCCCTGGCCAAGCTGCTGGGCCGCTGGTACCAGATCCGCCACGAGTACCTGGGGCTGCTCGGCCGCGGCGAGGACCTGGACCACGGCAAGATCGTCTACCCGATCGTGCGCTGCTGCAACATGGACCCGGCCGCCAAGACGGTCATCCTGGGCATCTACCGCCAGAAGGCCGCCGAGGCCCCGCTGTCGCCCGAGAGCAAGACGCAGATCCTGGACCTGCTGCACCGCACCGGCGCCCTGCAGGCCACCTACGATCTGATCCGCCAGCTCAGCCGCGAGGTGAACAAGACCGTGACCGAGCTCGAAGCCGCCGCGGACGAGCTGAACCCCGCCCTCCGCGGCCTGGTCAAGTCGCTCAGCGAGCTGCCCATTCCGACTTCTTTGTGAGAATGGGACCGGAAAGAAAACTGGAACTGATACCCAATGATTTATGATGCCCTAATGACCCTTTGTTGCTGGCTTTTTATTGACAATTTCCTTTGTTCGTCGCGCTCATTACACAGACATGACCTATGACTTATGATGTTTGCTTGGTTGTATTATAGAATGCGATATGAGTGATGATTGTGAAAATGTATATACGTCAAAATTTGGTTTTCTGATATCGTCTGGTTTGAGGTTGAGTTCGTAGTGCTGTAGGTTATATGTTCGAGTGTGGTGTAGTTGCTGTGCTCTCGGTAGTGGAGGCTTGCGTTTACTTTCGTTTTGAGATATGGTGCGATCTATCATTCTGACACTTGGCCTTGGCGTCAGCACTCGGTGCCGCTATCATTCCTATGTTCCTTTTTCAAAAAGGTTCATTCCAAGTTGTCTGTCTGTCTGTCTGTTTTTTTTTCTTTTTTTTTCTTTTTTTTTTCTTTTCTCTACAGATGTTCTATACTTGATGTTTATTGTGTTAAACAGATAGATAACTGTAAGAGACTGACTTGACGAAGATATATCGGAATATGCAGCATTTCATACTTGGACAAACTTCTCAGAGGAACCAGGCAGCACTGCATGCGCAGTCAATCGACTTCTTCTCACGACGCGCCCATCCTCCCTACAACTCCATCTCCAGTCTACCCGGCCGCAACAATTGATCCCCCTTTCCAAAGATGGAAACATTCTGAACGATGGCCTCGAATCTGTCGAGATCGGCTTGCCTAGATCCAATTCGATGCTGAAAACACTCGAACAAGTGATGACGCGAGATCCCAGATTCTGGAATGGCATTATAAATCTCCAGGGGTGTAGGAAACTCTCGGGTGATGTCGGCAGCTTGCTCCTGAGAAGGGGCCATTCTTCGCCTCGGAGACGGAAACCCCGTCACCAGCGACAATTGGGACCGCGCAGGACCAAGACCATGTGGGGGCTCCTCCTCCAGACGTAGCTGGCGTATCTCCCTTTCTTTGAGAACGGCGTAAGTCCTTGAATCCATGGCCCCGCCTGGTTCAAGATCTGTGAGTCGCCGCGACCGATCATCTGGCCTGTTAGGCCCCCAGGCGATGTAGCTGGGCAGGTCAAACACGCACGCTCGATCCAAGTCTTCGGGATTTATCGCCTGACTATATGGCCAGTAACGCTCCCAGCTCCTGTCTTTCCAACGAAGTCGGGGACTGTGCTGATAGAGCAATGATTGCAGGGACCGATCCGGGCGGATGCCTGCGCCTCGACGGATGAGGCGCAGCACCGTACATGACTCCAGGTGTGAGAGATGCGCCCAGCCTCCGAGATCGCGATTGTCCAGAATCCCCATGGACCACTGCGCCATAATATCCCACAGCCCCACGAAGGTCACGTAGTGACCCTCACGCTTTAGCAGCTCGAAGATACTATGCAAATCGCGCCACTGGCCGGGATCATCCATGTCATGGAAAAATGCTCGTAGGCGGACGAGAATCTCCAGACGGTGGTTGCTCTGGCCATTCGTCTCGAACAGAAGATCGCCCAGTACATCCAGCGAGGCGGGCCCTAATCTAGAGTCGCCACCGTTGAGATTGTCGTGCGCTAGGTCGAAGTCAAAAGTCACTAGTTTCAGGTCTGGCGGCCAGGTTGTAATCTCACTCCGGGCCTTGACGCAGGCAAAAATCCTCTGCGCCACAGTCAGACAACCCCTGCCCTTGTGGTAAAGACCCAGGGCCACGCTTTGCTGGTTCATGGCGGTTCTGTGTAGGACAGCACAGTCTAGGTTGCAACGAGCCCACTGTAACTGGATCATCCCTTCAGCCCAAAGATGAGGAGTGGGCGAGTCCATTGGGAGAACCTCATCGATTAATGCATCATAGAGGCGGACCGGCCCACTGGACAGAAGTGGGCTGATGGCCTTGAGGGATCGATAGGCTTCCCAGAAGAGGCCACTGTTGCGAAGTACTGTGTACCATCGCATTAATACCTCGATGGACGTGACATTTCTAGGCAGAAAGGGACAGTCTACATTGTCCACGCCAACCCATAGGGTGCGACTGTAAAGGAAGGTGATGATGTGGAGATATGTCTCGTACAAGTGGACCTTGGATTTGTCAGCCTGACAAGACGGAGATATATTTTCTTCGCGGATTGCAAACCTGGATATCACTTGGGCTGTCTTGGGTCTGCAACCGCCTCAGGTAGCCCAACGTCTCCCACGCCGCGCGCAGGGCTGGACGCAAGGATCCTAGAACATATATGCGCGCCAGGTCCTTCAGAAGCCGCAGCAGCCGTTCTTCCTCGTTGTCAAGTCTCTCGCCTAAAGTCTCCAACCGGCCGTCGACAAACTGGTACAGTGCCTTGAAAGCCCCCTGCTGAACCAGCATGTCTGCATATTCGGCAATGACCGGAAAGAAGTCCACGTGCTGCCTCAAAGTACAATCGAAGTAGGACTGCGCTTCACCATATTCTCCCAAGCGGCTCAGCCTGACAAAGTACTCGATTTCTTTCCCCAGATTCTCTTCCAGAGGCAGCTCCAGATGGATCCTCGTTGCTTCACTACTGCCCAGAGATAGATACTGCTGTGGCATTGCGGTGCTCGTCTTGTTGATCAGGAAAAGGGGCGGCAAGTTCAACATAGTCGGGAGATGTGTGCGCCAGGACAGTCTTCATAGACTGAGCTCAGCCACATAACCCCGCTCATTGATGCTCGTGGCGGTGCGCATGCGCTGCAACCTACGATGGAGAGCCCTATCAGGCTCTTGCAACTGATAGCCACGCAAGGCAAGGCAAGGCTGAGGCGGCCGGGATCGCCCGATGGAGTTAGCCCTATCCGCTGATTCTGGCGGCGCTTAAAGATGCCTCCCCTCCCCTGCGCATCCCTGAACCTCATATGATTGCGAGATATCGGGGCTAGAAGAGGATATACTCGTAAGTACTCGATTAGGTTCGATCAAGGGAAATCAATCACGAGCAAAAGACTGAGATCGAACGTCGAACGGCCCCAGGAATAGGAACTCAATGTGGAGCCGCTACTCACGATCCATGCCACAGCGGGTGGCCGAGTACCGCGAGCAAGCCCGAGATCTGATCCAGAGCCACCCGCAGAGCCTGGGATTCCAATCGGTGGACAAAGTCCGGATTGATTGCTCGTTCATGCCCAGCTCACAATGGGGCACGCTGCGGACCCTGCCCGCCTGGTTACTCCACCTGCGCCTGCAATTCAGCCAGCCGACTGGCTATAAACTGGCGAATGCGAAGATCGAGCTGGTCTTCACCAAAGCCGACAAGCCGCCACCCGGTGATCCCAGCCGGATGAAGTTGGGTCCGATCGTGACGAGTTATTTCGGACCCAAAACGGTGCACGGGGAAGTGGCGGACCCGAAGCGGGGCGCGGCGGCATTCCGGCCCCCTGCTGCGGAGGGAGGAGACGAGCTGGAGCAGTGGGCGCTGCGCGCATACACCTGGCCGATTGAGGGGGACAGCACGGGCCTGCATCGCCGCGTGGAGTGGATCGTCCGGGAGGCTCGATCCCCGTATCAGACCCTTCTCCATCGGGACCAGGTCTCGGTGGGTCTCGTCCTGGAGCACGACCTGGAGCCCTTTTTCGTCGCCGTGCGCATCGAAGGCGAGTTGCAACAATCGCGACGATGGTTCCGTTTCCCACGCATCGCAGACGCAGAGCAGCCAAGCATCTCGGTCAGAGTGGTCCCGTGTGCGAATCCGGCTCACACCCTGGACGACCTCGCCCAGCATTTGAACCAGACTCTCACGGCGCAGCTCGTGGCCCCGCAGAGTCGTCCAGCAAACAGCGCCAAACGGGCACAACGTGCGGAGTCCGAGGAGTCCGAGGACCATGCACAAGATGAACGGGCCAAGCGGTCGCGCGCAGAACCAGTAGAGCTACCCTCTCCGGCCACGCCGGGCTCACGGAGAAGTGAAGACTATGCAATCGGGTGGATCTGTCCCTTGCCAGTGGAGCTGGCTGCCGCGCAAGCAATGCTCGAGGAGACGCATCGCCCTTTACCGGCAGAGCGGAACGATCCGAACAACTACATCTTCGGGAGCATCGGCATGCATAATGTGATCATCACCAGCCTGCCGGCTGGGGTCTACGGCACGACGTCAGCCGCCACCGTTGCAGCTCATATGCAAGCCAGTTTCCCTGATCTCAAGTTCTTCCTCATGGTGGGAATCGGCGGTGGGGTCCCCAGCGAAGAGGTGAACCTGCGACTGGGGGATATCGTCGTGAGCAAGCCGAAATTGGGGTACGGGGGAGTGGTCCAATACGACTACGGCAAGGCGATGGCCGATGGGAACTTTCAGGTGACGGGCGCCCTGAACAAGCCGCCCCAAGCCCTATTGGCGACCCTCGCAAGACTAGAAGCAGAGGACATGGTCAACGGCAGCCGGTTCGGGCGCCACCTAGAGGATATGATCACTCGCCATCCGCATATGTCTCTGTTCACGCGCCCAGAGGAAGACGATGTCCTGTTCGAAGCAGAGTACGTACACCCGATGACGGCGGCGGATTGCTCGGAGTGTGACCACGCCCGTGCTCTGAAACGTATCTCTAGGTCTTCTGATGCCCCCAAGGTTCATTGCGGGCTCATCGCGTCGGGGAATAGTGTTATGAAAGACGCCATGGCTCGGGACAAGCTCGCGCGCTCTCTGGGGATCATCTGCTTCGAGATGGAAGCTGCAGGCTTGATGGATAGCTTTCCCTGCCTCACAATCCGAGGGATCTGTGACTACGCTGATTCGCATAAGAACAAGAAGTGGCAAAGCTACGCCGCGGCGACGGCAGCCGCTTATGCCAAGGAACTTCTTTGCATGCTACCTGTCCGTCAGGTAGAGCTACTTCCCACGAGAATCGAGAATATGCCGGTTAGGCCATGATAGGTAGCTCAATCAAGTCACTTTAATTATGACGAACATGCGCAGACGGGCCACCGGGGCGGGGCGGAAGGGTATAGTCGATCAACGAGACATGATATATAGTTGTAGTGTAGAAACGTACGAATTAAAAGACTGCGTAAGCGCCTGTCTATTACCAGAGATCTTGAAGTTCTGTCATGGCCTCAGCTTCAGCTCCAGGCCTTAAGTCTTTTCCATTGACCAAAAAAAAAAAAAAAAAAAAAAAAAATCTCATATCGTAAAGCGCACTACTCTGGCAGTGGAATTGACTTAGAGTTAACACGGCCCGGGAAGAATTCTGGTCGACGCCGCTATGGAGCGGGACAGATCTCTTCCCACGGGCAACATGCACACTTACCACGGCGAGGCAAAGCAGGCTGAAATACACGAATGGCTCTTTTCTTTTTCCTTCGACATAATTCGACAGTCTAGAGATGCGCTGTCAAGGGAAATAAAAAAAGCATAGCGTCTCATTATCGCTTGTTGGGCTATAATACGACAAAGTTACGACGGACAAAAAGACAAAAAGAAATCTCCCCGACTGGGAGTCGAACCCAGGTCTCCCGCGCTTGTTCCTTTTCAGGATTGACAAGCGGAAATCATGACCGTTAGACCATCGAGGAAGAGATATTAGTATCAGATATTTCTAGTCATATGACGCAAGGGTAGGCTTACACACATGAAGAAAGTGCATCGCTGACACAGCAAGCGCGGAATTGGGCCGCGTGCAAACCGTGCAAATTGCACCATTCCAATTGACGCAGATTGTGGAATCATGATTGGCTCTTGTGTGACAGATGCAAACTGTGTAAACAGTATAAACTCACATCCTGGCTTCTGATTGGGCCAATGTGTGGACTGTATTTTGGGTTGGATGGAGGCATTGAAGAGGATGGGGATTTATATATTCGATAGTCTCTCTTGCTTGCCTTTCACATTTTGTGATGTATTCGAGTTTTGCCTGTGTTCGATAGTAATAAGGATGATGACCGCCGACTTCCTCCCCCGAGTGCTGCGCGCCCTTGTCCGCGAGTCGCGGTATTTCCAGTCTCCTTCGCATGCATGTGCCCACCATGGCCACAACCATAGCCATGTTGCAATGAATGACCATATTCATACCATGGAGACATGGGCGCAGATACGGTTGATGAAACAGCTACTCTGTGTGCGACATCCGCGGCAGCGGCTTGACCCTCAGCTCCTGCGGGAGATCGAGGGGGTCCTGCTGTGGGAAAGGGAGCATAGGGCTCTTGTTGATGCTTACACTCTACCCCAAGTGACTGTGTCTACACCTCCAGTCACAACTACACGACCAGAGATAGACACAGACGGAAACTCTCCTTTACCAGCGACAAAACTCTACCTCTGGCAAGGCGACATCACCACCCTGACCAATCTCACCGCTATCACCAACGCCGCCAACACCGCTCTGCTGGGCTGCTTCCAGCCCGCGCACCGCTGCATCGACAACGTGATCCATGCGCGGGCCGGCCCAGGCCTTCGAGAGGAGTGCTTCCGCCTGATGGACGACGGTCACCGCACGCTCCCCGTCGGGGACGCAATCGTCACAGCTGGCTACTGTCTGCCCGCGCCGTGGATCATCCACACTGTTGGGCCGCAGCTGGATCCCCAGCAGTCCTGCCCTACCGAAATTCAGCGGGCGCAGCTCAAGCAATGCTATCGTGCTGTGCTGGAGCAAGCCGAGTCCTTGCCTTCATCCGAACACGGAAAGGCCATCGCCCTCTGCGGGATCTCGACGGGCTTGTTCGGGTACCCTGTTGCCGAGGCGGCGTCGTTGGCCGTGGAGACTGTGGTTACTTGGCTGCGGGATCACCCTGAGACGAGCATCACAGGGGTGATTTTCAACACCTTCACGGAGAAGGAGACGGTCGCTTACGAGCGGGTTCTCGCTCTTTCGCCCAGTGGTGCTCTACGAAGCCCTCCAAAGCTGATAGGCTCTTCAATGCGGCAAGCTCACGTCTGGCTCCAGGAAGCAGACACAATCCTCCTCAGCTGTGGCGCCGGACTGTCGGCCGCCACGGGGCTGGATTATACCTCCACCACCCTTTTCGACAAGCATTTCCCAGCCTTCCGGGCGTTGGGGTTGGCCAAGTTGTACGATACCTTCGGGATGAAGATAGAGGATTGGGGGTCTGAGGAGGTGCGGTGGGGGTTCTATTTCACGCATCTGCAGATGGTGCGTACGTGGCCGCAGTCGGCGATGTATTCTGCTTTGTTGGAGTGGATAGGGCGGAGGTTCGGGATGGATGCCCAGAGGGTGCATGTTCGCACGTCGAATGCAGATGGCTTGTTCCTGGCGCATGGGCTGGATGAGAATGTCTTATCGACGCCGCAAGGCGCCTATCGCTACCTGCAGTGCTTGGGCAATTGTCGGGAGGACGCGGTGGTCGAATCAGCGCCGTTGGTGGAGAAGGTGGTTGCAAGCGGAGGGCTGGATGCGGTAACGCAGAGGGTGACAGACGAGAGGCTCATCCCGGTGTGTCGGTTCTGCGGGGGGAAGATGGGGATTTGTGTAAGGGCCGGAAACTGGTTCAATGAGTCGCCCTTCGAGGAAGGGGAGAAGCAATGGCAGGATTTCAAGGAGGATTTCATGCGGGACTCAGACAGGAAGGTGGTGATTCTGGAGTTAGGGGTCGGGATGTCGACCCCCGGCGTGCTGCGGTGGGAGAACGAGGAGTTGGTGGAAAGCGGCGAAAGAAGGGCTCGGTTGGTTAGAGTAGGAATGGGCGATACAGCAGTCGTACCGGCGGAGCTGGAGGCGATGGGACTGGCGACTTGTGTGGATGGGAATTTGAACGACGTGTTGGGGGTGATTCTGGATCAGTAGTACGGTCGCATGTTGATCTCGGTAGCAATGCTAATGCCCCAGGACCTCCTGGCAGGCTCGTGTCATCTCTCTCACCACTAGGCTAATGGCCTTGAGCTCTGCGCGGTCCTTGGATGCGACTGCGACGTAATCGTCGAACCACGTTATCAAGGCCACATCTGCTGCAACGTCCTCGCGGTCGTAGCATCCGAGAATGTCGTAGCAAAGCACGTAGAGCGGGATGGACTGGTGGAGCAGGACGAGACTGTGATAGTGAGTGGTCCATCTTGACGGACGATCCAAACAATAGAAGCAACCTACCTGATTCCCCAGTACGGGCGCGGCGTCGTTTCCATGAGCGACCGCGACATCAGTAAACTCTTGCGGGCGATGTCCACCGTGTGATATGGCAGTCGATGACTATCGCGATGAGACGGCTTCGATTGGTAAAACACGATAAGCATCTTGTAGCTGCTGAAGAGAATATCCACGCAGAACCACGTGTCAATGCGGTTGGTAGTCGAGCTCAGGAGCTCCTCCTGCTGGGGTTAGATATGTGTAACCATTCTCGCCCACAGTACTTACCGGGTTCCAATCTGACATGATCTTCTGCACTTCGGCGACCAGCCCATCCATGGTGTCGTTGTAGTCGGCCGTGTGGGGATCGGGGTTGGTGGCCATGATATCCAAGTATCGCATGGTGACGATGGTCAGCCGCATGGATGCTAGGAAGTGAATCTGGATGAATCGAGTGGATTCATGATCCACGCCGGTGATGGTGGGATCGGGGAAGTTGACGGCCCAGGACCCCCCGGCGATAATGGGGGGCTTGCCAAACGAGAGTCGGAAGTGGCTTTCGGTCCGGAGAATGTGCCAGAACTCGAATCGCATGCGATTGCGCTCGATCTCCTCATGCTGCGAGTCTCCTGCCAATGGAGGTTTTCGGTGGGGATAATGGCGATCCTCGTCCACGGAAAAGTAGCCGAGGGCGCGCGCAACCGGACAGGCCGCCTTGAAGATCTTCCAGGAGAGATCGCTGTCGCAGCTTTCCAGCGTCACAGACATCTGCTCTGTCAGTGGCGTGTAGTCGAAGCGGAGGGAAGAATGCACACCATCATGAATGCCGCGAATAGATCGGCGGTAGTGTTCTGCATGTGGCCGAGCCACTCCTCCGACAGCATCAGACATTTGCCACACAGTGCCTGAACCGTCCGACCCCTCCCTTCCACTTCTTCGCTATCCAGCATGAATGACTGGAAGAGCACATTGTAGTAGATGATTTGCGAGGTTGCATCGAGCTGGACGTGGGGACTGTCGATCAGATCGGGCATGGCCAGCACGAAATCTTTCTCAAGGGGGATGCGAAAGCCCTCGAATTGGTAGTTGTTAAAATATTCTACCCAGCGTCAGCTAGCGTCTTCACCAACTCAATTCTCGTGGATGAGGAGGCCTACTCACGATTGATCCATTTCTTCGCGGTCTCCTTGGGAATACAAAGTGGACTGGGATCGGGCGGCGTAGTCTCGAGCTGCTCAATCCCGGCGATGGCAGCATCCATCGCCCTCATACAGCGGGGATTCTCGAAGAAGTGCGACCCGACCTTATCGATGGCGCAGAAGACGTGGGACTGAAGACGGGACCGAATGCGATCGTCTTTGACGCGCGCCAGCAGGCCCTGCACGATTGCCTGGCCCGTGGGCGACTGAGCACTTTGAGGAGAGTCGGTCGCGGAGGACTCGGAGGATGAAATGGTCTCCGAGTCCACGGAGATCGAGCGGTGGCTCTCGACCTCCTCGGTGACATTCTGGCTCAGTCGACAGTGGTCTTCGAGGCGTTCTAATCTTCGGAGGATTTCCTGCAGGATATCTCTGTCGTGGAGTGCTCTGGAAATTTGCGGTCGCATTAGCTTATTTTTCTTTCCTCGATATTTCAGTAAGGATAGGCCACCTTCGCCTGATGGTGCGTTGTTTTCTAGGCAGATAGGCGCATTGAGCGCCTGCAGCGGCGCATTTGTCACATCGCGGGTCGGCGCGGTTGCAGCGAATCTACCGAGTGAGCATCGCTGCATGTCGTCATGTGGGAGAGGGGCAGACAGCAAACCTTTTTGGCCTGGCAACGAGTACACTACACCATGGTTTAGCCGATCGCATTTCACATTCTTTCGGAAGGATAGATCCGCAGGATGTCTGAACTTACCGATAGGGGTTGTGTCATGATGTGGTGGAGTGTTTAACTAGTGGGGAGGAGTAGGAGGAGGAACGGAAGGCAGCAAGCAAGCAAGCAAGCAATAATCCGGGAAGTTGCAAGAGTCCGAAATCCCGAAGGAAGAAAGAAGGAATAGAAGGAACCAAACCGGATCTGACCGCCTTCCGGACACTGCAAAAGCCCGAATGTCCGTACCGTAAATACGAGCATACGACCCATACCACCAATGAAGATTGTACGAGTATGAACTGGATGCAATGGATCAGTCCAGGATCGACAGGATTGTCCCCCCATTCCATCCCTGCCCTACCAGGTGCTGGACTTCACATCCATGGTTTTATTGATTTTGCCCTGCACACATCATGACTCAACCCCCTTGGCTGCGAACTCTGATTAGTCTAGTTTGCCTGGGCCTCTCCTCCTGGCCAGAACATAAACACATGGAGTCCCCATGCGTACGTACTGTACCTACGGAGTATTTCTGGCCATATAAGTGCCTGTTCCCGCCGGCAGCCTTGCATCTGTGTATCCCCCTCCGTCTCTCTTACTCACTCAGTCACTCCCCCTTCATGATTTCCTGCGAGGTCAACTGCCATGGGTTCAGCGACTGAGAGCCCTCCACACCAGGGCGAGCACAACAATACCCTTCGTGCGGAAAAGATCGTCTCTGTGACCGATACGACGACTGCATCCTCCACCACCAGCAAGAAGTCCAAATCCGACGCCAAGGATGCCACACCAGAGCAGACGGCCTCGTTAGGCAGTTATTTTGTACGGAGCGTATCCTGCAGAATGCGATGCACAGCTAGCTAATATCCTGCAGAGATTACTGTCGCAGGCAAGCGCGTCGGATCGGGCCATCCTCGCCGTCGCCCTCCTCTCCTCCATCGGGTCGGGTGTGGTATGTGACCGCATCCACCACAATCCGCAGTACGCAGTCCACGGCTAATCTCTCCTCGTGCCCAGCCCCTACCGCTCATGAACATCGTCTTCGGAAATATGGTCGGCGAATTCAACGGATACTTCACCGATGACTCCTCTACCACCGAATCCGAGTTCAAGTCCGCCATCAGCAAACTGAGGTGAGTGCGATGCGACTCCGCCCCCGCAGACAACCCGACCGAGCCGAACCCTAACTCGCGAACCAGCTTGTACATCGTCTACCTCTTCATCGCCAAGTTCGCCCTTACATACTTCTCAATGGTGCGTTCACCGTGCCCAACCCATCCCAAGAATCCACAGCATATGAATAACCTCCCCTAGTACTGCTTCCGCGTGATCGGCCTCCGCGTCTCCGGCACCCTCCGCCTGCGGTACATGCACGCGCTCTTCGCGCAGCCCATCAGCAAGCTGGACCTCGTCTCCGTCGGCACCGTCACCAACACCATCACCACGCTCTCCAACTCCATCCAGCAGAGCATCTCCGACAAGCTGGCCATCCTGTTCCAGTCGCTCGCCCTGCTCGTCGCCGCCTACGCCATCGCCTTCCGGTACTCGTGGGCCCTGACCCTCGTCACCAGCGCCGCCCTGGTCTTCATCTTCGCCGTCTGCTTCATCGCCGTGCCGATGATGACCAAGATCCAGCGCCAGGTCGACAAGGCCGACGAGAAGCACTCCTCCATCGCCGCGGAGGTCATCGGCTCCATCCGGACGGTTGTCTCCCTGGGTGCGGAGGGGACGTTGGCGCAGCGGTACGCGGACTGGATTGAGATCGCCCGGCTGCGCGGCCGCAAGCTGTCGGTGGTGATGGCGGTGCAGCTGGGGCTTGTCTTCTTCGCCATGTACGCGAGCTACTCGTTGGCGTTCTGGTTCGGGCTCAAACTGTACCGGGAGGGGCATATCGCGAACATCAACACGGTTATCACGTGAGGCTCACATCTTTTCGGGGGTTGGGTGTAGGAGCTAAGCTAATGATCGATAGGGTGTTCTTCTCGGTAATGGTGGCAGTCAGCGTGCTCGGTCGCATCGCCTCCCCGCTCGTCACCATCGCCAAGGCCGCCAGCGCTGCGGACGCCTTCTTCGAGATGATCGACAGTGACAGGCCGAATGCGGGCGGACTCCGTGGCCCGGAGGTCTCTGCCGAGGCCGACCTTGTGTTCCAGGATGTGCATTTTACCTACCCATCGCGACCCGACTCAAAGGTGCTGAAAGGTTTGAACGCCCGGTTCCAGAAACACAAGACGACGGCTTTGGTTGGTCCCTCGGGTTCCGGTAAGAGTACGATCGTGGGTCTGCTGGAGCGGTGGTATGAGTTGAATGCCAATGCGGCGCATCCCGACCAAGGGGCGATCCTGGTCGGGGAGCACAACGTCCAGGATCTGGATCTGAAGTGGTGGCGCACGCAGATCGGGCTGGTGCAGCAGGAGCCGATCTTATTTAATGATACCATCTTCAACAACATCGCGTACGGACTGATCGGCACACAGTGGGAGCATGAATCGGAGGACGTCAAGAAGGGCCTAGTGCAACAGGCTTGCAGGGAGGCCTTTGCGGATGAATTTATCGACCGGTTGCCGGAGGTATGTGTTTTTAATACCCGAGTAGAAAGTTGTCTAACTGGGATAGGGCTTCGCGACTATGGTCGGCGAGAACGGGACGAAACTGAGCGGCGGGCAGCGGCAACGGCTGGCCATCGCGCGGAGTATCGTCAAGCAACCAACCATTCTCATCCTCGACGAAGCGACCAGTGCCATCGATGTGCGGGGCGAGAAGATCGTTCAAGCTGCGCTGGATCGTCTCGCGGAAAACCGCACGACCATCGTGATTGCCCATCGGTTGACCACGATCCGCAAAGCGGACCATATCATCGTGATGAAGGGTGGGGTGGATGTCGAGCAGGGCACGCACGAGGAGCTTCTGGCAATCGAGGATGGAGTGTACAGTGGGCTGGTGAATGCCCAGACTCTCGAGATGTTAGACGCAGAAGGGAGTGACATTCAGGATGAGATGGAGGATACCGACGACGACGCCAAGTCAGCCAAGATGAGCTTGAAAGGGGCCGGGAAAGAAGACGAGCTGGAGAAATCGAAGACCCGGGGCTTCTTTGGCAGTATTGGGGTGTTTCTGTACGAGAACAGAGGGCAATGGCGCTTCTATATTCCCGCCTTGCTCGGGGCGGCCGGTGCTGGAGGTACGCATTGTCAGGAGTATGATTATATGGCAGCTACTGACCTGATCTAGCTGCCTTCCCCATTCAGAGTTGGCTGTTTGCGAGAATCATCCAGGTCTTCCAGTACTCAGGGGACAAGCTGGTGCATGCTGCCAATTTCTGGGCTCTGATGTTCTTGGTTCTGGCTATCGGGAATGGGGTCTGTTATGCTCTGATAGGATATTCCGCCAACCGGTTCTCAGTGGTGAGTGGCACTTCACTCTGAGTTGACAAACGAAGCTAACATTTCAAGGAAATCTCCTCGTATTGCCGAACGCGATACTTCCAGGACATCATCGAGAAGCCCATCCCCTTTCACGATCGCATCGACAATGCCTCCGGGTCGCTGGTCTCGCGTCTGGCCACCGACCCGAAACAGGTGCAGGAACTGCTCGGCATCAACGGAGCGCTTCCCTGCATGTCGATCTTCGGTATGATCGGATGTATCATTATCGCTTTCACTTTCGGCTGGAAACTCAGTTTGGTGGCGGTGCTAGCTGCGCTGCCTTGCACCTTCCTGGCGGCCTTTATGCGCATTCGCTACGAGGTGCAGTTCGACGCGATGAACGCAGCAGTGTATTCCGGCAGCTCGCAGTTCGCAGCCGAAGCCATCGACGCCTTCCGCACGGTCTCAGCATTGACGATGGAAGACGCCATCCTCAACCGCTACTCAACCATGCTACTCGCGCAGCAGAAGAAGGCCTTCCACAAGGCATGGTATGCAACCCTAGTTTTCGCCTTCTCCGATAGTGTCGAGCTGTGCGCTATGGCGCTCACCTTCTGGTACGGGGGGCAGCTCCTGGCCTCGCGCGAATACGAACCCACCTCCTTCTTTGTGATCTACATGGCTATCATTCAGGGCGGGCAGCAGGCCGGCCAGTTCTTTAGTTTTGGGTCGAACATCGCCCAGGCCATTGCCTCCGCGAACCGCATGCTGGACTTCCGGCCGACCCGCAACGAGGCCCAACAGCAGATGGCCACCACCGATAATGCAAGCCAGTGTGCAACAGCAGCAAGCATCAGCTTCCGCGACGTCACTTTTCGCTACGCATCGCACGACCGCCCCCTCTTCACGGGCCTGAATCTGGATATCAGCCCCGGCCAATTCGTCGCCTTCGTCGGCCCCTCCGGCTGCGGCAAAACGACCGTCATCTCCTTGCTCGAACGATTCTACAGCCCCGCAAAAGGCACCGTCCTCCTTAACGACCAAGATATCACCACCATCGAACCGGCCACCTACCGCAAGACCATCTCGCTGGTGGCCCAGGAACCCCGATTATTCGAAGGCACCATCCGCGAGAACATCACCCTCGGCCTGCCCAATCCGACTGAAGTGTCTGATGCAGAAATCGAGCAAGCTTGCCGCGATGCCGAAATCCACGATTTCATCACCTCTCTCCCGCAGGGGTATGCCACCGAGCTGGGTATCAAGGCCCAGGCCGCACTGAGCGGTGGCCAACGGCAGAGGCTGTGTATTGCAAGGGCGTTGCTGCGCAAACCGAAGCTGCTCCTCCTCGACGAGGCGACGTCGAGTCTGGACTCGCAGTCTGAGAAGGTGGTGCAGGCTGCGCTGGAACGGTTGGCGGCGAAGAGGTGTATGACTATCGTTGCGGTGGCGCATCGATTGGCGACGATTCAGAAGGCAGATGCGATTTTCGTGTTCGGAGAGGGTGGACTGGGTGGGTCGAGGGTCGTCGAGCAGGGGACGCATGCCGAGTTGGTGGGGAGGCGGGGGGTTTATTTCCAGATGGTATGCTTCCTCTTCGGTGGATTCGTTCGGTGCGAAATGCTAACTATATGATAGTGTCAGGAAAACGCCTTGGACCGTTGATAGCTTGGTGATTTCAGGCTGCGGGAAGTGACTCCCTGGGATGACAATTCCAGTTCTGGATGATGTTGATGAGGAAGAAAATTACACTGAATGCAAGGGGGAAGGGATGGCTGTGTCATGTGATCGGATCATCACCGACATCATGAAGGAAAGAGACCGCCTTTGCCCACTAGATATACAACAAACACAGATACCCTGTATAATAGATAATCCATTATACCCACATAAGAATGTTATGCTGATTACTATGCACGAACCATGATGTACTGTATCTGATAGACACACTCTTTACAGTCTTCAAGTTATTCACAGATCTAACTTCCTGATATGGTGAATGCAAGCCAGAGAAAAATGGGAGGTATGCTCTCTGTATTGTTTATTCACCAAAGCATTGGAATAAGCTACTGTACATATACCAATTTGGGTGCCTTCTGGTTAATGTGGCAGCTGTCAAGAATCATCTATACAAATTGGGATTCAGTGTTCTCCCCATCTGAACATCGTGGTTGCTGTTCTTCTCCCTTCTGAAGTTCAGCGCCTCGATTTTAATCTCTCCATCTCCTTTCTCATTACATCAACTCGAATCTGTCTATTTTTCCTTCTGCTTGGATCTAGTCAAGAAGCTATATCATTTGATATACCTGGTAGCAGGCTTTGTTGATTACCTATCTGAACTAGATAGGTCAACAGTTCAGAAGCCGAGAAAAGATTTCGGAAGGTGCTGTTCCATGAGAACATCTTTGCTTGAACTCATCAAAGCATAGACAGGACTGCGCCTGCCCTCTTCTTTTTGCATATTCTTTCCTCAATGGATTCGGCAGGGTCTGATTCTATGCTACATCTTTGCTTTGGCCTTCTCCGTACTCTGTTTTGTTGTCATCCACTTACGAAGCATTTCCCATTCCCTCGAGGTTTGCAAAGGCGAACAAGTTAGCTCTTCCTCCGTCTCAAAAACATCGATTTCTTTTACGGTTTTGAGAAACCATCGTTATGTCGGTGGGCGACTTTGCCTTCGTTATCACACTCTGCATCGCGGACCTGTTTCACTGTGTCCGAAAAACGGACTTCAAGTACGAGCCCGCCTCCATGGACGGCTGAAGGAGACTGATTTAGACGTTTGTGTATGTAGATATCGATTTTTCCACCAGGGCTACAAGCCCAAGACCTTCGCAGAGGCCTTAACGGCCTACCTCACCGTTCTTCGTCGTGGTGAGACTCCCTGTCAATGGTGCACGTCAAATGATGAGGGTGACTAATATAATGGGTGCTATAGGGGGAGGGGGGCACACCGACTCGCCCAGCGAGGGCAGCTCTGCTGCCAGGACCTTTTTTCCGCGGTTAGCAACGTGGGCGCTGTGGTGGCGAGTGGCTGACCGGCGCAAACCATACGGGGATTTCGCCCCATTCTTCGTGGCGGAGGTTTGCGGATGTGGGCGAGTCGGGCTTGAATGGCAGCAAAGGCCAAAGGAGGGCAAGCTTGTGGCAACCTGGGGCGCTGCTTCATGGATATCGGCAGCGAATTCTGGGCCGGTATAAGCCGGCGTCTCTGCCGGAGTCCTTGGAACTTCAGATTCTACGCCGCTAATGCGGCAGTGTGGTGTCTTGGGTGTCATGTGTGTCCTCCTGCTTCGATTCTTTTCTGTGGATCGGGTTAGCTATCTTGTACTGTAAATACATGGCTCGGCACTGCAAATCCTATTGGACCTGTATGATAGTGATGGCGAAGTAAATCGGAGTAAGGATTGACCAGCGGGAATGGTTTCTACTACATGGTGCTGGCACGAATAGATGAAATGATTTAATTAATTGATGCTATGCTAATCTATACTACTGTCTCTCGGACAGGACGGTACGTCGTCGTGGTCGTGGTCGTCATCGTCATCGTCATCATCGTCGTCGTTGTTGGTGTTGCTACTGCTGTTGCTGCTCCTGCTGCTCCTGCTGTTGTGGTGGTGGGAGTAGTGCGAGTGGGAGGGGCGGCGGCGGCAAGTCTATAGTAGGAATAATGTCAGTCATCCTATCCCTCATAGTAAAGAACGGGGCACCTCACTGTCCAGGGCAGCATGGCGCAAGGCCCAGGCCTCTGCGAGGTTCTTGGGCCTATAAGACCGGAAAAAACAGAAGCTATGTTGATCCAAGTTAATCTTACCTGGCCCTCACATTAGTCGAATATGGAGCTGGGTCGTACCGCCATTTTGCCCACAAAGAGGCGATGATCAAAAGTGCCACGCAAAGCGAGGCGCCCACCATTATCTCCAGAATGAGGCCGATATTCTCCTTGGTGAGCTCGCGGGGGCCGAGGGGCATCTTGCGAAGCTTTTTTTATTTTTTTTTTGGGAAAAAAAAAAAAAAAAAGGAAACGAGAAAAAAGATCGATGACGTTTGAAAAGGTAACTGATTGGCACTCGCGGGTTTAGAGGGCTTTCGTTGGTTCAATTTAATCTAGCTACGAGGGCGCATTTGCTACTATTTGAAGTCGTTTGCGCTTTTCGATTATGCGGAAGGAGCAGACAGCATGATCTAAGTCTTGCAGAAGAAGCTACGTCAAGGAAGCGTGAGGCCAAATGGAAGGCGTTTTAAAGTTCAACTGAGGTAGGGCTGACGCGTTTGGAGATAATCTCGCGGACCTGCACACGGCTTTCCAATTTCTATGGCGCCGGGCTGTGAGTGATGCTGCCGGATGGTACGGACACGGACATCCAAAGGGAAGGGGAATATGGGAGTCCTATGAGGTGATTTTCGGACAAAGAAAATGCATTCAGAAAAAGAAATCAGAAGGGTGGGTTAAGCGATTAATTGGGCCAGGCCGTGGAGGGCGCAAAGGACCTGTGGCATTCGAGTCATGCTACAGAAGACCCCAGACGTAAGATTCTAGTAGTCGTAGTTCATAGTCAGTGAAATATTGCTCTCTGGACAAATCGAAGGGTATATGCATCGGATCGTCCTCCAGGCGCTTAGGCCGGATATCAAAGCCTCGCCCATCTGTGTAGCAGAGACAATACGAGAAGCAATGCCCATAATGCTGCCTGTTATTATCCGGGTTTCTCGGCTTCGAACAGCAGCCACAGCTTCGGCCGCAGCATCCGCCCATGGCCGCACATTGGGCGCGCTGCCAGCTGGATGAGAGGTGCCAGTCTTGTTGACGCCGACAGACATACAGGGCTCGTCTCAACGGTCCATCAGGGATGGACGCTAAGACCTTCTGGTATCGTTGCTCTTCGTGCCAGAGTGTCTGGTGCACTTCAGACGACAGCCTCCGAGCCGTCTCAAGCTTTTCGGTTTAGGGTCTTGGTGTCCGGGTATGGGTCGCATTCCAGGTGCACTAGACACCTTCGCGCGCATTCCCGGAAGAACTCCTTCTGCGCCAGGAATACCAGTTGCTTCTCCGCTCGAATGAGCTGGCCCACTTGCTTCCAGTCGTATATCCAGTCGAAGGTTGCGATGTAGTATTGCCGACGGAGGGTCTGAGCCTGACGCCATTTGCCTTGACTTTCCAACTTGTTCTCGCGTCGGATCATGGCTGGCTCGATATTGAGGCGGAGAAAGGTCTCGAACAAGAAACACATGTTGCAAGAACGACCTCCCCGAATGGTCGCGGTGAAGCTCTGGATAAGATGAATGGAAGTCGAGTAGAACGAACGCCCGTTCTTTAGCGTGTGTGCTAGGTTTCTCGGTGGTGGTGGTGTAGGAGAATGGCTACCATCAGGGCCAGAGCGAGTAGGATTAGGATTTGATCGCTGGGCTAAGAGCCGAGGGGCTGACTTTTGACCGCGCCGCAGTAGGATATTATGCACCTCAATACACGCCAAGAAGGACGAACGTGATGGAAAATGTCATTAAGCTTGGGAATCAGATCTTCTTGGCAGGGGAGAGGAAGTCAAGGATGTGTTTTTGATGTTCTCTGCACGGTCTGACTCACTGGAATGACGACGACAATCCGTTGTAAGTATCGCGCGCTCATCATCATGAGAGCTTGACAGGCTGTCGTGCATTTCTTGAAATTCTCTTTACAATTGTCCATGTCCATGAAATCTTTTGCTGTTTAGGGAGTTGGAGCTGGGTGTCTACTACCCGATACTTTCCACATTTAACCATTGAGTCGAATAATTGCTCCGGCAAAGGCCTGCATTTGAACCGAGAAGATTCCCGCGCATAGTTAACACGATGAAGCCTTTCCTGCGAGTGCCTTACCTCCGGTGAACATGGTTCATGGACTGACCTAGGCTCCAGGAATTTCGTGAATTTCGTGAATAGCAGCCCTTCTTACATAGGTATTCTCAGTAGCAGTCCGCTTTAAATTCAAGACCCTGGACCATAAAACTATTCAATAAAGTGAAGACCTGGCCACCTACCGCTTCTTTTCCCTGTTGACCCTCGCTCCCAGACATGGGTCCCCCTTCTACCGTTTCCAACATTCTGTCCAACTTCTTCATCCCTCAGTGTGACCCGCACCATATTCTATTCAGCTGAATGAGGTGCTTAGGCAGGTTCTCAGGGCCAGCTACTAGCCCGGTAGCCCGCAACTGCCATGTTGGGTCTCCCACCTATGTTCTGCCTGCCTATCATCCTTGCGCGGTCGGAACTGCAAGACTGCCCTTCCCTCGCCCCAAAGCAGAGGCTTATAGCCTGTCCACTCACGGCGTATATGGAAGTCTATTGCTGACAGACCGTTGAATAAGCGAAGGAGCGATCACATTTATATCGATAAGGAAGATACCTAATATGCTATGTAAAGCCTGCAACACTTATCCACTCCGTAATAATTCGGCAATGACATGACACATTATGCTTGTCATCAACATCAATCACGATTGAACGGGTTCTCCCTGACGTCTTTGCGAATCTTCTTCCGATACCGCTCTGGATCCTTCTTCAACCGATGGTATGGGTTGCTTTGCGCCAGCGACTCGGGGTTCGGGTTATCCAGCAGCTCCTGCACCCCGAGCAGAATCTCTTTGACCGACAAGACCGAAAGGCAGACGGTCCCGCTTGGGAAGATGTTGGGATGGAATAGTGGAGGATTGAATTGGCCTGACCTGTTAGTAATAACATCTGCGGATGAAGCGAGCGGGGTGGATGTACACTTCGGGGGCTTGCTTGGGTACTCTGCGGCGATCCAATCGTTAATATGGCTGTGACGCACACCAAGGAAATGCAACAATGTTGACTGACCATCAGGAAATACCATCATCATCTTAAAAAGGCCTCCCTCCCACATGAGGCCCGCCTTGCCTGGAATTCCACACTCCCATTTCTTCATGTTTCGGACACCCTGACGGTTTCGACTGGGTCGTGCGTAGAATCCGAAGAGGGGTTTCTTGCGCCATTTGCGTCTGAAGTGGTGAAGAGTAGTGTTAGTGTTTGTCTGCACTTGTCATATAATGGTGAAGCGGGACAGGGATGCAATGACTTACAGCTCCTCCATGTTTCGGTCCTGGTTGAGCGACATGGTTGAGTTGACGAGGGATCCTGGTCGCTAGGCAGAGATAGTGGACAGGCTTGCTTGATTTGTTGAAAACGATGTTGAAGAGAGAGCGAGGTTTATGAGATAGAGCTGACAAGCGACTCTGGTGACCAGGAGTCGTGAGACCGGTGGATTCGTGCCCTGCGTGGCGATGTGAAAATGAAGAGGGGAGAGGTCGTGGAAGATCAGAAGATTGAAAGTGGTGTTAAGGTGAACCCGCGATTTGGAGTTGTGGCTCAGTGGGATGGCAAATGCCTTGATGAGGATTTTGATGAGCTAGCAATCCGCATTGAAGAATGAGTCACTTTCCCTTTCCCTATTTTGATAACACCAGCTATACCACCAGTGTTACAGGGCTCCTCCACGGGGAATGGAACAAACGTTTTGGGAAACTCACCGTGGACCGCAACCCAACATAACAACACCAGCAGCGGTGTACCCAAAGGCCATTACTAGCATCCTCGACGAGCTTCAGAATTTTCCTTTTTCTCTGCTCTATTGTGTCTTCGACCCTCCTGACGGATATGTCTGTGTTGGTGGATTAACAAGGACAAGTCCAACCTCAAATTCCAAGTTGAATTGCTATGCTGACCGAATCCCCATACACTGGACCAATCCGCTACGAAACAGATGTCTACACCCGATTCCCTGCCTCAGCCAGCGCCTCACGAACGATCTGCCTCTCCTCCTGCCCACCCACATCCCCAAACAACGAATCAATCTCCTCCAGTGTCTTGCCGCTTGTCTCCGGAACCAGGAAGAACGCCCACACCCCCGCCAGCGTACACATCACTGCGTAAAAAATGTATGTCCGGTACCCGATATCCGCGAGCATTGACGGGGTGACGATACCCACTACAAAGTCGGATAACCAGATGGTGCACGTCGCCAGCGCCACCCCTTTCGAGCGACACGCGTTGGGAAAGACTTCCGCGGGGAGCGCCCACCCAAGCGGGGAATATGAGACTCCATACACCAGGATGAAGACAAATGCCATAGCCACGCAGGCCCATCCCGCAGCCGGGTGACCGGGCCAGTCATTCGAGAAGAGTCCGCTCAACACCGCTATGATCACATACGATATCGCCATTCCGAAGGCACCATAGATGGCGAGCGGTCGACGTCCAACCGACTCGATGATAAAGGTGCAAATGATGGCCGCAACAACCTGCAACACATTGAAAACACCCGATAAAACCAGCGACTTTTCGTCAGATTGGCCCAGCGATTCGAACAGAGTTGGCGCGTAGTAGATAAAAGCGTTGATTCCCGAGAACTGCTGAAAAAATGCGATGCCACAGCCCACAGCGACGCGTTTCCAAATCCCGCTGCGAAAGAGGTCCATCCAGGAGACCAGCTCGAGCTTGAGGCCGGACGCTCCGGGGTGTCTACGCGCCTGAACGAGTCGCTGGTACTTGACCTCAGAGACAATGGCGGTGTACTCGGCTTGCACTCGGATGTCGGTGGTCGGAAGGCGTCGGAGTTTCGCAAGGCTAGCGAGACATTCGTCTTGTCGGTCGACGAGCGCGAGCCAGCGGGGCGAGTATGGGAATAAATGAATACCAGCGCCTAGAAGGGTGGCGGTGATCATCTGCAGCCCGAACGGGACGCGGAAGGAGGCTTCACCGTCGATGTGGCGAGTGGCATAGGTGATCCAGTAGGCGATCACGACACCAAGGGTGATGGAGACGGACTCGAGTACGAGAAGAATGCCTCGCAGTTCAGGAGGGGAGACCTCGGAGATGTACAGCGGTGCACCCTCGAGACGTCAGACCAGGTCAGCCACGTCGCATAGAACCAGAACCTCCTTCACAACCCCGTTAGGTATCCGTGAGACAGGCGCATACGTACCATGGCCAAAGTTCCCACGCCAATGCCACCGATGAACCGGCCCGCAACCAGCATGTCATAGTTGACAGCAGCTGTCTGTAGGATGGCTCCGATATCGAAGATGACGACTACCACGGTCAACGCCCACTTGCGGGAGATGCGATCGGCGAGATAGGACATGAAGAGGCAGCCGACAAAGGCCCCCAGCAGCAACATGCCCGTCATGAAACCTTTTCCAAACGACGTTTCGGCTCGCGGAAAGACCTGGTGGAACTGATCCATCACATTGATGATGGAGATGACCCCCATGTCGTAGCCCATGGAGAATCCCCCGAGGGAGGCGAGCAGAGCTGAGCCAAAGACATACCACGAACGGAAGAGACCCTTGATACCACCGGGGCCATAGGCGACCGATTCCGAGGCGCTGAACTCAACAGACTCGGCATGTTCAGCGGTGGCATCGTCCTTGCCCAAGTGGGACGATATATCGCCTTTAACGATGTCTGCCATGAGTGGCAATTCGGTTCGATGGAGATTTCAGCAGTGAGATGGCGTGTTTGCTCATGCAGGGTGGAGAAAAAGTGAGTCGACTCCAGCTTTCAATGCGCATACTTATAGCGTGTGGATCTCCCGTGAGTCGGCAATTCAATCTTGTCGGAATGTCAATCACTACCCCGGGCTGTACCCCAGATTCCTGCCGATTTCTCCCCACAATCGAGACTCTTTCCCCGCATTTGCGTCTGAGGAATGCGATCGAGGTTGGTGTGATTGGCGGGGCATGGTTATGCCTCTCGGGAAAAGATGCTGCTTTCCAGCTTGAGAACGGGCATCTTTGCCGCTTCCAGCTGTTGTACCACCGGCAGGGGGTCTCATCTCCGGTTCGGGCATTTTTCCCCGCCTGCAAGGGTGAATTGATATCCTACATGACGTCGATGGAGCTGGTTGAGGCTGCCAGATGAAACTTCACTGATAGCCGCTAATTCGAAGTTGATTCCCAATTTACTCACTAAGGTTAATGATGCTAAGGTTGTCTTCACGCACATGTGCAACCCTCAACACCGGATTTCACATTTGACCGGCTGACAAAGCCATGTGGAGGGAGATAAGCGTTGCAGGAAGGCGGCGAAGCAGCAAACGCATATTAATTACCCACTTTCCTCCTATATTTCTGTATTCAAGGCCGCCTTAATGCGCTTTCGACTCCGGGGAATTTGTTACAGCACAACTCGACAGTCATTCAGATATCTAGCACTCGTTCACCCAGAGGATGGACGGGGTCCACTGCTGTTGTAGCTGTTGTTGTCAAGCATACGTATTTCACAGGCTACTTTACACATCTGGCTGCATACGTGGTATATGTCTGAATAAACCATCTACAATACGTGGAAACACTCCGATGTGCTGATGATCAAAAGAAACGGAATCCAATAGAGCTATCACGCGAAACTAGACACCGCCGATGCAGTTTATCTCGCCAGCTCGTGCAATAAGCCGGTTAGATGACGCTAGAAAGAAAATCGAGATAAGGCGAGAGCTGGCTATGACAAGGTGAGGTTATATCAATCATGGGACTTGGAGATTGGAGAAACTTGGAGAGGAATTGGAGAGACTTGGGGTGGGTAGAATATCCGGGGGCTTACTCCTTATCATCTCCAATAAAGCCCCCGAGTGTCAATCTCACAAACCACTCTCAGTATCTCGTCTCTTTTTACGTGATATAATCCAATACTTTAATCTAAAGCTGTAAACCGATACCTGGTACCGTGATAATGTGCCGTTATCTTCAAATAACGGGATAGACTACCCACGGAGGAATAATCTTTCAACCGACCTAGCCAAGTGTTGATGATACGAAAGAGACCTGAGAACTTTAGCTTTGGTCTTATCAAACTGTACGCCGCTACTGGACCGACGGCTGTGTGGTTATAAAAGGCGTTCAAGGTGACCATCTTCATTAAGTTCCTAAGCCTGATTCTCGCACGCAACTAGTCTCTCAAATCTCTCAGAACTAAAAACAACATGTTGCTCGCGCCGCTTACATCGTTCCTGGCCACTGCCGTTACCGTGTATGCTGCTGCGACACCCGCTGCTGATAATGGCTTCGAGTGGGATCCGGAGGCATTCAAGATTGCTGCGGTGCGCCAGCCACCAGTGGGATTCGTCTACCACGATCTCTGGGAGACGACCACCTGGTATAACTACAACCTTAACGCCACAATTGCTCAGTCAGTCGAGATCATTAAACAGGCTGCGGCCGAGGGTGTCAAGTTTATTGCCTTTCCGGAAATCTATTTCCCTGGGTATGTCCCCCTTTCCTTTAGTATAACAAAGCTAATACGGCTCTGCTAGTTACCCTGCCTTCCGCACCGCCAACGGTCCAGAGGACTTCGCGCAATATGTATCGCAGACTATGGAGCCCGACGACGCTCAGTGGCAAACTCTGATGAAGGCTTTCGCCGAAGCAAAAATGTATGGTGTTGTCGGGTGGGCCCAGAGGGCTAACAACTCTCTTTTCATGACCCAGAGTCTTGTTGGCCCTATGGCTGATGGCTCAGCAGGAACCATCTGGAAACACGAAAAGTTCCGCCCCTCTGGCGAGGAGCATACCCTCTTTTCGGACGGCTTACTCAATACAATCCGCGCTCAAAAACTTCCCTTCGGTGTTGTCTCGATGCTCAATTGCTGGGAGGCATGTTTTCTTCTCCTATACAGTTCGCTTACGGGTAGTTCACGAACAACTAACAATTGCTTATAGCATGTTTATCCTGAGTCCCGGTTTATCTCCGGTGCCCAACTCGCCAACATTCACGTCGCGTCATTCCCGTACGTCCTGTCTCTCAGGCTTGAACTCCCCACCACCTATAGCGAAAAAAAAAAGCTGACCTCGACGCTTTTCTCCAAACAGAATCGGCAGCTCAGTCGCTAATGCGACTGGCACCAATGTTAACCCGTACACTGGTTGGCATGCCGATGCCAAAGCATACGCCGAGACAGCCGCTGGCTCCCCTATACTCATGCTGCCAACCTTTGGTGCCTCGGGCATTTTCGACGGATCGACTACACTGAACGAGTCGACAAACACCCTCACAACAGGTTCAGTGCCGTATGTCACTGCTGTTCTCAATACGACGACGTTCAGTGACACCTCGTACAGCGTGAACGCATACAACAGCTGGGGAGCCGTCGAGAACATCATCCAGAATCTGCCCTCTGATATGCCGCAGCGCAAAGGCCCCTTCCTACAGCGCGTCATCTTTACGATTGACCAGCTCACCAAAGCTTATATTTGGACCCCGGGTTTGACCTGCACGCCAACTTCCAAGTGGCCGTGCCTCAAGGTCTGGCCGCAGCACAGCGAGTCGGACTTCACGGCTTCGTCTGTTTGAGCTACATACGAGGAATATTGTATATTGCTGATGGCAACACACTTCTATTTGCATTTATCTCCAGGCCACTTGGTCAGTTGATTACTTAGCGAGGTTATTAGTAGGAATATATAGATGCCTCGTGGGCGATCCAGTGCCGTTCCTAGCTGCTATATCAGCACCAGACTGTACCTTGGCTCCGGTCTGGTTTACTAGCAGTTACCTCTCCGCCATCTATCCAGTCCGGAGTCAATTGATACTAGGCACCACGCACTGCATAAGTCGGCAATACTGAAGGAGCTTACAGTATTCAGTGCTCGAACTAGTAACGGCATTGCAACAACAAGAATGATGCACAGGAAAATCATGAGAAACAAAAGCAAGCCAAACAAGAGTTTAGTCCTGGTCGGGAAGGTTGGCACTCCCCGGTATCAAATAGCGACAAGATAAACTCATCCATTTCCATCCCTGCTACATGGGCACACCCTCGACAATCCAATTCAGGAGCTTGGATCCTCGAATCTCCTCGGCTCGTTGCATTAGCTCCTCCGCATCCCAGTTCGCCCACACAAACTTCCCCTTGAGAAACTCGGCCTCTGCAGAAGCCAGCCAGACATAAAACTGACCCGGCAACTCAGCTATTGAGACCACCGTCAGCATCCGCCGAACCAAAGAGAAGAGACAACGTCCGAACATACCTTGATCCGGCGCCTCGGCCTGATAGCCATTGACCTCCGTCGCCACCCAGCCAGGCTGCGCACTCACCACGCGCACATGAGGGTTCTCTGCGGCGACGTACTCCATCATCTTCAGCACTGCAGCCTTCGACACCGCATATCCACTCACGCCCGGCATCGGGGCCACATTCGCCAGGCACGAGGAAGTATTCAGCAGCACAGCGCCAGGCCCCGCAACGGCCAGAAATCCCTGAACGGCATTGAGCGCGCTTTGGAGATTTTCGACCACACTCCCCAGGTAGTCCTCCACGTCGTACTCCCGGATCAACCCCGGGGTGGGTAAGGACCCTGCATTCGAGACGAAGACGTCGACCTTCCCGACCTGGGAAACAATCGATGCAAGGGCCTGGTCGACAGCACTGCGCTGGCGGAGATCAGCTGTCTCACAAAGGACCTGGGTCGAGGTTTGCGCGTCCGTGGCCGCGGTGGTGATCTTCTCAGCTCCTGCTTTGAGGGTCTCCCGGCGGCGGCCGAGGATGGAGACGGACTTGGCGTTGGCCTGAGCGAAAGCCACGGCGATGGCGTTGCCGATGCCGCTGCCCCCGCCCGTGATCACCACGTTCTTGCCCGCCGCCGAGAGCTCGGGGCGCGAGGGCGAGATGAAGGGGTAGGGCTTAGAGTGCCACTCCTTGGTGAAGGAGACGGGCTTGGGGTAGTCGTTGGAGGAAGACATGGTTCCTGGTGGATTGAGAGCCTAATTGGTGATGATAGACGTTATGATTATATTCTCGGTGACGATGCTGTGCTTGATGCTGGTGCTCAGTGGTAGGCATCCTGACCCGTTTGGTCCTTATATACCTCCTCGTCGGGTGTGCTCAGCCATGACGCGCAGCACATTCATATTTAGAAATACTGTCCTTTGTCAGCATCCTGAAGCCAGAGGATGAGAATCCATGCTTTTGTTGGCACCATGGGATGGTGGTTGGTGCTGGTTTGGAATTTCAAATTTGCCAACTACAACTTAACTCAATCCTCCCGACGGGATCTTGGCGGTGCTGCACCCTATGGAGAGATTTCAAATCCTCCAAGGTTCGAGGGATGAACATACCGTCGGCGTTCGGGACGGGATTGACAGTCCGATTGCTATGGTATAGATGTAGCTCTAGTCCACCAGATTCTATTCCATCAGTATGTAGATGGTGAGTTGCGCGTAGTCTTCACATACAGTCATTTTTGCCCGGTCCTGAAAGATCTCTCAAAATCTCCTTCATCGTTTCATCTAGGTCATTGTTGGCTCCACCGAGCTGAGCACGCGGAGAGTATTGGCCGTTGGGAACGACCGTTGCTGTGACACGGTATCTGTGAAACTGCTACAAGGGAGCATCATTGCGAGACGCTCTTGACGGACAAACTTGCTTAATCTTATCAGATTAGATGGTACATTACATTCTTGCGGTCCACAGACAAAGCTGAGCTGGAATACCACGGCCGAAACTCGGTGGGTGGAAACTGTTCTTTTCTGCTGACCGCCCCAAAACGGCAGAATAATGGTTAGAACAGCCGGCAAAAACTCGGCGGTAAAACTGTTCTTCTTTCGACCGCCCTAGAGCGGCAGAATAATGGGTAGAACGGCCGGTGAAAACTCGGCGACGAAACCGTTTTTCTTCTGACCGCCCCAAAACGGCAGAATAGTGGTTAAAACAGCCGGCGGAAACTCGGCGGGGAAACTGTTCTTTTCCTGACCGCTCTACAACGGCAGAATTGTGCTGGCTTTGAATTCAAGAATCAACTTATGACGTCAGTATGCTGTAAAGTGCATCCGCCCAACCAGCAGCTTTCGCTTCAATCTTTTTCAACCTTGCAGCCCACCATCCACCATTCCAGCCCCTGTTGACCCAGGCCCCCAGCACAATCATACTGGAATAATGGCAGGGACCCTTGAGGGCAAAACCGCCCTGATCACCGGCGCCGCCAGCGGAATCGGGTAAGCTTACCCCGGCCTCCCCATGTGACAGCTCACCTTATTCTCACCCCTCCAGCAAAGCCACCGCCCACAAATTGGACAGTCTCGGCGCCACCCTGATCTTATCTGATATCAACGAAGATGCCCTGCAGCAGCTCCAATCCGAGCTATCCAGCAGCCCTCGCGCCTCGTCCCACATCTACCGCCCCTGCGACGTCTCCATCAGCACAGACTGCACCCGTCTCACCCAGGCCGTGAAGTCCTCCTTCGAACGCCTCGACTTCCTGTTCAACTGCGCCGGGATCAACCCCACGAATATCCCCATCCTCGAAACCACCGAGGACTACTTCACCAAGCTGGTAGACGTCAACCTCCGCGGCACCTTCAACATGTGTCGCGCCTGCGTGCCCCTTATGCAGAAGGGATCTGTGATGGTGAATGTCTCCAGTGTGTGCGGTCTCAAGGGGTACCCGGGGTACTCGGTCTACTGTGCGACCAAGTTCGGGATTATCGGGTTCACGAAAGCGCTGGCCGCGGAGCTGGGACCCCAAGGCATTCGGGTGAATGCCGTTGCGCCGGGGCATACCAATACGCCGACGATGGTGGGGAATGTAGCTGGTGGGGATGCAAATGCGCGCATCGTCAAGGAGGTCCCGTTGGGGCGGTTGGGGGAGCCCCGTGAGGTGGCCGATGTTGTGGCCTTCTTGTTTAGTGAGGGAGCGTCGTACATGTCGGGCAGTGTGGTCGAGATCACTGGGGGCGTGGTTTAGATGTTTTATGGTTAACATTGAATGTAGATCTCTTAGAGATGAATATCTGCCCCGGGCCTTTGTGATTGCATCAAATGTATATACATCCGTGTCCGGAGAGACTGTTCCACACTGTGTTCGGCGTCATGGGGGGCTTCATGCAGCCATAGGGTCACGTGCAGATGCTCCTCAACATGCTTGTATTCGGGCCCAATCCCCACGAAGCACTGGACGCACCACGCATATGTATCACGGTGGAGGATGATGGCGCTGAGGGAGGTGGACACCATAGTGTGGCTATGTGGAGGACGGCATTGAGGAAAAGGTGATTGGCGAGTTGCAGGCAAAAAGCCACCACGTTGAAGGAGTCACGGGATGGAAACGAGAGTTGTTTGGAAGAGGCCAGGTCATCCGCTGTCACAGCGAGGGCTCGCACCGAGTGTACAGCGCCGGCAGTGATTTTCGGGGCGACAGCCTGGCCATTCCTCTCCAAGTTAAGATTGAGCTCGGGGGGATGGCACGTGGACTCGGTTAACCCCAGAGTGTGGGGGTGGCAATGCCATTTCCGCTGAACGTAGACTAGTCCCCCGAAGACCGCTCGGGGCTTGCCGACTCGGCGCCCCCGCTGCGCGCCCCGAGCGCCATCATGGCTCCCTGACTGGCAGACCCTCTTTCGTGTCCATATGAATATAACTTCTTCCCCCCAAAGGAGTAGGGTTAGCTCCATCGCTTCGGCAGAGTGGAGGAGCAGCCGGCACTGGGGAGTGTTTAAAACCCTCACCACTGCATCTTTGCAGTCATGCATCCTCCATGCATGTTCCACAACCATCATGACCGACATACTTGACAAGGACCTCGAGAAGGTGCACGTGGATTTCGTGGAGAATGTCGAGAAACCAGAACCCGCAGACCCGGTGCTGGTGGATGAGACCGGCCGCATTCAACGTCTGCCGGTGCCCAGCGATGACCCCAATGACCCCTTGAACTTTGCAGTCTGGGAGAAGACTGCCATCATCGTATGTTGCTGTTGGTTCTGTAAGTGCTCACATGGCTTTTGCTGAGGTTGTTCTTTGCTAATGAATGCAGCGATCATGTCACTGTCGGTGGTGGGAGGGTTGGGTTCGGTCCTCGATGTCTTCTTCCAGCTGTACGGGGCAGAAGGCCGCAGCACCAACCAAGTAGTCTGGCTGTCGACCTTCCCTTCCCTGTTCGTGGGCGTGGGTAAGACTTTAGTTACTGTTCTCTTGCCAATATGTTCGCAACTGTAAGCTGACTGGACCAGGAAACTACATTATCCTTCCTCTCGCCCTCGTGTGCGGCCGACGACCGATCATGCTCATCACCACTGTCGTCCTACTCGGCTCGCTCATCGGATGCGCCCTGTCGCAGAACTGGGGTCAGCACTTGGGCTTTCGTATTCTGATGGGCTTTACCACAGGCGCCACGGAGTCTGTACGTTCATCCTTTCTCCGAGCCATCGCAACAACCTCACTGACCCAACCAGCTTCTCCCCCTGATGCTCGCCGAACTGACCTTCGTCCACCAACGCGGCACCATCTACGGCATCTACTGGGCCTCTCAGAACATCATAACCAGTCTGTTGACACTAGGAAGCTCGTACGAAGTGGCCGCATTGGGCTGGCGCTGGTTCTATTGGGTTTTCGTCCTCACCGTCGGCGTTGGTCTGGTCCTCGTAGTGTTCGGCTGCTTTGAGACCCGGTATCAGCGCGGGGCGATCTTCCTGCAAAACCAAGCCGTCATCACCGACGAATACGGCGTGACGCGAGTTCTGGGCGAGGAGGAAGCGCGCGCCTGGCTCGCCGCTCAGGGCGAGACCACCGCTCCGGGGGCCGGTGTGCACCCTCCAGCCAAGAAATCCTATCGCCAAATGCTCAGCCCGTGGCCGGGCGTATCGGCACGCCCCGTGCGGACGGTCCTCAAGACCTGGTGGCAGATGGTCGAGAGCTTTAGCTCTCCCGGTGTGCTGTACGCGACGCTACTGGCCTCCGTCGTGCTCGGGGCGTCGGTAGGCGTGTCCCTGACGTACAACACGGTGCTCGAGTATAACTACGGCTGGAGTGCATCGGCGATCGGGCTGATTAATTTGGGAGGCGTGTTTGGCGGATTGGGTGGGATGTTGTACGCGGGCATCTTCGGCGACCGGTTCATCGTCTGGGCCGCCAAGCGCGCGGGCGGCGTGCATCAGCCCGAGCATCATCTGCTTCTGCTGATCGCTCCGGGTTTGCTGGCCGTCGCATCGCTCATTCTGTATGGTTTCACGGCGGATGGCAACGCCACCTGGGGCGGGCCCTTCATGGGCTGGACGCTGTACCAGGTCGCCTTCGTCTCGGTGCTTATCCGCACGACCTCCTTCGCCACGGAGGCGTGGCCCAAGAACCCGGGCCCCGCGCTAGTGACGGTCGTGGGCACGAAGAACCTGATCAGCTTCGGGGTGAGTTATGGATTGAATCCCATGGTCGCCAAGTATAGTTACCCGGCGGCGATGGGGATTTTGGCCGGTGTGGTCGGCGGTGTCTTGCTGCTGGGCGTGCCGGTATACTTCTATAACCCAAAGGTTAGTCCTGCCCTGTTTTCCCCCTCAATTGTAGTCTATTCAAACTTGGGCTAATATGCACTAAACAGTGGCGAAAACGCATGAGTGCGAAGGAGAAGTGAATCAGGTCGGGCCGTTGGTAGTCGTGCGGTTATGGTCATAGTCTTGTACTGTTCTGATAAGATATTGTTTACAAATGCGGTCGCGCTTGATATATTCTGCTTCTTGTACTTGTAGGGTGGCAGTAGTAGTAGTCATACGATCTCTTCTTCTAGGATACATTTTTTGGTGATCATACGCATAGTCTATGGACAGTACAGGATAAGACAGTTGCAATCTCCCTCTCGGGGGTCGCCGATCAGCTCTAGGGTTCCCGTCCCCCGCACCGAGCCAACCTCGGGGCTGACCGAGACCCACTGTGGCCGACGCTCTCGGGCGAGATCGGTTGAGATTTCTTCTGGGGTTTGAGCACGCAGTCTGACATCCCCCACATTCCCGAAGTTCTGAACCCCAGACTGTGTTCCCTCCCTACGGTGTACTGTGTATCGTGCGAGGTATTTTACCATAAAAGAAATCCAAAGCTGGGAACTTGAGCTCCCAAACTACACCATGCAAAGACTTCTGTTGAATGTGCTTTCTGGGCGGACTTGTGTTGGTGTGCACCAAATTTATGATCTCAATCACTTGACTCCCTGGCACCGTTTGGGGAATCGCATCCCTATCTCAAATTGCTGGCGATTAGGATTGAGTGGATTCAGCGCTGCGACTTAAGAATCACACGTGAGAGGGCTGAACAAGCGCAAACAGGTTATATCAGAGACATCATGTACAGCCCAGGAGGTACTGCTCCAGCTAGGGCTGAGACTAGAGTCTACAAAGCACCCTAATTGAATCATCGACAGCCAGGTGTGTGCGTGAGATCTCGTTGATATCATTACACCTATTGTCGACATCAGCATAGCCCACAATCTTTGCTTAGATTGGAATGACTTAGGGGGGTAATCTCACCCCGCCAACGCCATCGTCACCCGCAACTCATGCAGCAGAATCTGCACCGCCAGCTCCACCCCCTCCTGGCCTGCATACTGCTCTCATCAGCCAAAGTTAGAACAGTTCCCTAAGATGGCCATTGAGTTACGATCACTTACAGCTACCCCCCATATCGGCACCCGGCCCAAAAAGCAATACTGCGCTCCCAGCGCCAGCGCCTTGAATATATCCGATCCCCGTCGGATACCCCCGTCGATCGCGATCGGCACCTTTCCCGCCGCAATCGGGGCACATTCACGCAAGACATCGAGCGTAGTAGGAACGCCGTCGAGCTAGCATCCACCGTGATTGGAGACGATGATCCCGTCCACTTGTTGTTGGATCGCGAGAATCACGTCTTCCGGGGTGTAGAAGCCTTTCACCCAGATCTCCATGGTGGTGAGCGAGCGGAGCCAGCTGATTGCGTCGGGCCAGGATATGTTGCTATCTATTCATCGCTGATCAGCGTTTCATGCGAGATCTATGAGAGAGTGAGAAACCCCACCGTACACTAGATCAGGGAACCCGTCGCCCAATGGTTTATCAGACAGGTTAGGGTACGTGATCCCCACGGGAAGAGCGAGCTCGTTGCGCAGCTCGTTGTACCGAATTCCGAGGATGGGGTAGTCGACAGTCAGGAAGATGGCCTTGTAGCCGGCGGCTATATCAGAGCATCAGACGGCTGGATATCCCGTCTCGAAAATATCATTGTATGAAAATGACTACCTTCGGCCCTCTTGATAATCTGCACTGTATACCCCCTCTCCTTCGTAATCCCCACCTGAATCGCATACGGATTCTCCCCAGTCCCCTGAGCAACGATATCCTCCAGCGTGGTGGACGCGTAACTCGAGACCGCCATCGCAACTCCCATACGTGCAGCTGCACGGGACGTGGCGATCTTGCCGTCCAGATGTGCGAGCCTGTGTAGAGCGGTCGGCGCGAATCCCAGCGGAGCGGTGAGCTTGGCGCCGAAGAGCACGGCGGAGGTGTCAATTTCGGGGATCTTCACCAGCACGCGCGGACGGATCCCGGTAGCGCTCGTAGGCGGTGGTATTCTCGCGCAGGCTGTGTTCTTAGTCTAAATGGGAGCTGCTGCTGGGAGGGAAGGCTACTGACGTGGTCGTGTCGGTGGCGCCGTCGTTGAAGAATTCGGCGTATGGTTTGGGGAGCTTTGTTGTGGCTTCTCGCTCGAGGTCCGCGATGGATAGCATCTTGTGGGAGGGGTATGGTAGATTGGGCGCCATGGTTGTTTGTTGAGGTAATTTTCGCGCTGTTGAAGATCTTTGTGATGTGAAAAGGTTAGGTTGTGAAGGGTTGGGCTATGATATGGCCTTCCAAGCTACACAAGCTGCGAGGTGAGCAACAGCTGGGTTGGACAGATGGACTAACCATTCACATAATGTCATTCTTTCATTATTCAGTCAGTCAGCCATCTATACATATCATGGCTTATTCACACTCCGTCTACGATGACTGTTCAGTACTCTGACCTCATCCTCGAATAGGGTTAATGTCACCAAAACCTGAACCATGCTAGGCTAAGTGTAAATCCGGAGCACGAAATACAGTCTATAGTTGTTTCTCTGTAGCACTAGAACATGACCTCAAAATTATTAATTTGTGGACAGCAGGTCAACCCTTTATGTAAGACTCACATCCCTTTTGTAGCCACTGTGAAAATCTCAATCATCTCTGAGGCATTTTCTGCAACCTCACGATCAGTGATCATAGGACCCTACTCTAGTTCCAGGGACCCTGAGGCTATTGAGCTAGGGACTCGTATTCATAAGAACTAAGCATGCAGGGCTGATGCCTGACAAATACCTCTGGACGCCAGTCATGTGACCATTCCAGAACTGGCGTAGTGGCGGGGGAGCACCAGCCCTGTTTAGGGCTGACTATGCTCGACTCAGGAAGCATGACTCGGAGAGTGAGCATAGACAATTCAAAGTCTTGCGGTCTGGAGCACTTCAGCTGAAGATTAACATGGCCGGTATTCCGATTAGTGATCGTTGGTGGCAATGTTTCACTGCTCGGGCCGGGTCACGACCCATGGCAGAAACCTCATGATCAATCAAGCTTGGTTTGGGGGTGGTGAGAACGTTTCCGTGGGCAAATATGTGCAAACAGAGTCTCAAACCTGGCGAATGAGATGCATGTGATCGGACCTGCAGTAGCTTGACTACCTAGCAGTACTTCTTAGATGTTTTCTGCTCGTATAAGCATCCGTTGATAGGTAGGCAAGCGCAAGACGCAACGGCCAACCTACACCCTATACACCACCACATCTCTTTTCGTGTGATTATGAAGACGTAAGGAGATTAGATTATAACGATCGGATAAGTCAGAAAGCCGCCCTTGCCAAACCCTCAACTCCAACCCAACCCATAATGCTCAGTCGTAAGCCACGATCACCTGCCGGCTGACGACAATATCGGCCTCGCCGGGACTCTGCCCGCCCTCGAGAATTTGCCTCTCACTATCGCCATCGCTGAAGCTGCGACGGCCGTGCTCTGCAACGGTGCTCGTGGTGACGTGGTTGGGGTTCTTGCCGTGCTCGGCCAGCTCGTAGGTGCGCGAGAACACGCCTCCGCCCGTGTGGTGCGAACTGTGGCCGTAACCCGGGGACCGGTTGTAGTTCTTGTAGTCGGAGGTCTTGCGGTCACGCAAGATGCGGAACAAAGGGCGGAGGGTGGCGATGTTGCCGACGATCATTCCCAGCGCGTTCTCTGCGAACCCCCAGATCACCACGTTCGCCACGCCGAAGAGGTAGTCCGATTGCGAGGTGAGCGCGACGGTGTACTTGAGACGGACGCAGGCGGATAGCGAGGCACTATACAAGAAGAACGAACAGTTAGATGGTTGTGCGTGCAGTGAAGGACAGAGAGTGGTGTATATACAAGATACCCAGGCCCATCAAGCCGACGATCGAGATCTTGGTGTTGCGGTTGATCTGGACATTCCAGAGGAGGGGCACGGGCAGTAAAGCCGTCACCCAGTCGGTCAAAATGTTCACAGCCGTGCAGGCGTAGTACACATCGGCGAGGACGTAGGACGGTTGGCAGTGTCCTCCGTTCTTTAGGGCTTCGTCATCCCAGGCGGCACTGCGGCGCGGTCAGTTTCCTTGCCCATTGAATCCAACAAGCAGAAGTCACGGGCACATACTTGACAGGGATGCAGTTAATCAGAATGAAGATCAACGCGATGATGTTCATGGTCACAAACGTCGCAATGACCACATACTGAATGTAGAGGTAAGCCTTGCGCCCCTCCGCGACTCGGATCAACATCCAGCTGATACTCAGTTTGATCGGGATAATGGCAGAGCAGTAGCCGACCTCGAAGATGAGGAAGAACTGGAGACCTCGTTAGCGTCCAGCTGCTTGACTTCACCCTGATGGGGTCAGCGGAACTCCATACCTTCTTTCCATCAGCCGAATACTTCACGTTTCCCGGCTCCGCTAGCCGCCATTGATGAATTCCAATCCCGTTGAATGCACCTCCTACACAGCCTGCTACCAACACAGCGAACGGCACCTTTCATCCAACCGATCAGCTCAGGTTCAAGTTCCAAGGGGCAGGCGACCTACCAAGGCGACGGACATGATCCAGTCTTCCATCCCCCATGACTTCCGGGTCAACCGGCAGTATACTCGGGCTCCATAAGTCAGCAGTGCCAGGGTCGTCAACATAATGACACTACCGGCCACCGACGGGGCCGCATCGGCGTAGATGGCCATGACGTTGAAGTCGTCGCGGAATATGGTCGAAAGTCAGCCCTGCGTTGGTGCTGTCAAGGACACATGGGGGAGATACAAAGCTGAAATTCAAGTCAATATGGGGAGGGTGGGCAGAGGGGGGAGAAATGTGGACATGGGTGGGGTGATAGTAAGGATATAATAAGTTGATTAACTCAATCAGAAGGGTCCTTGCAGCGGGAAACCTTTTTGATTGCAGGCCTACGACCCTAACAAAAGTCGAGGTTAGACTGCCCACATCATTGCCCCTTCGAGGCAATCGGACGGGCCACGAGACGAGGGGTGGGTTTGTGAATCGTGACAGTCGGCTTCCCCTCCGCCCCTCTATCATGATATTCCGGTGCTCCACGGCACGTCGGAATACGAGTCTGTCTCCCCTGGAGTCTCTCTCCGCAGAGAAAACCCTAAGAGATCGCCAGTTTAGGCTGTCAACGCGAGCAGACTTTCGTCAACAGAGTCGTAGTCATCCACTTGGACTCTCCACCCCAACCACTGACAGGGAGAAGGAGTGGCGCCTCTGATTTGCTTTCAGCGGACGGATCCCATCCGCGACAAATCAGGACGAGTCATGTTGCCCCCCCACCCTAACCCTAGAGAACATCATCATCGCCCGCCATCTAGAACTTTCACCACTGTTCGGTAAATCCTAAATCCTTATTTGGCAGTTCAATGACAATTATTATGGGCGGGGAGGAAACTCTTTTTACAATAATCGTTGCTTGCCAAGTTCTTCTCTCCAAGCGAGATAACAATCCGCATTCTACTAGTAGTTCGAGAACCAGCCCCCCAGCCTACCCAGCCTCGTGTCTACAGTTAGTGCCGTTAGTGCCAATAACCCACGAGGGGGAATTTCCTTGGTCGCATGCATGCATGCATGGATTCTGGAAAGAGAACCAAACTCCCGGGTCCTTTAGGACCGGGGAAAATCGACCAAAATGGAAAATAAACATGCCCTGGGAGTCCCCACTTTTGGGGGCCACGTCTATGCCGTGCTGGGACAAAACTAGGCTAAGTAGCCCATTCGAAACACTACCACCGGCTTTTCTCGGCCTGTCATGACTCGCTTTCAGGCAGTTCTCTCTCGCCTTCCCAATGTTAATCCAGTTTAAGCTAGCACGGTTGCAGTTGTATGGTGGACTAGGCCGCCCACCTCCACCGCGTGCGACCGAGCGCAAGCTGGCCGCCAGCTTGCCAGTTGCCACCCCCCCCCCATCGGGCGCGCCCGCCTGCGAACCCTCCCACAACGGAAGTTCGCCGCAGCGAGGTTATCGTGAGCCAAATAGATTAAATTCTGGTTCGTGCCATTAGCTAACTGCTAACTATGCAGCTGTCGCTGTAGCTGTAAGTGTTTCCAGTGCTTTGAAACATCACTCCGTCAAAATTCGCTGTTCTAAGAATATTACCGACTGACCCCCCCCCCTGGCCGCAACGCCGGCTTCCTTGGTCGTCGATCTCGGGGAAGACATTCCTTCGCGTCGTTAGCACGCCACACTAGCCACGACTTTCGCTGCAGGGGGAGCCTAGCGTGCTTGCCACCACGAGCGACTCGACGAGTGTGGTTCAGGGGGGTAGAGAGGGCTTGGTATCAGTGTACAGCATAGCCAGCACAGTCGTGACCACGGGATGATGCCATTATGGTGATGGCCCAGATCGGCGTGGCGGGTCGGATATGACCGAGAAATTGCCACTGAGCACGCGAAGGATGACTCAGTGGAATAAATCATGGATCAGTTATGCTCCGTCGGCACAGAAGACTGTGTAGACTATGCATAGACTTTGATGGCTTTCGCTCTTCCATGTCATTCAGAAACCTTAACGGAACGGCTTCCGAGATATGGAGAGAATTCTAACGATTTGCCGGCAATCCTCTTCGACACTAGCATACTTTCGCCAATCTGCTTAATTCTTCGCGCGGCAAACTCACCAGACGTCTATTGAAACAACTATTCGCATGGGACGGGTAGATCTCTACGCACCGTCTGCACTGATAACACCCCGAGAGGAACACATATAAATAGAAGCAATCAATTTGTCCTGCGCACAGAGCAGATGCTTGAATCACCTGTAACATGTGGACAATCCCGGCGATAGATGATTTGTATCATGATGAGTGATTCAACGGATAATCCATTAAATTCCTCCTGCTCTTGACAAGCGCACCGGCAGCAGCCGAGCCACAGATCAAACCTTCTGCAAAACTTTCTAGTAAGATATACGAATTATGGGCTTCTTGGCTGTGCAGAAGACCGATCTGGTCCGGGTGAAGACAATAGCTGCAGCGGCAGCCACTGCTGGACCGTGGGAATGGTGGCGCGCAAACCTTACTTCTATCTTTGCGGGGGCTCCAAGATCTTGGGAGATTTAGACAAGAATATTCGGTCAGCGATTTGGAGGTTTAGACGACTGGACAGATTCGGGATTCTGGGCATTGAGGTCAAGTGACTCGGCCAAGCCCTGAGAGAGGATGCTGGGAAATTCTGGTTGACAGGACTTTCCCCCTCAGTCGCTCACTTTGTTAACTCGGTCAGCATTTACTCGACTGGCCGAGGTTGTGCACATATATGACTAATTATGCAGAGATGCTAATTATCACTATGCAGGCATGTCCTTGACAGTCTTTACCCCTTGGCGCTGATCCCCCCAACTGCTCGGACGATGACATCTCCGCGGGCCTGCCGCGCCTGCTGCAACCCACCAGTGAACAAGTCCTCGAGTCTGGAGGAACTTGGTTGACCAACGGAGCTGTGCAACAAACCGCCAACGGAATTCAGTTTTCCGTATCAAGTGGACCAGCAGATTTCCAAGGTGAGCAAACGAAGTTATACGTGTAGCATGCTGACCCCACTAGAACAACCAACACCTTAGACTATTCACTCTTGAACAGTCCCAGTCTCCTATTTCCGACGCCCCGCGACAACAGCCCCTGGCATATCCGTCTACAGGAAAACAATTCCTTGCTCTGAATCTCTCCGATGTATCCATAATGCGTAATCGGGCGCTGAGGGCTGCGTCGTGATGAGTCGGGCTCAAACACGCGAGTCCCGGGCGTTGAGAGAGTGGACCCGCTGGCCGGCAAACAGTCACGACTCGACTCAGTGCAGGGAAAGGTGCCGATCCTCGGATATTTTCCCAGGCAGGGCAAGGATGGGCGCTGCCTGCCCTCAACGGGGATCTGCAATTTTCCTCCACCTTCAATCTCCGCTTATTTTAGAGCGTACATCCTCATCTCGGACGGGGAACAGGAACTCGACGGAACTCGACGAGAATCAAGCGGATGACCCTCGGTTACTCGGTTGAGTGGGGGTGACGGAAGATGTGAAGGGTCCGACATTGAAGGGAGAGCGCTCCTCGACTGCATTTGATCATGTTTTATTGGAAATCGTCTGGGACATTGTTGCTGTTGTTCGCTTAATCTACGAATCCGCGTCCTTGTGTTGCGACATGTCTGCTCGACAAATGCGACCGTTGCGGTTGGGTCGGCTGTTGCTGTCAATTGCAGTTCGAGCCGGTGGCCACATAGCGAGGGTTTGAAGGTTTGCAACGGAGGTTTGATGAGCGTGCGGTGCACATTATCCATGTTATCGGCTTGTCTTGTCTTGCGGAAGTCAAATGTCCAGCGATGGTAGCATTTTCGTCTGCTAGTTCCTTCATGGCCGACGTTCGCACAACTCAGTCATTCGGCAGTTCAGCTTCGGGGATCTCAATCGCACCCACCACCCCAGCGTTGTGAAAAAAAGAGGCAGCCTGGTGGACCACGCTCAAACCATTAACCATGACACTTCCTCAATACCAGTGCTTTTGCAAGAGCTGACACAAAATAGTCACCGAGGACAATGAAGATTTGAGGGGATACGTTTTCACAAAATTGCACACGGGCTTAACCGGCTCAGTGCTCGCCATTCAACTCTCGGTTATTGGAAAGAATGATCAGCTTCAGATGAGAGGCCATGTCTGATAACTGCGACCCTTCCTGGGATCCCAGATTTCCAGACTTGCCGACTGAACAACATTTCTCGCCCCAATGCGACCGACAGCAGGGCAAGAGAAACGAAAACCACGCATGTCAGAATCATGAGCAGGTCCGGCCGGTAGCAGCCGAAGAGCAGATTTGCAACCCGGGTGGTATGTCGCATCTCGCTTAAGATGAACTCTTTTCCTAGGTTAGTGCTATTTAGTTGAGCCACCACGATGCAAAATGCCTGCCCTGATCCTTTGGGACAATGTATCTGGTACGATGTAAGTGAACCGATCTTGTCGACGCCTTTGTCGCACGCACACTGCAATGCCTCTGAACTCCCCGAGCTTCAAGTTCCCTTTAACCATTTGTGACCCATACTATGACACGTAATCCTGGAAAACCTGAGCCCACGATGTTTCAAGCACAGCCACATTGAAATAGAATCCCAATAGATACAGTACCGTAGTCTGATTTGACCACGGAGAGGTGATCTATACAAATATCCCCATGCGCGCTTACCACCATGCCACTCGACCGAAACCATTGGATCCCACCTCAAAACACATAACCCACCCTAGCCGCATCTTGATGGATGAGGGGTTCATGCTCCGGGCTGCGCACCAGGGGCACCCGTGCAGATTTGCGAGTCGTTGGCGTGGCGTTGTACCTTACCTTTTTCCGACAGGTGTCTTTCTATCTACCCCATCGGATCATCCTTCAGTCAAATGGTCTCTGTTGGCTGATTTGTCGCATTCACATTGAGCTGAGCTGCGCGATGCCCTGGCAATCAGCCCTAATCTCCTTGGGTCGGTCTGCCCGCTGCCTCGACACTTTGCAAATTACAGCCTCACAATGTAAGCATCGTGCGACTGCCTAGTGTCAAAAACCCAGGAAAAGAAAACGAAGGAATAGCTTAATATGAGCTAGTATAGTGATTGTGCAAAATTAGTGGTCAGCTCGTCTGTTAGCATCAGCCCGTCAGCACCCCTCCTTTTGCGCGCCCCCACTTCAGCCTCACCGATACAAACAACGGCTATAAATCCCCTCAATTCTCAATTAGCCACCGGGCACAGGAAACAATATTTTTTGAGTAGGCCTACATTCTTGTTGTTCCTCATTGTGCTTCTACACCTTCTGTCACCTTTTGTCACCAAAGGCAAAAAACGTTCCTCCCAAAATGGCCGACGTAGAATTTCTCGCCCTTGCCACCAAACCCTCGGCGCAGCTGGCTTATACCTTCCAAGCTCCCGAAGGAACATCCACCAAGCCCGTCCTGGTGGTCTTTGTGAACGGGCTCGGTCTTCCGCAAGCCTTCTGGCAGCCTGTCATTGCTCAATTAAAACCCCTTCGCCAAGGCAGCAGCCCGGCCTTCCTGACATACGACCGCTTCGGCCAAGGCCAGACGACCGACCGCGATCCCGCAGACGCCGGCGCCGAGGATCCCACCCACGGCCACGACTGCCTGGCCGCCGTGCAGGATCTCCGCCAGCTGCTTGCGCAGATCACCGCCAACAAGCTGGGCGTCGCCGATGTGGACTCCGTCTCGCTCGTGCTGGTAGGGAATTCGATCGGCTGCGCGCTGGCCCGGCTCTACGCGCAGGAATATCCCGGCACCGTCGCCGCGCTCTTGTTGCTAGACAGCGTCCTCGCCAACTCGGACTTCATTTCCATCTTTCCCGACCCCGACGCCTCGGACTTCGACCCGGCTAGCATCGCCCCGATCCCCACTGAGGCCATTCGCGCCGTGCGGGCTGGCGTCCGCCGCGTCTTTCACCCCGACGTCGGCAGCAAGGAGGGTCTCAGCCGGCGGAACCTGCGCGAGCTGCTGCCTGCCAGTGACGGCCCGCAGCTGCACGGCCCCGAGGGTCACGGACCCTATGTGACGGTCGTGGGCCACGACTTCGATGCTTTCGCGGAGGAGTCGGCCAAGATGGGCCCACCTAAACCGGTCACGAACCGTTTCGTCAACCCCTACTGGCACCGCTACAACGAGGGGTTGGTCAAGATCACCGAGGCCGAGTACAGCAAGGGCCCTTTGATTGCACCGAACGCGGGTCACTTTGTGCAAAAGGATAACCCGGAATTTGTGGTCCAGGAGTTGAATGAACTGTTGGAGAAGGTGCTGTAGGATTTAGATTGGTTACGAGAGCGTCTTGAATTATGAACATTAATATTCCTCCACCCCCCCCCCGGTTATTTTGGGTTGCTTCTATGTGCGGCTTATTATTGTGTAGTCACCAATTAAGCTGAGTGAGTACGATTTGTATCGACGGTGGTTTGCTTGTGACTATGACAGCAACTGGGATGATACGAGTCAGACTGTATGGTTGGGTTGAGTCCGAGACCGGCCATTATGATCCTGGCCCGTTTCTACTTTACCGCTAACCTATAGCTATGCAGCCGCTAAATAAGCACTAGGGTAAAAACAAGCTGTATTTCTCGTATTGTTGCACGAACGTTCTGCGAAGGGGTTGATACATTGATTCTATCTATCAAGACAAATCTAGCGATGGTGTACAAGAAAACGGCCAACAGACCTTGAGAACTCCAGAGCGATATATACTTGGCAGGTATCCCATATCCCGTCAGGCAAGAGAGCGAGGAACGATAATTCTAGTCAACAGCATACCCGAATAGTCGTATCAACAGGGAAATGCTTCAGCAATCATGTAACATACATATTAACATCTTCGAAGCAGGTGATTCCTCATTCTGTGTTGCCTTTGAAGAACTACATTAATGCTTCTAGTATTTGCTGAGAGTAGGCTGAAGCCCCCCCGGCTTGACATCATCCTACCGCTAACATAGTTCCCAAACTCGCCGGTCCCTGTCGTAAACGCGCTGCGGGCTGCCTGGGTCATACGTCAAGGTCCAGAGGGTTGAGCTGTCTAATATATCTGATTTGGACAATGGTGCATTCGTGCGCAACTGCGGCTGACAGCTCGCTTGGCGGGAGAGTTATAGACCAAGTGGAGACAAATACGGCCACAGACCCATCAAATCCATGCTCGTATCGAGGACGTCACCCATAAGATATCGACCATGTGAGATTTTCACAAATAAGACATTCAACCACGAATATCGGGACTAGCTCCCCAGGGGCATGAAAGGGCCTGTGCTGAATGCGATAAAGCTTGTTGCCCCTCTTGGTTTTACGGAGTACCCAGGCAGCCTGCAGGATCAACGCTACGGAGGCGCCCCCACCTTGGCCAGGTACGCGCTTATGCAGAAGCCATGAGCGAACAACTCCTGTGACTGGCGGTTTGAGGAGGGGTCATTCACAGACTCAATTTCTGATATATGTGAATCGCTGATTGAGCTCTTTACTAACAGATATACATGCCTGGGTCAGACCATACGTATCAAAGTGGAATATTCACATAAATGATGACCCAGTGCCATAATTCTGCTGCGAGTGAATGTTAGGTATTGTACAGGACTTGCCTGCGCCGTTGAACTTCCCAGCTTCATCCAGGCAGTTCCTTCCACATCTTAGCAGCCCCGTGTCTGTCCGGCGTCTCATCAGACCATCTTCTTCAACTTCATCTTCTATCAGGAGAGCTTATCCCTTACTGCTGGGAGTTGCCTACCATCCAAGTCTGGCTTTCAAATGGCGGGCGTCCTCGAACATTTCGAGTAGATGCCAGACTGGAAAGGCAAACCCTGTACAAAGCTTCAACGCTGCGTGCAAACTGTCCCGAAATTTAGAGGAGGATATTAAGGCTTCCATTCAAAAGATCGCCCCAACAATCACCACGCCCTTAGCCAACGATAGTGTTCAATGTGTAAGAAAAAGAAGAAAAAGGACCATATTGAAGAGAGTTGCCCGCAACACCTCCGTGAAGAATGAAAGAAGTCTTCAGTGGGTGCCACTGATACATTGAGCTCAGATCAACAATTAATCATGATGTGCTTGATAGCCAGAAGAAGCGAGGCAGAGAATCATTAAAACCAAACACAAGACGGAAGAAAACGGCCAGAGGAGCAAGAAGAAGATGGAGGAAAGAAAAAGAAAAGGACCTGGATGGTTGCCTTGGCTTTTGTCGGTGCCATTGGTCATATTTGATGACATGATCAGGGCATGTATTCTTCGAGCTCTTCAACCATGACTTGAGTCTCTAAGGTATAGCTGTGCCCTTTCCGGGTCTATGCGCCCGAACCTTTTTGCGAACCTCTGGCTCGCTTGACCCTTGCGGCTGGTTGCACGCAGTCCTTCCAATCATTGTTTGGGGCAACGTCAACCGACGGTACGAAGTCACATCTTCCTCTCTTTCTCGTCGGACAAGGTAAAGCCAACATGCATACCTTCGTGTCTAGTTTCAATGACCTTGATATGGCGTGCCCAACGAGCGGGACGAAAGATTGACTGCGTTACATTAGGGTACAGCCCCTGTTGCGGTGAGATCACTTATGTTTTGGTCGGAGGATATCAGCATTTCTAATCAGGGTCTCGACAACAGGTACCTCATTCCCGCCACAGGCAGTAGACTGTCGTTACAGCGGCTCGCCACATCATATGAAAGAGGGTAGCAAGCGGGACACTGATCTCAATCCAGGGGCAGTTGCCTACAAGCTGTGGTTGCCAGGCCCTGCGTTCATCTACGTGCCGGAGTATCGCGTGCATCTCTTGCTCTTGCTGGTATTGTATGGCGCAACAAGTGTACACTTGTCGCTCCATGCCGGTGGGCGATGGGCTCTTTAATAACAACACATATAACTTTTTGGATCACTGGATCTCTACATGTCTAGATGGATTCCACTAAAGTTGGACTGAAATTGTGTAATTTAAACTATGCAAACACGCTCTGGTTGATTCATTTCCAGGCTTAGTTTGTCAACTGCATCAATGATGAGCTACCGTCTCTCGGGTTTATGCTGATTTTCACCATCCAATAATTCCTGGAAAAGCGACTTTTCAATTTCTTGCACATCTGACTCCTCGCCGTGAATTTACCTAGGCGACGTTCAATATCCCCACAAATAAACGGACATACAAACCATCTTTTCAAGCTCTACTAGAACAACCTGCACAATTTTTACCTGCGCGTGTGGATACAGCAAACGGGGGAGCCTCCCCCAGACAGGAAACATCACAGCACATCATGGATAGTATTACAGGCCCTTCAAAGCCGTCCACAGGCCCATGAAAGATTCGGCTTTCCTACCTCAATCACGTTTCCGCACCAACCCTTGGTGTTTCTTTGGCTGCTGAGGATCCACACTCTCGATGAAGAATTCGCGAAGCCTGCGTCGTTACGATATGTGCCCATCCAAACCTTGTCGATGAGAGCTCGCCGGTAATGCAAGGTTGGGATTGACGCCTTCGACATAGCGCGAGGGTGCTCTCAGGTTTGGAAGAGACAAGATTGTATCGCCGTCTCAGCTGATTGTTGGCAGGGGTGACGAACAGGGCCTTTGCCAAAGCGATGCCATAGTGGCCATCGCTAGATCTAGAAAGGCTCCCGCAGCAACCGGTCGAAGTTCTCCATCAAGGTGTCCGAATCCTTCCACGCTGCTGTGATGCGAGCATCCCGTTCGCGACACTTGGTCCGCCCGCCCACAACCACCCGCTGCTCGCCCTGCCGTCGCGCCTCTTTTACTAATGTTGATGTTCGTGGTTGACGGCGCTGTGCGAAGGTTCGGAATATCTCGACCAGGTCCCCATCACCTAGCTGATGGGTCTTCGCATCAGTCGTCGAGCTTAGCTGGAGGTCTGGGAGAAGATGTGAAAGGTGATAGCAGTCCTCCCTGGGTACAACTTGTCAGCCTGACTGAGTCCTCTTTTGATCCTTAGCCCATACGTACAGCGCCTGGTTCGCCCCCTGCCCGATATGCGGACTGGTGGGATGCGCAGCATCGCCGACCAACACGCACCGGCGTGAATGCCACTGCTCCGCCGTCAGCTCCTCCCGATCGAACAAGCCGTACTTGATCAGACGTTCTGCATCCGTAACTAGCTGTTGAACCGCGGGCTCGAATCCCGCCAAGTGAGCCTGCAGTTCGCCGCGCCGCGCCGCGAGGTCCTCTGCACCGGACAGCCTCCACGTTTCCGGCTGTTCATTCGCGTCCGGTAGCGTCACCGCCCAGGAGGTATGTGTCTTGGAGACCGGATACGCGATGACATGAATGCCCGCGCCGTACCAGTTGCTCATCTGCCTTCCTCGGTCGTGCAGATTCGACGGAGTGGGTGAGATGCCCGCGGTCTGGGTTAAGCCCGTGAACATCGGAGGGCCCTCCTCGCCGTCGTGGTGGTTTCGGAGAATCTCCCCCCGGGAAGCAGCCTTGATGCCATCGCATCCCACGAGGAACGAGCCAGTCGCTGACTGCCCGTTGGTGAATCGGGCCGTGACGGAATCCGCGTGCTCCTCGATGCGGAGCAATTCCCATCCCTCGCGGACTCCGATTCCCTGGTCCAGGAGCAGGTTCTTGAGCCGGAGATTCAGCTCGGAGCGTCGGGTGCCAACGGCTGAAAAGCCGTATCGCGTCTTGAATTCCTCAGCCAGGGTCGAAGACGCGAGGGTTCGGCCGTCGGGCGTGCCGTGCCAGAATCCGCGCAGCGGTTGGAAGTCCTGCTCGAGGGACTCAGCTATACCTAGGAGACCGAGGACCTTCATTCTGGGAGGTTGTTAGTAGGGTCGAAATTGGGATCAGAGTGGCAGCGTGGCTAACCCGTTTGGCTGGATGAGCAGCGATGCGCCCGCGTCGCCGAGCACGCCGACCTTCTCGAACACAATGGGCGCATAGCCTCGTCGTTTGAGCAAAATGGCCAGCACGGGGCCGGCAATCCCACAGCCGATGATTAGTGCGGTTGGTGATGTGACCATGGTGTTCTCCCCTCAGCGAATTGATTCTTTTGTCAGATTTGCGACCGTGGTTTCTTATATAGAGACGGGGGTGGGGCCAAGTGCTGTAATGTTCGGAGTTCCCGCGGAGCATCCGCGGAGCGTCCGCTGCCTTTGCCCTTCTTGAAGTTATCGTTCGGATAAAAGGCATTGGAGCAGGTACAAGCCAAATTTCATTCGATAGACATAACTGCGTTACATTTGACCCCCAGCATTACCAGACTATGCTCATGCCCTTTCCTCCTGACGGACGGACGACTTCTCCTCCTCGATATACATGCTGCCCAGCTTCTCGACCGCCGTGGCGTGATCCAGCTGGTCCAGACCCACATCGCTCCGCGCCTGCGCCAGTAGAATGGCATCCTGCTCGCCCGTCCGACTGTTGAACACCCGATCCATATCCTCCAAAGTTGCGCCCTTGGTCTCGGGGAGACAGAACCACACCCAAACTATTCCGGCAGCCAGGAAGACGGCGAAGAAGATATACGTGCCCCAAGCCCAGGCGGAGAGCATGGGCGGAACGAAGAACGCCACCGCAAAATTGTTGAGCTACCCCTCTGGTCAGCATAAACCGTCTATCGAACAAATCGAGGGAAGAGGAGGGACGTACCCAGTTACTTGACGCTCCGAATGATGCCCCCTTAGCACGGATGGAGAGAGGAAAGATCTCCGAGACTAGAGTCCACGACGCCGGGCCCCAGGTCGCCCCGAACGCTCCCACATACACCCAGATGAATGCCACCGCCGTCCAGCCCGCAGCCGGATGGCCCGGCCAGTCGTGCCGGAACTTGGCGACAATCACTCCGGCAATAATCATGGCGATGAACATGACCGTCGACCCCAGCAGGAGCATGGGCTTGCGGCCAACGCGGTCGATGACCAGCATGGCGGGGATGGTGCACACGAAGAACACCACCCCCGTGACGCCAGTTGCCAGCAGTGCTGAGGTACCGCTCGTCAAGCCCAGACTTTGAAAGACATTCGACGCGTAGTAAATGATGGCGTCAATTCCTGACCATTGCTGGAAGAACATGACGAGCCACGCCATGGCGACGCGTTTGAAGTTGTCCCAGGTGCGCACGATGTTATAGTACTGCGCAAACTCGCGCGCCAGGACGCTCTGCTTCTCGCGCTCGGCGAGATGCGGGAAGGTCCGCGCGAACGCCCGCTGCTCGAAGAGACATTCAGCCTTGATTTCCTTGTATTCGTGTTCCACTGCGGGGTGATCGGCGGGGAGCTTGCGGAGGTAGGCCAGCGTTCGTCGGGCTTCGTCATCGCGGCCTTGCTTCACGAGCCAGCGCGGTGAGAACGGCAGCCACCAGATGCCCAGAGCCAGGCATGCCGCGGGGATGCCCTGGATGATTGAGGGGAGGCGCCAGGCCAGGTCGGATTGGTGTTCCCCCGTGCCCCCGATGTTGTTGCTGCCGTAGCCGCACCAGAACGAGAGCATGATTCCGAGGATGGTAGCGAACTGATAGAAGGAGACCATGAAGCCGCGGAGTTGGGGGGAGGACAATTCGGCGTTGTAGAGCGGTCTGTGGTCGAAATGGTTGCACGTTAGCTGGGTGGACAAGTTGTTCGATAGCAGAAAAGCAGAAATGACCACTCACCCAACACCACTGAAGGTCCCGACGCCCAGCCCCGTGAAGAAGCGGCCCGCATACAGCAGGGCGGGGTTGTGGTAGGTCGCACCGCAGTAGAGGTAGCTGCCCAGTACCACCCAGCAGCAGGCCGAGAACATGGTGTACTTGCGCGAGAAGACCTCGCCCAGGATTCCCGCCGAGAGCGAGCCCACAATGCCCCCCAGTTGCAGCACGGAGGTGAGCCACCCCGTGGCGCTGGACGAGGCGACCACCGTTGGGAAGTTGTCCTTAAAGCGGTACATGACGAGGGATTGGCCCAGGACACCCTGCTGGTAGCCATATTCGAATCCACCAAATCTGGGAGACCACGTGTCAGTGTCTTGTCTCTTCGGAATGAATTCGATGGGGGTGGTGGTGGCTCACGAGGCGAAGAAGGCAATGGCCATGAGCTTAGGGTTGTTCCGGATAATGCTCCATCGCGTCTCTGGTATGGGATCCTCCCACTCCCCACGGCCTTCAACGTTCGAAGAGCGCATGATCAGCGGCAAGTATGTTCACAGCGGATGCGACCGATCAGATTGATAAGAGGTAGCCAGAGCATCTGCGTCTGCGACAGCGGCAGTCACAGGGGTTTTATGCTCCGGGAACGGAAGCATCCCCCACAGTTGCGGTCTGGGGAAGCCGCACAGACAACCCCAGATCCAGCGATGAACATGACGCCTGTACTATCCTGTACTATCCTGTCCACAATGTGGTCAGGCCATTTTACGCGGGGGGTAGAGTAAGCGTTTACAGTTTCCCCTCCCTGAAACGCACGATTTGAGGGGTTAAATCTGTTTTGGAGCGGCTAGCCACGGCCTTCCCTTCTGATTGTCTCCGTGATTAGTCAATCTCCCCGTGGGGTGGCTGGTTTCTGCAGCTGGTAGTGCGGGGGTGGCATTTCTCTCTCTCTTGGGTCGTCTAGACGAGATGCCCCACTTGAGAGACCACAGGGTGACATCGCGGGAGGGAGAGGGGAGAGGAGAGGAGTCCATATGATCTGGCACTTGCGCATGTGGTTTTCTGATGAGATGTTTGGTGGAAGCGCTCAGGATGGTGCAATTGATGAGGAACTATGATGTCTTGTGGTGTGGAAAGTGGTGGCTCTGACTGCTGTCGTCTAGGGCTGCAAATGAGAGAACAAATGAGTTTGGAGAAGCTCCAAGCGGGCGCGTAAAGTTTCCTACGATTGCAAGACGGGATCTAACCGGACTGGGAAGAATAACCGCTTTTCAGGATAAGCTCGACCAGGGCTGGTTTTGCAGGGCACCGGACAAATTGGCAGATGATCAGCATTGAACAATAACCATATTGTCGATACAGCATCCTTCGATTCTGTGTAATTCTATATCACTCATGCCTCAAGCTTAAGCTCCTCTAGTACTGCGACCGGCACTCCCAGCTTTCCGCCTCATCTGCATCCCCCTTGCCCGTGTACACAGCTTTCTGCGGGTAGAAACACAATGGCCGCTGCCGATACACTGCGTCCTGGGTCGTGTCATTCTGCCAGGTCGTGGCGATCAACGGCTCGGGCGACGTGCCGTTCTCCACCCAGCTCATCAGGGCGAGCAGGATATCGTGCTGCGCATCCTGGTATTGAGGGACGCTGTGGAGACTCGACGAGAGCGTGGGAGCCTGGTTAGGGCCCGCAAAGTACCAGGGGGCATGCATGCTGTCCGGCGTGCCCGAGCAGTGTCTTCCGAACCAATTAGCACCGTAGGCTCGGGATCCGCGCATTCAGAAGAAGGGGTGACTTACTGCATCCCAGGAACATAGAAGAATCGGTAGAAGGAGTCCAGGTCAATCCCCTTGGGGACCATCTCCTCCGTGACCTTGTTGTAGTAGTAGAGACTGCTGTCCGTTGGGATGAGCCCATCCGCCATCCCGTGGTACATGAGCAACTTCCCGCCCTTCTGCTGAAAGGGCGAGATGTCGAAATCGTCCGCGGTCGCGTTGCCGGGGTCGAGTCGATCCGCAAGCTGGATAATACTGTAATCAAACTGGTCCTGCAGCCACTGCTTCCCCTTGCCGAGGAAGTACCGCACGTAATCAATTCCGAGCCCATTCGCGGTCCCGTTATTGACTAGCACGCTCCACTGCGCCTCGCTGCCCGGCAGCAGATGGGGAAAGACAAAGGTCTGGTTTACGTCGACGTAGTCGCTGTAGATGAGGCGCAGGGTCTGAAGCTGCGCCGGACTCAGACACGCGGTGGTGTTGGTGCCTTCGCAGAGGAGCGTCTCCAAGCGCAGATTGCACTGTTGCGGGGCGGACACAATCCCGTCGGACAGTCCGTCCTGGGGATCACACTGCTTGATAATCTCAGCCCCGATCACGCTGAACAGGCTCGCCGGGATTTGGGTGGCGGGGTCGGCGTTGTAGGTCCCGATCTTCACGGTCCAGGGCTGCAGGTGCGACGTCCACCACGCGGGAGAGCCGGCGATGACGCCGTCGAAGTCGTCGGGGTACAATTCTACGGACCGCAATCCCTGTCTTCCACCAGTTGAACAACCGCTGTAGTAGTTGTACTTCAGGGCATCGCCGTAGAACTGCTCCGTCAGTTCTTTGGCCAGGACCACCGACCCGTGCATGGCGCGGTAGCCCCAGTCGATCAGCCGTTCGGGCTCGTGGTACGCCCACCGGCCGTCTGAGGAGATGCTGTTGTGTCCTGTGTCGGTGGACATGGTAGCGAATCCGTACCGCGCGCCGACACCCTGCTTCAGTTAGCCCTTGTCGAGAGCGAGAGCTCTGAGGGTATAGACATGACCGACCATATCGACCCAGTTGATGCCGCCCGCAAATCCTCCATTGCCGACCGCCCTGTTTCCGATTTTTGTGAGTGAGCAACAACCCGAGGAATTGGTTTGCCTGAAACCTACAAGAATCTGTCATTCCACTCGGTAGGCAAGAAGAGTCCAAATGTATACGCTGAAGTGGCACTTGAGGTCACATTAATCTGCACGACACAGAGCTCGGGTAACTCGGTCGGCGACTGCGGATACGCGATGTCGCTGGCCGGGACCTCAAAGGTGTCGCCTTTGGCGATGTGGAACGCCTGCAAGACCGTGGCATTTTCGTGGCCAGCAGAGAATAGGTATTTCGAGACTGACTCGGGTGTGCAGGACAATTTGCTCTCAGCCAGACCGAATAACACGCTGGTCAGAGCCAGGTCGGAGAGATAACGAAAGGGGCCCATTGTGAGTATGCCGCCCGTGCTTTTGAGGAGGAATTCCAGCCCGTATGCGGGCTTGAAGAGCGCTGTTTATATTTCTCATGTCTCTGAATCCTTTGCGGACCCAGTGGAGAATCGAGGGTAGCGGCTTGCCCTCGTCCAGCAGTTCAGGAGTCTGACAAATGAGCATCCCCACTTTGACCCCGGATGGCCCTCTCCCTCTCTTCACAATGGTCGCATTTTGCGGGGATGTGGGGCCCAGACTGCTAAGCGTTGATATCGTGGTGAATAATTTAATGAATCTAAGCCGATTTGGAGAATCGCCGGTGGAGGTCGAAGCGTCAACTGCCGTCCTTAAATGCCTTCGGAAAATCGCATGACGTCAATCATCGGGATATGGCATTCGCAACCCCAGGTTTTACAATATTGTACATTGACACGAATCGCGGTACTCAGCTGCCTAGTCCACCTGGAATCATTGGGTGGGAACTTCTTGGATTAGCCTGGTTGTCGAAGGGAAGTAAACCATGGCTTGTGAAAGATTATAGACAGCATGGCCAGGGGCCTGGCCAATGTAGGGCTTCGCGGCTGATTTCAACCTGCGCGGCAGTTGATTGAAGCCGATTTCGGACCCTATCATATCAGCAGCGGGGCTGAGGGCTCGAGCAGCAGATTCTCCATTACATGATAACGGTGAAGAGCGATATCGGTGCGCGGTAGTAATGAACTGTGAGATCTTTATGAACTTGCATCCTACCAACACAGTTGTGGATGTACCGTCGCAGCCCGGACGGCTACAGGACTCTAGTTATCCAATCCGAGGTATCCTAACAACTTCCACAACAAGGCTCCCTGAATCTCAAGATCGATGTGTAATATAAAGTAACAAGCATGTTGATCCACATTTGGATTGGGCGGAAGAAAGCAAATGCCCGATCAAATGCGGCCTCGGAGTATTGACTAGGGTCTCGGACCGATAGGGGAGAGATCTCCCCGCCCTGTCGGGCCCGCAGCCCCAGATATTGCAGGGAACTATATCATGTTCGTGCCAGCCGATGCATCTGGTCATGAATTCGAATTTGATTTTATTTGGTTGTTCTGCTCTCTCACTCTGTTCATGTAGGAAAGGCACCCACCACGGCCCTACTGAGTCCGCACTCTGGACCAACACGATACGCCGACTAACCAATGAGCGAGAATCTCACCATCGTGCGAAGCAGGCAGTGGTCATGACCTGCCCGGCACTCAGTCCGTCTCACCTACAGCAAACACAAGCATATAGCTCAGAGAGCTGCAACGAGTGGTGGTCATGGGTATCACCCGCAATGCAGCGCCAGGCAGGAACAATGGACCAAGCCGGAGTCGCCCGGTCCATCTCCCCTAAATACGATCTCAACCTGCATTTCACCTCAGGTATATGCGCCACTGTGCTTTTGGCTCGAACAGAGATCTTGAAATCAATTATTGGCTCAAATGCGTGGCCAGAAGCCCCGTTGTCGGCGCACCGGGCTAGCCTCCAGGTTGAGCTGGTCCCAGAGTTGCTGGCGCGACTCCGTACGGAGATTGGCATCAACAAGATGCTGATCGCGTACGGAATTACCGAGACAACTTCGTCACTTCGGTCACTTCGGTCACATTTGTGACGGGCCTGGATGACACCGGAGCAGAGTCATCCCCATACCGCGGCCAAGGTGATTGACCCATCGCACGGGGCGCGCGGGCAGCACAGCGAGCTCTGCACCGGTGGGTTCAACTTGCAAAAGGGGTATTGACGTGACTACCGATAAGCCAAAACAAAGGAGGTCATGCGCCGAGACGCTGATGGTGTACTCTGCGGCGGTGCTGCATGACGCGGGGTATGCGGTCATCCCCGGTCGTATTAGGAATCTGATCATCCGAGGTATGTACAGTACATACAGTACACTGATCATGTTACTCTCGCGAGATCGAGGAGCAACTGATGGCGCATGCTATCAGTACGCCAGGAACGCTATGGGGAAGTGGCGGGGTACAACTCGGTCGACTGCAGGGAGTCGTAAGGCGCCCCAGCTGGAGTTTCAGGAGTAATACAACGGCAATCATGAGTGGGTGTCTCTATACAGTAAGCAGATTACTATACCTCCAGGTAGACTGGGGTTAACTGCGTCATTGAACTGGTGAATGCTCCGAACAGTCAGGCTGACTGCGACCGTGTAAATCCATTTCCTCGGTCAATCCTGTTGGTCCGAAACTGCTGCTTCAGATTGGACCGAGAGGTGTAGCTTACGCTTGGCACGGTATTCTCTCTGTATTAATTTATGATTAAATACCTTATCCCGCAAGGAGTCGGACGGAGTTGGAACTGGGAACGGAACTTGGAACGGAACTTGGAATGTGCCTCGGAGTCAGACAAACAGAGTCTTTATAAGGGCATGCGCCCTCCAAACCCTCACCCTCACCCTCACCCTCGGTCCTTCCTTCAACCTCGGTTCACACCTCTGGTGCATCCTATCTATATACCTTGCCAGCAACGGCCATGCATCAAATTCATCCAGCCTGAAGTCTCAACCACTTACGACTCGATGAAACTCCTCTCAAAATGCCACCCACCTCTCCCACCGTGAGAATTGTCGAGGTCGGGCCCCGTGATGGACTCCAGAATATCGCCACGCACATCCCCACCTCCACCAAGCTGGACCTAATCCAGCGACTGCACCACGCCGGATTGAAGAGCATAGAACTAACATCGGTGGTCTCGCCCCGGAAGATCCCCCAGTTGGCCGACTGTCGCGATCTCCTGCAGCATTCCTTGATTCGAAGCTTGGCGAGCGATCCGCACCTGCGACTGCCGGTCCTGGTCCCCAATCTCAGGGGATTCGAGATTGCGCATTCGCTGGACGTCAAAGAGGTCGCCGTGTTCATCAGCGCAACGGAGGGGTTCAGCCGCGCCAACATCAACTGTACGGTCGGGCAGGGGATCGAGAGAGCAAGGGAGGTCGCATCCCACGCCATCGCTGCGGGCTTGGCCGTGAGAGGGTAAGCGGCGCTTGCTGAGAATATTTCTTTCCAGCATGGCACTGACAGCTCCAGCTACGTATCCTGCATCTTCTCCGACCCCTTTGATGGGCTCACCTCCCCGGCGGCTGTACTCCGCTGCGTTGGAGCCCTGCTCGACGCAGGCTGCTACGAGGTCAGCCTGGGCGACACGCTGGGCGTCGGCTCGCCCGCAACGGTCCGCAGTCTGATCCGGTACCTGACAGACGCGGGTATTTCGGTCAGCCGTCTGGCCGGACATTTCCATGACACGTACGGTCGCGGAGTCGCCAATGTCTGGGAGGCGTATACGTGCGGCGTGCGCGTGTTCGACAGCAGTGTCGCGGGACTCGGGGGCTGTCCTTTCGCTCCGGGTGCCAAGGGGAATGTCGCGACGGAAGATGTCGCATACATGTTTCACAATGCCGGTATTGAGACGGGGATTGATCTTGCTAGTTTAGTGGACACGAGGGCCTGGATCTCAAAACAACTCGCAGACCTGGACTCGACCCATAATGCTATTGCTGCGGCTGGAAGGGTCAACGAGGTTGCACCTCGGACCAAGCCCCAGAGACTGCACAACCATCTCCGACATTACGATGGGCATTGGCCGTCAATGTGGATGGAATTCAACTGCATTGGAGCTGGATCGAACTGAGTCACGCTGAGCTGCGCATGAGATTATACGAAGTGAAGTCATCCTTCAATACCCAAGCATCAGTGAAACTTGTCTATGTCCATGCAGGTAGGAACGAACAGCGCGAGTCAAATGAGCTCTTCTCAGAAACATGCAGCCCAGCAATCATGGCGCCTACGGGATGTCGGAGTCCTGGTTTGAAGTACTGGTCAAGTGGGACACCCGCCCTACATAGCACTTATACCTCCCACACGCTGGCTTGTACGGTGACTTGCTCGGCTATAGCATGGCCAGTACTTATGTATATACTATTCAAGGGGAGCCACGGTGGTTTTCACGACTGGAGAATTGTACATACACCTCGCGATAGATGAGATAGAATCCATCTTCTTCATACTGAAGTGTATAACAAGCACGCATTATCGCTTCACTTACATGGCCGGGACTACTCTGCAACTACCTTCCTAACCATAACAAGGACAGTACCAAATCCAAGTCGCAACTCTAATCCTTAATGAACCGCCCGGTAAACTGCCGAATGCGCTTGCCCCAGATGAATACCGGCACGCCCAACAACCCCAATCCCCCCGTCAACCCCGCAAACGTCCCGAACGTCCCATCGTAGCCATTCCGCTCAATGAACGGTGCAACTCCATAGCTCGTTCCAAAGGAGATGATCCCCCGAAATGCACAGATAATCACCAGCAGAGGGCCGGCACGGGTCGGGTAGCTGTCCAGCAGATAGGTGATGGCCACGATGTTGGCCCCAACGAAGCAGAAGTAGTACGCGGCGACTGTCCACGCGTAGATGAACCAGTGATACTCATCCGGGTGGGCGGCGCCTTGACCGTAGAACACAGCGGTGAGCACCCCGACGATGATGGGGAGGATCAATGGGATGATGCGCGTCTCCGGCTCGTGGAGGCCTCCGTTGCGCTGGGCGAAGTACCGGATCAGCCAGTCCGAGCCGTGGCCCAGCAGTGGGAGGGCAATCAGCGCCACGATAATCTGTCCGCAGTTGACGTAGCTGGCGCTGCTGTCGGGCCAGTTGTATGGGGCTGCCGAGAGGATGGTGCTGTAGGTCGTGCCGATGGCGACGTTGACGCCGATGGTGAGGCCGTTGAGGAGAAGAGCCCAGAGGACGTTGGGGAAGAGCAAGAGCGAGAAGGTTTGCTATGCACTATTGTTAGAGCAGCTCACCATGTGTGAATGGATTGATCCTTACCCGGAAGACTTCCAAAACCTTTGGCCAGTCTGGACTGCCAACCCACAGTCGGAGATCGGACTTCCACGTTCGGGGTGCGTAAGTGTCGAAGTCCAGCGGTGGACGCTCGGTGCAGGTTTCTGTGGTTTGATTCCCCACTTTCGCATCCTCGGATGGCCCCTCGCCCTGGTAGGAGCTGGCCGACCGTTCATACTTGGTTTCAGGTAGGAAGCAGAAAGCCAGCACAAGAAGCACGCCGGCCAGAGCAGCGCCCAGCCCATACCACCACTGTGGCGTGATGGCCTCTGCGATGGGGGAGGCACACAACACCCACACAGAGGTGAGAGTCACCTGGATGGCCATCTGGCCCATCAGGGCCTTGCTCCGCTCGTGCAGAAAGAAGATCTCCTATCCGGCCCATTGTGCTCTCATGTCAGCAAAGTGCCCAGACTCGACGATGGTAGGATCTGACCTGCGTAATCATGGGAACTAGGGCTTCACTCTGCCCAGCTGCAAGGCCCACCACCATCCGCGAGGATAAGTGCCACTCGAAGTCTTTGGCCGTGGCACAGAGAACTGCTCCGATGACGAGAATGACAGTCGATCCTAGGAGGACGATCCGTCGACCCACGCCTATTGCCAGGGGCATGCCGATGAGATTGCCGATGCCCCTGTGCAGCATCCTGCGTTAGCGGTCGTCGTTATAATAGAGATGTAACGGTGCACTTGCATGAACAGGGTAGGATATGTCATCAGATGGGTGATATCATCGTATCCTTTGCCGACAGCGCTGTACTCGGGGATGTAGAACCCCAATAGACCGCCAAACCCAGACACAAGGGCCAGCCCTAGCGTTGAGACTAGAGGATATCAGCTGACAATCAACGGACCTGATGAGGCCGGACTCACAGATTGAGATCACCACTAGTATCACCATCTTCTGCCATCTTGGCATATTGAGAGGATCTATCCGGGTCAGCCCTCCCACGTCGCAGCATGGTGACAGTAGGGGATGACTACCTTGAGGATCCGCGGTGGGAGTGGGGATGTACACAATCGAGCCCTCGGTGAGCTTGACAGTTCCCGTCACCGCATCAGGCTTGTCGCCCATGTGGCCCTCTTCAATATCCTCGACGTGGCTGATGCACGATTTGTCGGTGGTCTTGGCTGCTGCCATGACGGCCGGTTGCTGAGAGGGTGGAATTGTAGACGGTGAGATGATAGTATGACTTTGAGCGTTAATGAGATGTCCCCTCCCCTCACTTTCTTCTGTCGTTATATACCATTTTTCCCGTGTGCAATGGTATAGACGGTAGCTTAGGCAACTCCAGACGACAGCTGGCTTGGCTCTGCGGGGAAGCTACCCCGGACTCGGGACCTCATCGATGTGCAGGAGCTCGGTAGTTCTGTATGCATCGTTTCGGGGGGCACCGAGGTTGGGACGACGAACCTTCGGGGGAACTTTGTTGCTCGCTTGTCAGCTCTCGTTCGAGAGCTCCAGCAAGGTTTCGGAGAGTTCATGAGCACGAAGGGGGCAATTTCCACAAGACATGCGCACGCATTCATCGATATCACCATGATCTCAAAATGTGGTCGTGAGCAGGTTTGAGGAGGGGACTCGAAGGATGTCGCATGCATACAGATGACACCCAGGGGCTACAAGTTGTTCGTTACTCGGACGTAGGTAATGTTCAACATAACTTCAATCACATTCTGGTATTGCGTAAATGTAATTTAAGACTTCGACCAATACGATCTAATATTTCTTGACACCAGCTAATTTCAGCACCTGCTCCGTGATAACCGGCTTCTCGAATGGCTCAGTGCGGTCTTTGGGGCACACCTGGCCATCTCGCATGGGCTTCTCGGCCGCTGGTCGGATGTTGCTATTACACTGTCAGTCTCCATATCAGGTTCAAAGCACATTGAAACCTACCAGTGTGGCCAGTGGGTGGTACCAACGAAATTCTCAAAGCAGAATTTCTTCAGCTCCAGCGCCCGCGGGGTGGC